GTAAGGCTTGTACTCCGTACAGTCGCGTGAGCAAGAGTTTCAGACCTCAAATTGCATCTCTTCCAATGGGCTTAACTACAGTATACAGTACTGTACAGTACTCAGATGAACTCACTACTGTACTGTAGACTACAGTGTAGAGTCTACAGCATTGTACTGTGCACTGTACACTGTACAGTGTACAGTCAATGGCATCGTACTGTGCATTTTAAGTGTGCAATTTTGCCATGACATCATTTTCGGTAGCGCGGCATCCATAATAATGATTTGCTATATTGATCCATAAGGCGAATGCAAAAACAATGTCACTATCACAGTGCTGAACTCAGATCAACTCACTACAGTGCAGAGTCTACAGTATTGTAATGTACAGTCAATGGCATCGTACTGTGCAATTTTGCCATGACATCATTTCCGGTAGTGCGGCATCTATAATAATGATTTATTTTATTGATCCGTAAGGCGAATGCAAAAATAATGTCACTATCACAGTGCTGAACTCAGATCAACTCACTACTGTACTGTACAGTACAGTGTACAGTCTATGGTATCGTACTATGCAATTTTGCCATGACATCATTTCCGGTAACGCGGCATCCATAATAATGATTTATTATATTGATCCTATATAAGGCGAATGCAAAAATAATGTCACTACCACAGTGCCTGACTAGAGTATTCCTGTGGATCAGAGTGAAAAGTAAATATGACTGCAACACTGTAAACAAACTTGTTCGAAAGGTTACATGCCAATGATGAAATCAGCAACTTGTTTTAAAAGGTAAAGGTTCAAAAAAGCTTGCCACCAAAACTCCCCAATCTTGTTTTTACAACGAGGACGAAACTACTCATAGTGTCTAGTTGAATAAGAAATTTGTACTGCAATCAAATGCTATTACTGTATACGTCTGTAGCGGTTTCCATCACATATTCTTTGTGTGAGTTCTTTGCATGTACACCTTTTACTATCCATTGAACATTAGTTCAAAACGATAAATGGCTAAAATCACTTAATGATCTTCAATAGCGATATCACTCATGACAAGGTGCTAGCATGATAGATAGCACTTGTAATACTAATGAATCATGGACTCTAAAGATTGATGACTCTTGCAAGATATACGCAGTCATTATCATAACCGAAGATAAAGCGAAATTGAAAAGGTTTTGATATCTAACCTAGTATAGTAAACGGGTATCATTGGCCCTGATAGTGAGAAAATTGGTATCCTGTTTACTGTACGTACAAACAACTGCTATAGACGCTTCTTTTAACCATCGTTCGGGTACCAACCTCGCATACTATAACAACGCCCCATATTACTCTGATAAAGCATCATACGTGTTCTGTACGTGTACGCGTATATTATGAATGGCAAAATAAATCTTGTAAGCAAAACATGCTGATTGCATCAAAGCAGTAATTAATGAAGAGACTCAAAGGTAATAATGCTATACAATATAACAACTATAACATACAATAGAGCTCAAATCATGTATTACTTAAAGATGTACTCGAAATATCAATATAAACACGTTTTTGATCGGGCTAATAAACATTATACTATTTTAATTTATTACATTTACATAATATACAGCGTAATATCACTATGTAAGACAAATTTAATGGCATATTAATTATCATACAGCACCAGCATTATCAACAGCCATATAATATAAAAATTTCAGCAGGTTATATCAAACAATTTGGATTCGGTATCAAATATTTATTCTTAAAATTTAGTCGTTAGCAATGGAGTTACATTTCCTATCAATATCGAATCATGGGATCGAAGAAAAATGAGCGTTATGCTCATGCGATAGCATAGGCTCCTATTTTACTTCCGTGCGTGATACGGTTTCTTTAGGATATACAAATTATACGGGTATAAGTATATATATATATATATGCTATTAAACATATCAAACAGAGCGTACAGTTTCCACTATAAAATTTCCATTAAGTTTATTGCTGTAGTCAGTTCTGTAGTCGTCTCGGATAGGCGGTAAGGCTTTCGGCCACAATAATAAGGCAAAACTATCATTTCTTGAGATTCCAAGAACTGACCTCCAATTACTTACAAAGCCACGGTCATATTTATTACGGAATCGCTATTGCAACATTTTCATTACAAATAATGATGATTAATAATTAATATTAAAAATGAATATTGCGTACGTTAACAAATTCTAAAAACTCCCATCGAAACGATCAGTTTGTCACTGGATGCCATGATTAAAAATAATTAAGAATTCATCTTTATGCTATGACTGACCTTTCCTTTTTTCTTCAATAACTTTTTCTTTTTCTTATTGGCATACGTTTCTATCGTCGTTTGATTTGTAGATATAAGAAAACAATGCCAGCCAGTAAAGAGTAATAATATAAAAGCCACTGTTGCACAAAGAATTCCTAAGAATAACGCACTAGACTGATCCGTTTCATACTCGGAAGCCAAGTTCAATTTCGAACGATCTTGAAGCTGAAGATTGATGAAAAAATTTTTACAATTATAAACAATCTACTCATTAAAGGAAGAACACAACTAAAAATGATGCTGCATGTACATAAACAGTGTGCTTATGCAACGATCAGGATATCTCTCAGTAATAGCACGCTTGCATTACATGCATTCTTAGTCAAGCTCTAAAACCTCGTGTTTCGTATCAGACAAAAATTACGATTAAAAATCGCCTATAGGAAACATGTAATACGATCTTAAATTATACACCGCCAAAATTAAATCACATACCTGGAGATATAACTGATCAAGAAATAAATCATATCCAGAGAGAGAGACGTATAACGTGCCAAGAAACATGTATACGCAGAAGAGTATAAAATAGCGATGGTTATTCCGACCTACACAATTATTTACCCAAGCTACAGATATTACTATTAAGGACAAATACTCGTGTACTTGTATATACACGTATTAATACGTTATTGTTGCATATAATATGATGGCCAAGTTGTATACTATATTAATTAATACTTCTACTTTAATAGCAAATTTTGCTACAAATTGTACAATATCCTTATAAGAAAACGTAGTTGAAGATACGGCAGTGATGATCCATCTTCATAATACACCTATGATAAAAATGATTTAAATACTATAGACAATTCATTTGTATCTGGAGTATATATTAAAGTCGTAATTATTTGAGTATCCATTTCTTTTTCTCCTTACCTCCTACAAATGCGACAGTGATGAGTCCTTGGAGGTTTAGCAACGATACCTTGATAAGAGCATAATTTCTTATATAAATACAGACTGTAGCAATAATAAATATGAACATAATTCTATAATATCTTACAGGCTTTGCAAACTGGATAGTGTAAAGCTTCAATAGCATTTTCTGGATTCTGAAATGTAGAGTATATTACATTTTATGCCTTTGAGCCTCTTCTGTTACAAAATTCGCACTCTTTACGTAATCTTATAAAATTGTACAAATGAATGGATAGTAACATAATTTATATAGATTGAGAGTGAAGACTTTATAAGCATTCAAACAGCAGAATTGAGTGCGATTTGAGCTTACGAGTAAAGGAATGATCAAAACTAAATTGCAATGTACTATAACTAGTTAAAATAGAATTTCAAATATTGTATTTGTAAAAACGTCATTAGAATTTAATCTTTATCGATATTAGCTATTACTATGTACATACAGTATAGAGATATGATTCTACTATACAATAATATCAATAACCTCATCAGGATATCCAGGTTCTGTACAAACTGCTCGATAATACTGATGGCAGATATTGACTAATAACCAATGCGCATACAAAAGATGACATGATGATCGAATAAAGCCATAAGTTAAAATTCTCGGAACTAGGAGTCGGTAGTAAAGAACGACCACGACTGTTGTCAGACCTATCACCAATACTACAAATAGCTAGCATTGAAGAAAATGAAAAATTTCTTAGACTCCATCAAATTATCAACATACGTCCATTTCATTCATTATTATTTTTAATTTAATATTATACAGACTTCTTAGTTATTGCAATCTCATCAATTGTAGAGTATATTACAGTTCGCGTTCCCACGACAACATTAATATTGAATCTATTTGATACCATGAGCAACAAGCACTCTAAAATTTTATGTCTGCAGCCTACAAGATGTACCATTGAACCTATAAGTAATAACATGATTCTGTGCTTAATCCATGCAAGCTTTGGTACAAGATCTCTTGATCACTGCATAAGATAGTTTAAACAATTATGACAACCAATGAAGTGTGTATTAACTAAATTGTAGATCATTTTTGACTATTTCATAAAAAGAACCCTTAGATTTGAACACTTCCTATGAGTTATGGTTACAGTTCTGATTGATATTCTACTTTTACATCATTATCAAGGCTACTGTTAATACTTTACCGGGCCTAAAATTCGGATAAGGATATCAAAGCAAAACAAGGTCGGTTGAAAGGCAGTTTCAATTAGTGTTAAACTCGAATTAAACGAGTTATACAAGAAAGACTTTAAAACATAGTGTAGAAATTTGATTTGGCGCAACATTGGAGCAATTGTTCTATGATCACATTGGTCTCATTGAAAATTTATTCGCTCTTTTTGAAGTGGACTAGACTTCCCATATCCACCATAGAAATTTTGAAATGCTCGCCGATTGAAAATAATCGCAGTACATTGGTATAGACTCTACGTATTTGTAACCAGCAAGAACAACGTAATTGATAAGGGTATTCTACAAATGGCCAAGGTCTGTCTATCCAAAATGTTCTAAAACTCTTCTATATCGTTTCTCGTCGACATTTTCAGTAACTTTAGCGGTAGATTTGCCACCACTTATGCTGTGATTGCTCGACCAAAACAACGAGGAGAATGAAGGTGACAAATTCGTCGCAGACTCACTTGATGATGACATTCAGTATGCTACAGTACAGTATCGTACACTGATTTGCGTAGTAATACGCTGCATAATCACCTTACTATAGTATACCTTATTACAGTATACACTAATAGTACAGTACTGTTCAGTAGGGTACGAGCTGGCAATAGATTGTGGAGTCCACCATTTGCTACCATTATTATTTTGAAGCATCCTTCCTCGCTTTCTAAGGAGCTTAACAAGATCAAGGTAAAATTCATCTTCACTTAATCTACTAAAGTTAGATTACAGAGTATGCATGCCATGCTAGATCTAGACTTGAATATCATCGAGTATTATAGATGATGTTAGCACGTTATTTATGGTCATCATCAAGGGTACACACAGACCAATATATGGAAATATTTTGTTCTGATTCATAAACTATCTCAATTGTGCTGGATTGAAGTTGTACAGTATTTACTACTATTTGCAACCATTAAGAGCGCTGAGCTAGAGCCTACCCTGGTCGCAATCAAGAAGCTTAGCGAGATCAAGTTAAATTACTGTATCATGCTAGATCTAGACTTGAATATCATCCAGTATTATGTATTAATTATTGACGTGCTATTGCTATTCCTGCCATATCAAGTGGTACGAGTAGTTGCACGATGAACAAAACTGGAGCACTGCCATACTTGTTGTTGCAGCTGTAGAGCAGGGGAAAAAGTGGTGATTTTCTTCCGGCAGTGTTGATGACCTTGTAGGCTGCTCATTTTGTTGCAGTACTATCAAGTTACTGTGTACTCAAGCAACTGCTTCTAAAGAAGATGATAGCAGTAATTGGAATTCATTTCGACTAGATAACGTATATATATAATACTGTACTGTACAACTGTTTCATAAGAGATGCCATTAGCACCTTGAAGCTGCATGGATCTGTTAAAAAAAAGATCTACAATACGTGTACAGTAAGTGTATACCTGTATTATTGATACAATTTTTTAATGGGAAGCTTTTTCGCTTACAACGGCAGTACCAGGTCCAGTCACTGAGTTGTTTAGGGACCTTAAAAAAAGTGCCTTGAATGTTAACGTGTCTTTAATAGTATTGAAATTTGATTAGCTGTCATGCATAACATGCGAACAATCATCTCAAGTCCTTAATAAATTGCGTTATCATTTTAACGCACATAGATACTCGTACTTTGATCTGAGCAAAGAATTAATTGATGATAAAAATTTTACAGAATGCTGAAATCCCATGGTTTAATTCGTCGATTTTTCGGAACAGCTTCTACTCGATATGTATGTACTTGCTTGTAATTGATGCTTCGAGGTTGTATACTTAATCCAACATTGATTATAAATGAGTGACCGCAATATCTGGTATTGATAGGCAGGCAGAGGTCTATTGCTGGCAGTTCGGAAAGACGGAGATAAAACGACCCAGCCAGAATTGACAGGAGCTGCAAAAGCATTTGATACCAAGACTAATGGACGACTATCAGAGTTACTAAAAACGTATGATTGGCAAGGTACAAATGAGCTACTAAGTATTTCACGTAATACAATTATTCTATTATTTCAGAGCTCCCGGCTTTAATAAAGGTGCAGGAAGTCTTTTTTACGGATTGGACGAGGTACACTTCTATTCTAATTATTAGAATTAACTAATCCTAGCATGAATTTAAATTGTAATTTGTCATTTATCATACACAACGGCTTCCTACTGAAAGTAGATAATATTTTTGTAATATCATGCAACATAGTACGTGTACATAAGCTAACGTCAAAGATATTTTAAAGTTACGTTATTGAATTTAAGATCTATTACTTTTATCATGCACATATATACTCGTATATATATATATATATAGGTTAGCATATATATATATATATAAATATTAAAATTAAATTTAAATCGCTTAATCCACAATTTACACTTTTAAAAACTGTTACAGGATTATCCAGCAGTCTACGTTGCTAATATTGAAAGCTCAAATGAAAATTCCGAATCGCTTGAAAATATTGATGAAGAGAAGGAAAATATCCGTACTGGAATAGCAGGTGAACTTACCTACTTATATATTATACTATCATGAGATTGTATATATCCAGTAAAATTGTTTTCTACTTTAGTTAGATTGTTTTATTAAAATTCTATCATGATGATCCTTCCTGCGTATGTTTTGCACTTAGGTGGAGTAAAGCAACTAAAATCACTGGAATTATCTACTATTGAAGTGGATCCGTGCTGGGATGCAAAAGGTAAGATTCATACCTCGACATAAATTGAGAATCTTAGTAAATCCCTATGCACTATTATGAACATTTTATAACTATTCCTCCTATCAAGCTGCTGCTGAAGGCGCCTATCTAGCTAATTATGACTTTAATGATTTAAAATCGGATCAAGAAAAGAAATGCAAAGTTGAATTACTCTTGACACATTTTATGAAGGAGTAAGCAAATTAAATATGACTACTGTAGCATATACCTCGTACGTGGTTTACAGCTAATACTTTAATTCGTATATTTAATTATTTTAGTGATCAATTAATATCAAAAGACTGGGGTTTTGGTTCGATTCTGGCGGAGAGTCAAAATTTTGCTCGACGCTTAATGGATTCACCATCAAATTTAATGACCCCAACCATCTTTGCTTCTACCGTTGAAAAGACCATGGCAGGATTTAATAATATTACCATTACATCTTAGTAAGCCTGATATTCCGTAAATAAATATCAAATAATACTGTACTTTTGAGAATTTTAAAACATTCCTTTGTAATGCAGCGATAAAGAATGGGCTGAAGAAAATAATATGCGTGCATTTCTTGGAGTCTCTCAGGGGTCATGTGAACCTCCAGTTTTTCTAGTCGTGAATTACCGTGGAAATCAAAGTACCGAAAAGCACGCTTTGGCAATTGTTGGAAAAGGTATATTACCTTTTAGCAGTTGCATGTCAGATTATACTGTGGATTTATTGATACTTGTTGCCTCCTTATAACCTCATGTTTTCGTATTACTCTATTACTTCCTTAGGCGTAACTTTTGACAGGTATTTACTTACTGGTTAACTTCCATGTTGATAACTACAAATGAAGAGAGTTATAAATTTGTACTATTGTAGTGGTGGGATTAGTATTAAACCTGCCGCCAATATGGACATGATGAAAGCAGATATGGGCGGCGCGGCTGTCACGATTGGAACATTGTACGCGGCTTCAAAGCTTAATTTACCTCTCAATATAATTGGTGTCATTCCGTTGTGTGAAAATATGCCTTCTGGAAGTGCAGTAAAACCTGGCGATGTTCTAACAGCTATGAGCGGAAAAACAATTCAGGTGTAATAACAGCAGGTTGCGTTGTACATAATTTGATGATCGCACGTGTCTGTCACAATGATATTCTGTTATTATACTCCGTAGAGTTTAATGCTTTCAAATGGGAGTCTATAAGATTAGTGATAAGATTAATAACTGAAGGATTTTACAATTTTTTAAAGGTGGATAATACCGATGCAGAGGGACGATTAATTCTTGCCGACGCTTTGCACTTTGTTCATCAATTTAATCCTGAAACTTTGATAGACATTGCAACTTTAACCGGTAAATTGAGCAGCATATAGATATATTGGTTACAAAGAACGACATATATTTGTTAACGTTACTTAGTTCGGTTGTTATTCTAATGTTTAATTATGTATATATATAATTATTGTCCATTATCAAACATTTCTAGGAGCTATGGCGGTGGCAACAGGAGCAGGTGCTGCAGGTGTTTTTACAAATTCAAAGAAATTATGGCAAGAATTATATGAGGTATAAAACTTAATTTTAAGATATATTTTCAATGTAATACGTGAGTGTAAAAGAATTACTTGTGCAATAATATTTCGTTATCGTATTAATTATCGGTCGTTAGTGTAGCTGGAAAAGTGGTGACCGTTTATGGCAGATGCCGTTGTATGATCTATATTCTAAACAAATTAAATCTAATGTCGCCGATATCAGAAATATTGGGAAAGCAGGAGGGTAATTATTAAATATCTGTAAATTGCCATTCTGCTCATACAATGTCAATGAATTCGGCCCCAGTAAATGTTTAAATTACGGTATCGATTGTTTTTTTAATTTATCACTTCAGGATTGGTGGAGCTTGCACAGCAGCAGCATTTCTAAAGGTATTTTACATTATTCACTAAAAACTTGTTGGACGAAAAGGGCTCAACTTAAATTCCTCACTATAACATTGAGAATCCTAATATATCGTATTCTTTTCCATCGAAATATAGCTTTAATACTATAACGTCTGTAATATAATGAATCATTAAGGTTGAAAAAACTCATTACTTCTGCTTAGGAATTTGTTTCAAACTCTCGCTGGGCACATCTCGATATAGCTGGTGTCATGTCTTCAGAAGGCGATTACCCGGCTTATCTACGCAATGGGATGACAGGTATGTATAGGATGCTACAAATTCATTTCACGTCAGTTACGATAATAAAACTTCATAATTTGCTGGTATTGGAATTACTTTCAAGTTCAATTTTATTTTATCATCAAAAATTTAAATCATTTTCATCATGGATTACGATTTATTTCAGGTCGTCCTACACGCACTCTAGTAGAATTTGCAAGACTTTTATCGTCGTCATAGAATTTTTTTATGAAGAAAGATACAATTCTACCATAATGGCAATTATCTATTCGTAGATGACATCTTATAAACTCTATTGCTTTGTTAAAGTGATGCCATAGCTCTTAACCTACGTGATTTCTATAATCCAATTTACGCGTACAATATAGTGTCAAGCTGGAGCCAGCACATAAATAAGCACTTATGGAATAATAGAATAATGTTTCATTTTATGCCGCTTAGTCTAAACGTAGTAGCTCGTAATAATAGCAGTTTTAATTTGAAAACGTCAATACCACAGAATCCAAGCTTTTCATGAAATTGAGGTTGAAATTAGACATTCGCAAACGATATGTTATTTGATAAAATTTTGTAATTGCGAAATATTAGAGTTGGCTTGTGAGTTTATAAATATTTTAAAAATATTATTATAACCTAGATCTTTGATTTTCCGTGAGCTTAATGTACATTGACCTAGATACGCGGTAGCAAACTTTCTAAAGTTTTGCATTTTATATGCAACTGCTACAATATAGGTGTATAGTTCTGCAGTGCATTAAATCCCTATTGTAAAGTCGTAGTTAAAAGTGACTGATCCGGTTAATTTGAATGGTAAACTGTGATCATGAATTATTTACTAGTGTCAGCGTAAACTTCATCAAATCAAAAAAGTATCTTAAGGATATGTCATAGAGTACATATCCCACCAGCATTATTTAGTTGCTATAAATAATAATATTTGGTAGTCCATGGCTATAAAATACGAACATTATTACAATATATATATTTTATGCTAAATTTCATCATCCATTAGTCGGGAGAGATTTATTAACTGTGGGCGCAAATCGCGCCATTAGAATCGGACTGGGACAAGTTTGCAATTCTAGTGCGCTGCAACCGATTGTAAGGCATGACTGAAGTAGTCCAATAAGTCTTCTTGCATATATATTAATGCGGATAAGTTGCTGAATCTCGGAGTATGCAATAGCCGACTACAGTAAACTATAGAAATAAAATTTTCTACACTGTAGCTGGATACACAAAAACTACGATGCAATCGAAAGCTATGGTACAACATTACTATATGATAGACTTGAGACCGTATAGTCTCTGTACTAAAATATCTGGTCAAGCTAGTACTGTATGTATGTATCTTGGTATGGTTCATTATACATAATTATAATTAGTTCTGGCCGTCCGACTAAGAATGCCAACTAGGTAGTCCACTGTGCCAAACACAACACACTAGGTTAGAATATACTATGTAAATGTAATCGACACTATCCTATGCTGTATCGACTGCTATCAAAATCTCTTTCGATTTAAGCGGCGTGTCCAGCCGTATAACAGCATTCGCAAAGCAATCAATCAAGGTCATATTCCTTGGCCGTTAACACTGTAATAAGCAAGTGTATCATGCAGTTAGGAATATGATTTTATAAGTACTGCCGAGAGAGACGGTCAATAAGTAAAGATCTAGTGATTCGTCGAAGCACGATTGAAGAATTTACGGTGAGGCAAATTGCCCCATCGGGTTTGTGACTACGTACCGAAGGAGTTCTTGTAAACTAGCTCAAGCTATGCCGCCTTTCTAGATTACGATGATCACCTGTTAATTTAGCAAAAGTCTTCGAATATCCTTGGGCAAATAGTATAATAGTGCTAGATAGGAGCTATATTGTCCACCTACTCCATCTTAATTAGGATAGACGATTGGACGAGATCATTCATTCATCGCATCAAAATATAAAACATGGATTTATCAGAAGAAATTCTACCAGGCCGGGAAATTTTATATGCTCCTCTAGGTCAAGATAAGCAAGTTCATCAATGGTCTGATATCCAATGGAAATCTGCTGTTATTCGCAGCTGTCAATTTCAAAATGAATCTTCTAAGGTAATCGAGCTATCGACCGTTAGTTAGTTGTTAAATTAAATGTTATCATACGTAGCACTATAACCGTTTATCTTTCGTAGGCCAATAATTAATATATCTAATCAGCAATAATAGTCCAGTATATATAAACACCATTTCTTGTCTCGGATAGTAGAGAAATCAGCCTAGTGTTGATCTAAAGTTATACAGTATCTACAAGACCATGGATACGTAGAATATTCGTATAATTAATTATAGCATTCTTTTAATATACGAAGGCCAACACAACTATTCGAACACATAAAATGCAATAACATACCATGTATAAACCAGTAAAGTCATGGTTAGAAATTAAATATCGTCTACTTTCTCTACCACAGCAAACAATCTTAGTTTCATTCAAGTCGTTAGCCAGCTTGAATTTACGATAAAATAGCAGCTAGCTAAATATCACTTTTGTGATTACTATTATTAACGAATGCTAGGATAAACACTATGATACTATATAGAAGTACACTATCATTACACGAAGATTTCTTAACCTTTGCAATAACCAATTACTTTGAAGGGAAAATACATCAAACATTTGCACGCTCAGCTCTAAATAAATTTGCAAAATGATAAATCCTTTTATCGACCGTCGATTACTAATGATTAGGCCCTCCGAATATTGCATTCAAATATGTAGCAATGCATAGTTGCTTGTCGTTGCTTCAAAATAAATCTTATTATAGCTACCTAATCTACAGAGTTAAACCTGCTAAAGAAGGGTAATTCATTACCATAATTAAAGATAAGCTTAATACTATTGATACCTTATTATTAGCCAATATTATACATAGATTATAAAAATTGAAACAATGATTAAAGTAGGATTGGTACTAAGTTATGATTTATGCAACATGTTAGATTATATTTATCATACAATATCGCTAACATTGATTTCCTTCAAAAATTCTTAAATCCAACTTACTATGCTAATTTTATAGAGATATTAACTATTATCTCAATTCTTTTACATCAATTTACTATAGTAGGCTTTAGTTCAGCGTTAAAATAATATTGATTTACGTTCAACATTAATTTTTATGGCTGCTCGAAACAAAATATTACTGTACTTAAGTAAAACGAATTTTATTAATTCAATTTACTTAAAATTTTTTACTTTCAAGTAACTATATTAAAAAAATTTATAAAGGCACATTAATTAATACTTGACATTATATATTGCATGTAGGACCTATAACGCTTACATGTAGTATGTGCATATATTTCAATTGAATTGAGTTTATTTTAAATGCAGACAACTTTGATTATAGGGTTAAAAATTGAGAGAAAACAACACATTTGTCTCGTAGTCACTTATACTAGATTATAGAAGTTTTAACGTCTTGTTAATATGATTACTGAGTAAACAGCAGCATACAATAAATTCAATGCCTTCAAGATAGGCAAGAATGTGTACCAGCTACCATCGAAATTTGTTAGTTATCCAGAATCAAGGAGAAATGGCTATATAGATTGTTCAAACAACTTCAGGCATAGCAATGAGGATAATGGCATTGAAAGGAGACAAATTGCATTTTAGTCGTTCATTATTAGCCCTCACCATCTGACTTTATTACCAGCTGATATATTAAAATATTTTAAGTACTTTTTTGAAGTCTAAAATTTCGAAAGAAAATTGCATGATCGTTACTACCTAATAATAATGATTTACATTTAATATTACATACTTTACTGACTCTGTTATAGTAAAAATTGAATAATACAGTATTTAACTAGAAAGAAATCTTTATTGTTATTACCACAAAGTACAGTATTTACTTATGTAATCCATTGCAATTTAGTATATTACTTTATGCTAATCTACCAAGGTCTAAAGTCTACCTATAATTACTATCCGGACTAAATTTCAGAATCTTTCTGAAAAGTACTGCTGTTCAATATTCTTGTTGCACTGCATTCACATATCATTCAGGCGTATGTAATATAATTTGTCAGTACCTTCCTAGTTTCTATGCTTAACTTCTATCCATGTTATGAAAATTAACTATAAGTTATAGTTTAGGCTGATAGTTTATCATTTTTTTCTTCACTATCAACTGCTGTTCTTCATTAGACGACTCCTAACCAATTTTTGGTCGAACTTCCAAATAATGAAACCAGGACAATGAATATCAACATGGACCAAGCTTACTGTTCACAAGAAAGTTTAAATGCTGTTATGGTCGAAGATTACCTGGCTCTTTATAACGATTCACCTGTTATTGTAAGTTTGGGTAATTGCTTGCTGCGATATTAATTTTTTTATACCATGAATAATTAATCTATGCACGATTACTTTGGAGTGATCTTACATGAAAAATTCGATATTGGTATAACGTGAAAAAGGGTGATGTTAAAGCATACTAGTCCCTTTAAACTATTAAAATAGCGCTCGAAAACCCTTCAATGTACTTTATCACCTAGGCGTAATTTTATGCTTACTACAACTCGTCGACTATCACTCATTGTATTAGCACAATTTTATTTTAGCTATTTGTCTATTTCAGTAAAGCATCTTTTCCGCTAGATTTATCACAGGCGTAAATAGATTCATCAGCTGTGAGAGTCTATCCTAAAGAGACTTAAAAATAAAATTATGAGTGTAGTTTACAGTTACTGAATATATTTTTTCAGCAGACACTTTAAAATCGTAAGGTTCTGAAATGATTTACTCTGGTTTTATATTGCACAGTATCATAGGGAAAGAGGAATAGTTTAATATATTAAGAATAAATGAATTAATTAATTTAGTTGGCTATGAACAGAACATGATAATATTTTTAAGAATTGAAAAAGCATCCAAATACCCTTTCCTGTACTTTATTCCATCAATGCTGTCAATATATCTATTTTTTAATCTTTGGTGCAATGTAATCCCATACATAATAGACATAACACAAGGCCATGAAAGTAGCATTTTTCTAATTATAGAATTTCTATTATGAACGTATTATTTATGCTGGTGTTAGTTTATCGGTCTCATAAAATAGCTTTTAATTAGATTACTAGCCAAGTGGGGTTTTCAAATCCTCTGACATTGCAACCATTTTACAGTATCAATTATACAAGTCAGTACAGTATATTGTCGACTTAAAATTTATCATTGATGATAATTATATATAATTAATCACGACCACCTCGTATACAAGCTAGCATACTATCGACTTAAAATCGTCATTGATGATGATTATAATTAATCGCCATTACCTAGTGTACGAGCTGATATGTAGCAGTGTAGTTTTAATGTAGAATTTTTCAAGAGAAAAAAGATAACAGTAAGATATTGATTTAATACGTTGGTTATTAAGACTATCTAGACTGTATATCATAGAATTTACCGTTTACTGACAAAATCAAGTTGTAACAGATAGGATTCGTAGCTATTGATTCGCTTTCAATAATGTACAAAGGATCAGTTTAGAGACGACCAATTTCCACAATAACTGATAGCCTTATTCCATAGTTGCACAATAATTTATTATAAATTTAGACGCAAATGCCTGCAATAAATAGAATACGCGATTTGTAACTAATTTGTTGCCTATAATTAATATGTAAATGATTCGTTTAGAAGGCTAAAATTTGCATGAGAGCTGACAATTTTTTATCAGTACAACCATAGTTTATTGACATCAAGCTGCATGTATGCTCATTTCGTAGTGAAGAGAAGACGGCACAATTTCTAGCTAATTATTATTAGATTTAATCAGTGTACACAAGATTATTTTAGAGCGATATGATTTGCACAATAACTGGAGACTTTTTATCGAAGTTGTACTATAATTTGTTATAAATATAGATGCGAATACTTACAATGAATGGAACGTGCGATTTACAGCTAATTACAATCAATAATTAATTAAAGTGTAAGTGATTAGTCTTGACGTCTACAATTTACATGGAAGCCTACACTTATTAATCGATACAGCGGTAATTTATTAAAATCAAGCTGTAAGCACATGAAGAGATGATACAATTTCAGACTAATTATTCGTTGTAATTAGTGTGCAAATAATTATTTCGGAGCTCTATAATTAGCACATTAACTGACAAATTTTTATCGAAAGTTATACTATAATTTATGAGAGTCAGGTGGCAATTCCTACAATGAATATAACAGCAATATATCATTTGTAGCTAAATATTAGCCACAGTTAATGATTAGTTTAAAGGTATACAATTTGCACGATAACTTACTAGCTTTATTCTTAGCTACCGTAATTAGTTAAAATTAAGCTGTAGCAAATAGAATAACAACAATTTATATTTAATTATTAACCATAACTAATGCATAAACGATTATTTTAGAGCCCTATAATTTGCACAGTGATGAACATCTTTTTACTGGCCGCTACAGTTTATTTTAGTAAAAACTATACTAGTACCCTATGCGCTTTGAATACTGCATCTTTTAGTATGCTATTACAGACATTGAATAGTGGTAGTAAAGTGTTTATTGATCAGTAGCATTTTTATAGTAATGATTAACAGTTACTGATCGCAGTATAAGACATAACATGCAGACATACTAGAACTTTAAAAGAATCTAACTATGAGAATTGGCATGATTGGTATCACTGTATTATTTTACTTCAAGTTATAAAGTACAAGAGTAATTAAAAGGCAGAGATAGATCAGCTGTGCAAGATCGATCTTATTATGGGTTTATATTATTTGCATTATTTTTGATTATTATTATTGATCAGAGTTCATTTTTAACAGGTTTTCTATCCTCTTGTCGATCGATTTCACTTTGACCAAGATGATAACCAAGTTATTGTTCAACCATTAGCAAATTCTTATGCTCATGTGGTACCTTATCAAAGACCTTACTGTGGTAGTAATGGGGAGCTTAACTGCCTCGTAGATATTCAACGGGCGATTATGCATTGGTTCCTTGAGAAGAAAAGCAAATATCTAATACTACAACGTAAGAATATTTTTCATAATATACTTATATTCGACCCTATATCACGATACTCGTGGCATAAAATGCTGTAGTCCATCATGCAGTAACTACGTCATTTCTTGGCTGTCTTTTATCTAGTTAGTAATTTATGAAATTGGTACGATCAGAATCAGAATTAGTATTTATTGCCTTAATTACAATTTATGAGACCGATATGATGGAAATCAGTTTTACTGAAGTAATTCGTATTAATAATTATAATTGCATCGCACGGATATGAGATTAGTGCATTTAGATTTAGTTTTATTATTATAGTTAATTAATATCGTCGATAATTAGGAATTAGCCTGAACTGAATCGATTTTACCGTTCTAGTTCCTACCGTCGATAGTCTAGATTCTAGAGTATCTTTGTTAATCAAAGAAACTAACATGACCGAATCAAGGATACTACAGTAATATCCTTGACGATCATTTAGCGCGATGGGAGACAGTTTTACTGCTGTAATTAATGTTATTAGAGTGACTGAAGAGATAACTCGAATCAGTTTTTCTTATTTTAATTCGTACCATTGATAATTAATCTGAGTTTGGTGTGATCGAAATCAGATTTATCCTCGTAATCGATATCGTTAATAGCTAGAATCTAAGGGATTAATATGATCAGTATTAGTTTTACCGCCATGATTAATATCATGAAGATCTATGGATCTTGCATAGTCGACGTTAATTCTATTACTGCAAATAACAATGTTAATGATCTATCAGATCATTAACGTGATAGGAATTGTTTTTATTCTATACCGTAGTTAATTAATATCATCGATAACCTGTGAGATTAGCATAACTGTAATTAGCTTCATAGTTGCAGTCAAAATATTATGTTCGGAATCAATTTTTACTAATCTAATTCTTATCATTGATCTACGAGATTAGCTCGATTAGAATCTATTTTATTGCTGCAATGGACATGCTTGATAATTTAAGAGATTAAATATATCAGAATCAGTTTCATGCTATTATTAACATAGTTGATAATGGGTAGGATTTTTATGATTGCAACGTCTTCGTTTAAATTATCTTAGGAGACCGTGCATTATTGGGCTGCAAAGTATTATTCTATCTAAGCGAGATCAGGCAGTGGCGTGAAGGCGTAATTCAAGATTTTAGTGGCAATCATTGCTCCATATTTGATCGAATGACTTTGCAATCAAAGTTGCTTGATCCAAGAATAACTGATATTCGACCAATGATCTCAGGTACAAATTAGTTTGAATGAGTAGAGCTCTATTCCTTACATGGAAATATTGCTAGCATGTTTTATTATGCATCAGTTTGTCATAGGCGAGCATAAGACTAAATCATTAATCGCGAAGAATACGAGCAACTATAATAAATTGACGATTCTCTTTAATTGAATTAAATACAGATGAAATTTTGGCTGAATTATCCGACGAAAGTACATGCTTTCGTCATGGGCGGCTTAATAGATTGTTCTCACTCAGTAATATCAAGGTTAGTTTATGGATTCAGATGCCGTATGATTAGTATTCGTGAAAAATTCTTAAAATAATTACTACATTCATGAAGAACTTGATACTAGCATTAAAATTTCAAAAGGGATAGCTAGCCAAATAGATATATATTCCTGTAATTAAGATTCTAAGTAAAATAGTCATTTTAGCGACTGCAAAGATATTTGAAAAAGCACGATACTAGAATATTATTCTTATATAGAAAGGAAATCATCGATTGCTTTTCTTCCATGTCTTTTCATATTAATAAGATTTGCAAGCACATTTCCACACTACGAAATTTTACAATATTAAAACTAACCTTTCGCAGTCGCGAAGATCCTTTCACAGAATACAATACCTAATCATCGCAATTTAAGATGACTGTATTATAAGATCTCCACAATACGAAGATATTTCGTGGTTGTATTGCATGTTATAGGAAGCAAGTTAGCTTATTACGGTACGAATAGAAGAACTCTGTACTATACTTTATCAAGAATTAGGCGTTCATTAATAAATGCCTTTAGCCATCCATTGCTATTAGTGCTATTTAAGTTTTGATACCGAAAAGGATTCATAAAAACCCTCTAATTTTAAGATTTCTACTCAATCAATACCGGTAGGATAGCAATTTGACAAGGACGATTTCCTAGGATGTTACATAGCGTTTTCAGCAATAATAATTTGTTTAAATTAAATATCCTATTTTTAACTGTTCCTTATAAACTTTGTACATTTGTAGTTGTATCAATGTATCAATGGTTCCAATTTTAATCCAACCATGGGTAAGCTTAGGTTAATAAACACGTCGTAAATCTTTAAATTGGTATTGTCTCCACATTTTGAGTTGATTTAAATCAGTGAACGAATCAATTTACTAATGCAACATTAATCTATATTGGATTAAATTGTGTTTAGTTACTCAATCTGAAAGTCGACAAAATGGTATTTTCCCTAACAGTAATTATGACGACATGCATTCAAATAATAATCACTTAGAGCTCGAGATCCCTACTTCTAAAGCTATGGCTACGCCAACTACCACATTATCATCATCACCTACGAATAATTTACTCAATAGCGTTTCATGCAATGATCAAGATCACTCATTCTTGCTAACCAAGAAGAATCAATTGGATCCTATTACCCCCAGTAATTGGAATGATGCTCTTAGATTATTACAACCAAGAAGAAAACGTAGAAGGAAGTTTGATTGTGAAACAAAATCATCTAAAAATACGGATGCCGTGGATATAAACCCAATCCAATCTGAAAAGATAGTGCAAATGACTAATCTACCGCCGGAAAATAAGAATTCTTCAGAAGATTCTAAAATGGCGGCGTCAAAAGATTCCAATGACAATCTTTCACCAGCTAATGTTGAAAAATCAGATAATGATCCAGTTCATGCAGAAGATTTACCGATCCCCAATGTAAACACTAAGGCTACGCTTCATGCTCATACATATAATTCTCAAGAATCGCAGAAAAATTTACCAGATGAAGCGAGAAGAAATTCTTCAGGTGACTGTAAAACGGCAGCGTTAGAAGATATCAATGAAAATTTTCCGCCACCTGATGTTGAAAAATCAGGTAACGATCCAGCTAAAGCAGAAGATCTATCCGCCGTCAACGTGAACACTAAGGCTACGCTTTCTGATTACGCATATAATGCTCAAGAATCGCCGATAGACTTGCCACATGAAACGAGAGAAATCGATAAATTTCAATTTGAGCTAAATTGTCTTGAATATCAATCAAAAAAAAAGAAGAAAAAAATTATGAATTTAAAATCAGATAATTTTAGGAATCAAGATTTAACATCAATTCGGAGCTCATCGTCTTCAAAGCAACTTACGTCGCTTCCGATAGGACCTCAAGCTCTACCAGTTACAAAGCATCAGGCAAAAGCAGCACCTAAATCCCTTACTGAAACTCTCGCTATGCGTACGACCTTGCCAGTTACGGATTCTTGGTCGAAACCTGAAGCAGATTCCTTACCTAAATCTTGCTTAAATGTTTCCAAAGCCATCCAAGCAGAATCCTGGGCGGAAGTATCTACGAGCGCATTATCACCTATACCTCCAAATCACTCTGGGAAACAAGACTTTAATAATGGAGTTAAATCTACGGATTCTGTAAAGAAACGGAAAAGTAAGTTATACTATCATTTTTACAATCATAGTATCTCCTTGGCATCGATTATACGCTAATTCAACAATCGATATTCGTATTAAAAGCGGAGTATAATAGTTGATGTTAAAAATTTGCATTTAAAGCTATGCCAAAATCTCTACCAAAAGATGGTTCGTTAACGCCACAGGTATATCTCATTACTAAAAAAGTTCTGGATTAATGTTAGCTTGATAATGATTGTATATACATTCGTAATTATCCATATTATAACCGTTTATTTTATGGCAGCCCTGTAGTTGCAATCAATTGGTTAAATACTTGCCACGCTGCCTAGATTGTGGTTCTTTCCAAGACGATAATTCAGATATAGAAGATAATTGCTGCCGCTTCCTCAATTTCCGATTGTAAGTAATTTCTGCTAAGCTAGCTAATAAGAAGGAGACGCAATATTTAAAATCTTACCAAGTCTCAGTATGTCCTAACCTATGTTTTTTAAATTCTGGCTGCATTTATCCGTTTTGTTATTCTAGGCTATCCTTTGCAGGCAAATGGAACGCTCGTGAATTCTGCTTAGATAAAAACAGTACTATTAGTAATATATGGCTACCGGGAAAAAATGGTAATCCTGTAATCAATCTCTACTTCGAATCAGGATGAATTAGATCGCGTTTTAAGTAATAAAATTCCATCTCAGTGTTTTTCTTCAATTCCATCTTCAGGAAAGAGGAAAAAATGTGAAAAGTTGATCTCCAGATACATTTTACAATGCACTGGTGAAATATTTTTAACAATATTAGCGGACGAACTGCAGGCTATAAAGCAAGGGGATAAAGGTAGAAGTATGCGTGTTCAATTCTTGATTATTATGCATACAGCAGTGAGTAAATAAATTATTAGATGTTTACTAGGCGATCATGTACATTTTGATCTCATCCATAACAATATTACATGAACTTGCGATTCCTTTAGACTCTATTTATATCAAGCCGTCCGTTGATGGATTTCGAGAACTATGCGATGTTTGTAGAACTTCTATATTTAATGTTCATTGGACCTGTAAATATTGTGGATTTACTGTTTGTAAAGAATGTGTTCAAGAGGATTTTATTCAAAATTCAAGTATGGGTTAGTAGTCGAAGTGGATGATAATGCGATATTTTAGATGGCATAATATTGACATTATGCTATGATATTCAGATAAAAATAAGTCCAGCTGTATATCTTGGCTAAAATGCGGTAAAAGTCGTAAATTACATACTATGGAAAGACTCATTTTAACGGAAATAATACCTCTTAAAGGTTAGTAATTAAGATTGTATGGCTATTTTGCGATAATGCTTGTCATTATTAATGGCGTTAACTTTATCTATTTAAGCTATGTCTAAATTGCAATCGACATTATCCAAAAGAATTAAACGAATAAAATATACGAGTATTTCGACACTTAATCCCGAATTAAAAGGTACTATAGTCTAGTTACCCTAATCTTGAGCTGATTTAAACATGGTTACTACTTGCTGATGTATTGCACAATTTATTGCATCATATTAATAAGATACAGTTCGCTTATGCTACATTATAATGTTATATCGATAAAGTATCTAATAAGTACATTTATTCTATCTTAGGCTACTTTACATATCCAAGTAAATATCACTTACTAATGCATTATAGAAATTCATAATATCAACTACAGTAGCATATACGATCGTACCTATTTACTATTTTATTATAAACTTCAGGACATCATTACATTGAAATCTATCAGTTCCTTGAGCTGCTTTAGATCTACGGTATTGTTATTTACTAATGCATCCAGAATTAATAGTATCAAAATGATCGATGTGGACGATATTAGTTCTGATTATGTACGCGTATATGCAATTCTTATATAATAAGTACGACAAGTATACGACTAACAATAATTGGGTTATGACTGAATCTAGATCCCCCTTTTAAATATATATGCGATGACAAATTAGTGCTATTAAATGAACCTGATCACTCGAATAACATACATTTTTTTCTCAAGAGGTGGATAAAAAATGAAGTATGTAACTAGTTTTACTAATCTACATTTTATATAATTATAAAACATACCACCATTTCAGCTGATGGACTAAATTAATAATTTGTTAACTTGTACATAGCCTGTTGTGGTATGTGGCATTCATCATAAAACGAATTCAAAATTTTGGAATCCTCAGTACTTTATCAAAAATTTTGGTATATAGCGAATGCGATGTAGTTCAATATAGATTTGGCAAACTATTTTAAAATTTGTCTTTATTTACTGTTATCCATATTAGCTCAATCTACGTGTGAAGTTATAAATTGTAGAACTGGAGCGGTAATGAAAAACTTTCCTAAAGACAAATTTTGGCTAGGATTTGATAATTATAAAGGTTATAGATTACGATAGTAGTTTAAGCATTAGCAATCAAGATAAACCGTATTACCAAGCATGTCTCTGTCATTATTAACATTGTTTATTTGTCTGTAACAGAAAGGACAAAATTTAGGAATGAAAGTACAGAAATATTAAAGCTAAAAGTAAGTAAATAATAACTATATTGATGGAAGTTGACCCATTCACGGCATATTGATATTAACATTTCAGGACTGGCCGCCAGCTGCAGATTTTCGTGAAGTCTTTCCTGATGGGTAATAATCTCCGTCTTTTTTAATTCTATTAAAGTTAATATGATTTATAAGTATGCATACACGTGTTTTCGTAACCATATAGATATGATGATATCATGTCGGCCTTTCCATTTCCCGAACTTACTTCACGTGATGGCTCCTTAAACTTAGCGGCTCAGTTAGGAAAAAAGTTAAAATTTTTATTAATCTCGTGATTTACTAGTATTTTCATTCATTAACCAAGTTATTTTTTCATTACAGCCTACCACCAAACTGTGTTAAACCAGATTTAGGTCCGAAAATGTACAATGCATATGGTGAGGGCAGGCTGGGTTATATTTTGTTATTTATAGCATCCAAATTGATCAATATAGGCACTAACATTCTAGTTTTCTACAGGTAGTGCTGCATATCCTAATTCTGGTACGACGAATCTTCACATCGATATATCGGATGCAATTAATACGATGGTGCATATAATTTGATATTATAAAATATTAAAAAAGAAAAACGATCATTCTTTACATAGTTTATTCTACGGGGTACACTTTTTAGCCGCCTTTTTAACCATCCTTTCAATAATAATATGATGTTAGGTCTACGTATCCTGGGCATACAGTAAAGATGGAAAACGCTGTCAGTATCAGATATTTTTTAACTTAATATTCTCTATGTATAATGAAAGAGATACTCGTATCTGAATTGAATGTATTCTTGTTTTACTATCTTGCAGTTACTTTAAACGATCTAGATTATGAAGATTGCGACGAATCTCAAATTAAGAGAGTTACGAAAAATGGTGAAATGCCCGTAAGTACAAGAATATAAATTCCTTTAATAGTTGTTTATTAACCTTGAGACTTTTCGTGTATCAAGTTCTGATGGCAATTTTATTTGCATAGGGCGCGATTTGGCATATCTATAGTCCTGATGATGTCGATAAAATTCGATTATTTTTAAGAGAGCATTGTGATAAAAAACAGACTATTCATTCGGATCCCATTCATGACCAGGTGAGTTGGATATATCAATAAAACGTATAACTGGTGTCCTTTATAAAATATATTATTTCTTATAGAGCTTCTACATTACGCCAAGTCTAAGAAAAATCCTCCATGAAAGATATGAGGTAAAAGGCTGGGCTATTTTACAATGTCAAGGTGATGCCATCATTATTCCAGCCGGTGCTCCCCATCAGGTAGGCAAATCATATGCATTTATGATACTGGAACAAGGTACATTATAGTGAAACTATCATCGAATATATATCATTTAGTTTGACCTTGCCTATTTGTTGTTTCTATAGGTTAAAAATTTAAATAACTGTATAAAAATAGCGGAAGACTTTATCTCACCTGAAGTAAGTGCAATCGTCGACCAATATTAGCTTACAATAATAAATCTTGTGGCATTCCCGATAGTATAATAAAGAGAAGTTTTACATCTTGATTTAAGCAATAAAATATCACAACAATAATAGGCTACTACGAGAGCCTTTACAGTACATCGCATAAAATGTACATTTTTCATCGAGATATCGCTGTAGAGATTATTATACAATTACTGGTCTATACTATATCAAATAGGAAGAAATATTAATTTTATAACTTATAGATTATTACTTAAAATGAACGAAAGAATAGGAAAACTTTATATTCATTTCACGGCATATCGACTGATTGATCAGTGCTTAAAATGAACATAGAAGTTTATCTTTTTATTATTCATTTCTTAGCATATTAATCAATGCTTGAAATTAACTGAAGAATTTCGAAAATTGTCTGATTTCCACAGTAACCATGAAGATAAGTTACAGGTTTGTCTATCGATAATTATCATTAAGCTAGAAATTACCTTCTTCTCTTAATACTTAACTAATTAATGGCTTGCTTTGATCGACAGATTAAAAACATTTTGTACCATACTGTAAAAAATGCTTTGTCTACTTGATATATTGTAAGTAACGTCTAAGTATCATGGACGTTAATGGTATACTGGATGAAAAGAAAAAGAATCAACCAAGACAAGATTTTTTAATTTATTACATTGACCGTCCTTGGAAATGCCACTGAAACTGATTTTTTAATAATATCCTATGAATAGTTATTACTCTAATTTTCAGCAAAACTGTTCTATCGATGTATTGTTATTGACTCTTGCTAGCCTACTAAATTGGAAATAGTGATTTAGTTAGATGGTCTTTAGATTATGTAAATGTCTCATCACTATCACCCATCTACAACTCAATTTTAGACTTATTTGTACATTCTAATACCAGGATTATTTTTTTTATGTATTAGGTCATATATATTGTGATATTTTGGAAGGTTGAGAGTTCGGCATTCGTCGCAATAAAGTAAAATAGAATAGTTAACGGAAGAGTAATCTTTATTGAACTAGTGTAAGAGAATAATCGTGTAAGATTGTCGTGCGAGTAACGACGTGACTAGTCGAATAACTATAGTAGTGTAGAATAGGTAAAGCGTGCAAGCTTACCATATAATTACCAGAACTAATTAATGCGATAGGCGAAAGAAGATAGCTTTTATAATATTAAGAGCACTGCAGGAGGAAATTACTTATAGACACGGATGATTCATAATAATATGTTACTTCTATGCAAGGGTAATGTTACGGTATAATCTAGCTAGCGTCTAAGATTTCCGCAATGTAAATCGTTAAATATAAGTTAAGCATATTAAGAGTTATGATACAGTCTAGTGGAAATAAACGTTTCACTAAAAATAAACTATACTGTATTTAGAAGTAAACACTGCATATATGTATTTATTTTTTAATGAATCGAAGCAGGGCTACAGTATATTACGGGTGGAGAATGGAATAAATCCTAATGATTGTTCTTCGTTCGATATCCTCTATCGATATAGTTACGCCTATTTGACACCGTATTAACATTTATACCTGTACACTATGTTATAGTAACTATAGGAAAGAATCAATTTTTGATTGTATAATAATGTAAATAAAGTAAATAACGATTTATCGGATTTATTGGCACTATGGTAGAAATCAATCCATACGTACTACTCAGGCGAATGTATGTACATAAAATCTAGATATCATCAGAGATTTCAACAAGCTAGAGAACTAGGCTGTAGCAAAATACGCTCGATCATGAAATTCCAGTAATCATAAGATGAGCGCTAGATCTAAGTAAACTGGTGATGTCAAAGATTACATTTAGGTATTAAGATAGTCGTGCACTGTTGGTGGGTAATTTAGCGACGATCGCTGTAGCCTTAAGTAAGATTGCAGGGTGCCTTGGTAGGAGATAGTTCAATCTAAAACCTGAGAGCTAGCTGTGTATAATTTATGTGGTCTAAGTTTTACTATTGAAAATATTCAACAATAAGTTTTAAAGTTGTAAATTATTTTTAATTGCTACACTTAGAGCCTAACCTTATAGATGACTAGATTAGAGTAGGGCTACCTACTCGTAGTACTTTATTATATAGGTAAAACAAGGAAGGAGTGATTTGATAGAATATATTACTTTATCGACGTACCGTAACTTTTATACTGTACATAGGTCATTAAATGAGCCTCAAACAGCCTTGTAATTTTATGCAGCCTTGCTCTATTATTAACACAAAGTTCATTCTCGATATTGTGATGGAGGGGATAGCCCTTTCTTGATTACCATAGTTCCTTTTATAAAACCTTTATTGAAATTACCAACTCTTGTCTTACATGGGACTATATGCAGTAGTATTATACGCCTACATTGTAACTACCTGTTATAATATATGCCTGGTGAGAGTTGACAATATTTTTAATTAAGCCTTCCACTATATAACAATATAAAGATCAACCATTATGCCATTAATCTCCGGGAAGAATTTAAATAGAGCAATTAAGGCATACGAATATGCTATTGCGCAGTATTGATGACATTAATCGCGTGGCAGGGCTTTTCATTTTCGTTTCTCTTCATTATTTTGGAACGAGCGAAAGTAGAGTTTATTTGAACAAGTTAGACTTGTATACGTCTATGAACTAAAATTAAATCATAATTGGTTGATAATTGAGTATTGACTGATAAGCAGCTGTTATAAGTTTAAACATCCGTCATAACACCAGGCCTATCCGAAAGTAAATACAACGTGAAGACATTGGATCGATTCTTAACGTAAGTTGTCTTACACCATTACGATTGGTATATTTTATTTTACCGCTAATGTCAATATTTATATTAAATACTGAGTATATTACATATCCTATTTCTTTTTTCCTCCATTTTATCAGTTGTAGTACTTTAATTACATTAATTTGTATAAGTATTAAAATAAATATTTGATTTGGTACTGATTATTCTCGCACATCACCGCTAGTGTGCAGTTTGTAATGATTCGTATAAATAACTATTCTGACTGAACAGAACTCCAATTTGCTAGTGCAGGTAATTCTTAGCCAATATTTTATCTTTGGTAATAGTCTAGAATCATTAATCTGTAAGGGTAACTGAAATTGCATTTGTACGTGTATACGAATCACAAGTGGATCTTTCTATTTAAGAATTTTTCCATCGTGCTGTACCTAACAACCTTTATATTATACTATTTGTATTTGTAATTTTATTGAAGCATGATTATTTGTGCATGCAAAAGATTGATGGATCTAGAATTAAATAAATATTTCAATAACATTTAGATATATAGTTTAGATATAATTTCATTTCTTTCAATGTTCTATTGATGTTAGGAATCAATGTGTGCAGACGTTACAAGGCCTCTAACCTCTACAACTTTTTCGCTAGTTAATTATTACTAAATTGGAATATATGGCCGCCGATCAATTTTGTCATAGAGCGAGTACTATTCCTCATCAGATACAATCTCTATGTGCACAAGGTCAGAAATGCCTGACAGCTTACAATTTGAAAGAAGCACAAAGTTATTACATGCAAGCTATTAACGAAATTGAATCAATACCCAATACTTCCGCTGATATAGATCAATTCCTATGCGATCTTTATCTTAATACTTGTCACATTTATACATTGCAATACGAGTGGACTAAAGCCAGGGAGCTGATTGCTAAGGGAAAATATCTGGCTAATAAACTGCAGGATCCAGTCAGACTGGCTGAATTTTTATACCGACAAGGTCAGCTGAAGATATCACAGCGTGATTTAAATGGGGCATTAGAAGATAGTAAGAAATCTTTGGAGATGAAATTAAAGTACTTAGGCAAGCTAGACTTACGTATTGCCAATTCTTATCATGAAATTGGACGAATTTATGATTTTAAAGGTCAATATGATAAGGCTCTTGATATGTATGACGAGTCTCTAAAAATTCGGTTATCAGTCCTTGGACATAATCATCCTCATATTGCCAAATCGTATAACAATATCGGAGTTACCTTTGAGAAGCAAAGCCGATATGATGAAGCCCTTTCTATGTATAGCAAGTCCCTTAAAATTCGAATATCAGTTCATGGCCAAAACCATCCTGATATTTCGAAGTCATATAACAACATGGGAGTCGTCTATGAGAAACAAGGAAAGCATGACGAGGCTCTTTCCATGTACGAAAAGTCACTTAAAATTCGATTGTCAGCCCTTAACCACAATCATCCCCATGTGGCACAATCTTATAACAACATGGGCATTGTATATAGGAATCAGGGTAAGCTTGAACAGGCCCTTTCAATGTATAATAAATCGCTTAAAATTCGATTGTCAGTCCTTGGTGACAATCATCTCAATGTTGCAGAATGTTATAACAATATGGGGAATGTCTATTTTGATCAACGCAATTATGGTGAGGCTCTTTCTATGTATGAGAAGTCACTAAACATAAAACTATCAGTCTTAGGTGAAAATCATTCCAGTGTTAAAAAGATGAGAGATACCATAGCTATTATACGATGGCAGCAATCCAACCTACAGCCGTCAACATCAATAGCTAAAAGAGCTTTCGATGGCTTTGTTAGGCTATTCTGGGGAAATGGTATAATAAAGATTACGCCACCGGAAAATAATAACATCAGCAATAACAACCCACATGGCAACAGTAATCAACAAGCTCAAGACAAAGGTAAATCTTTAATCGAATTGTTATGGTTGGTATGACTTTATTAAGTAATTCTTCATTAAATATAGTATTTTATTTTGTTATTTTATAGCTTTACAACAAAAGAAATATTACAATGCATATATCAAAGCATTAGATCAAGGTCAATGCCGTAATAGTTTGATTCGTGGGATGTTTGTCGGTCCTCGTAATGTTGGTAAATCATCTATTATCAAATTATTTACTCAACAAGTGTTAATTAGCAATCAATCACCAACACGAGTTGCTGAAGACTCTCATAAAATGGTAGAGACTGAATCTTATAATATTCATAATTTGGAAATTTGTGATTTCAATCAGATATTACATGATACAGTGACAACAGTCATAGAACAATTAGCCGAAGTAACAGCAGAGAATCAGCAAAATATCAGTCAGCAAACAACGGATACCAGTATCATAGATCAACAAATTAGCATGGATGATCTATCTGAGGAAAATCAATTCGAAGATAAACCACATTCTCCTATAGGTATTATCGATGATGTAGGAGCTCTTATATCGTCAAAAACGGTTCAAACTCAATCTCAGCCTGTAACTAGCTTACATGAGCATTATTGTTCATCAATCATAAACCAAAACAAAAATAATCGTGATAATAACCAATATATTAAAATATGGGATTTCGGAGGTCACGCAATCTATCATGTTACACATCATCCATTCATGTCTGCTAATAGTATATATATTCTCACATTTAACATTAATCAAGATATTAACGCTAATGTGCTAACAAGAGATGGACAAGTACTTAAAATGACATATTTAAAGGCTATGCAAGAATGGTTAACATCAATTATAGGAGGCCACAGTAATCAAAGTAAAATTGACGTTAACGTCAACGATGACCATGCACAATACTCATTACCTATAATTATTCTAGTAGCTTCCCATAGCGATTGCATTAAACATGAAGAAGAACGACATCGTCGATTTAAACAATTTGTTAGAGAGCTGATATCTTCTATACCGTCTTATAAGAGTCATATCTACTCTTCTGGTATTATTTTTAATTGCGACCCTGATGATAATAGACCATCGACAGTGGAGCAACGTCAGCAATATTGTCTTCATTTACATTACGTTATTAAAACGTTTGTACAATCGTTACCATTTATTCGTAATCCTGTTCCTATTCGATGGTACATTATGGCTACAATATTAAGCGCATCTCTACATAAGCATAACAATCAATCGATATCTCGTACTATTAATCTAATAAGAACTACTCAAGTGAATAATATCATGACAGTGCAAGAAATAAAATACTTAGCTCAAGAGTATGGATTGTACAAAAGTGATGATGAATTAAGAGATATGCTAATGTACTTACATGATTTAGGAGAAGTTATATTTTGCCATAAAGTAGGCGATTCAGGAATTGTTATAACTAATGTCGATTGGTTATTAAATATATTTCGTGCAATCATTCAACTAAAAGATCATCTAGATGGTAGTCTACAAGTGAGATATGAATACCAAAAAGCCAGTGAAACAGGAAGATTATCAAGAAATTACATCGATTATGCTATCGATAAATTTAATTTGGATGAAAATAGTAAAAAGACAATATTGAATCTAATGGAGGCGTATGATATTATATGTGCCATTAGACATGAAGAAGGCAATACATGTAGTGCAGTAGAATATGAATATTTTGTTCCATATTTATTGAGAGATGATGCTAAGCCATTTGATTTATCAAAATATCATGTATCAGATTGGCTTTATATCGGATACGACAGTCAAGATATTCCTTATATCCCAGATGGAATTTATTACTGTCTACTTTCATCATGCTTAAAACAATGGAATAATACCGATGTAGAACTATATTATCAATGTGCTAAATATTATCTAGCAGATGATGATCATTATCTCATTGTCAAGAAAGAGGAATCTTATATAGGATTACAATATTGCTTTCAGAAAATAAATAGATCAATTATTGCCAAGCCAGTTATAGATAAAGTTAAGAATTCTATATATCATAACCGGCCTCAAGATGTTGTTAAAAATAGATTGATGTCGATAGTGGATAAAAGAATGATAAGATTTCGAGGAGCTAGTTGTCGATTTTACATTAAATGCAGTGAATGTTGCAAGCAAACGAGTATTGTCGATAAATATAAGGCGGGAGATATAAATTGGATTCAGTGTCAACATTGTAGAATGCGATTTGCAAGTCAATCTCTTGGCGATTGGATGGTTTATGACGAAAAGTTATGGATGGGTAAGTATTTAAGATCTATCTGTATCATTATTTCTATAGATAATCATGATGATTCGCGTAACTTCGACATCTTTTGATAATAACAGTAACCAGCAAATAATCTTTGCGTCTCGGGTTTCCTTATATAAAATCTTTAAACTACTGTTACGATAACTATGATTTTATCAATAGTAATTGCATAGCAAGAACTAAAATAAGCAAGTAAAATGTTACTATATGAGAATATGAGCAACACAAGAGTAGAATACGTTAACTCCATAGCTTTACACTATCTTTCACGTATGCTAGTATGAATAATGGTATAACATTAGAACACATAAAAAGCAAGTAATAAAAGGAACCTGTATAATCTATTTAAATAAAAACTCATATATAAATACGACTGTAAATTTACAGAGTATTTATATACTGTATACGTGAATTCAGTATGTAGCGTTGCTGCTCCGTTTCGATAAAAATTCTTACGATTACTAATCTAAAATTTCCTTACAATCCCATAGAGCGATGGATAGACGCGAATGATAAAGGTAAAACCAGTTTCTATACTGCTTCTTTTAAGAAGTTTGAATACTAAATATAATCAATAGCTGTGAAGTAATTTAAATAAACATACTCTAATGAGCATACGAGCTATCGTCTATCTTATTCATATTGTGATTATATAAATAATGATACAAATCATTCCAATCACGATTGAAACGTTTGAGCTAGTTAACAGTAAACTATTGTGGATTTATATCATAGCTTATTCGCCATTTAAAAATTTAAAGACTAACTGTGATGTATATACACACTCATATTTAGCAGATCCTAGAAATTATTTTCATTCTATTGCAAGCTCTATTGGTTTAGATTGGATAAAATTAGCAACGGTGCTAGATCCAGCTATTGATGTTGAGGTTATCAAGGAACAAAATCGCGATCACGTATATAACCAAGCGAAGCAATTACTTAATTTGTGGTACAAAACGAAACAGCCAAATGCGAGCCTTAATGAATTGCAGATTGCTTTAAAAATGATAAACAGAAATGATATTATATTGGAGAAGAAGCGAACGAAACTCTTACAGCGTGAATAACCAGTATTCAAAGTTTTTTTTGTGCTGCAGATTGCAATTTGTAATATATTTGGATTGACTTATCTAATAGTACAGTCAAATCCTACAGTTGAAATTTATTTTAAATTCTTTCTGTACTTTAGTTGAAACAGATCAAGTTTTTGCAGTCACTGGTAGTTAAATCAGTTAGATACGTTATTATTTTAACTCAGTAACTTAACTGTCACGATAATGTTATACGCAATATGCTTATTATAACAAAGCCAATCTTCATTTAATTTTTTCCCGTGTGATTTTGAAAAAGTGAAATTACAATGTTTTGATACAAAATATGATTTATATCATCTTATTTAAATTATTAGCTGGAAGCCTACTAAATAGCTTATGAATCATTACTAAAGGCCGCTCAGTTCTTTTGGATCTTCAAATATTTCTCAATTTTACTATCCAGATGCGCTTACACTTGTATTAATTATTTAATACATTGATAAATCTAGCAGCATTTAATATAGAATAAAGCTATATATATAAATGCTTATAATTATTTATTTTGGCCCGGTAGATACTACCAAATTATCTGAATAGACTACACATACATTTACTATATTTATTTATAGTATATCCGCTGTGACTGTACGAATTCTTGTTGTATACGCACATAATGCATATAAAAATAGTGAGAACGTACAGTAAATTGCAATTCATTATTTGGCAACCCACATCTCTAAAATTACAAGCTAAGTCATGATCTTGGCCTAAAACTTCGTTCATGATTATACTGTAATTCTGCTAAATGAGCTAATTATCTACAGTACATATTGATATAATATCTTATATGATGTCTTACTCTGCTAGTATAGCTGTTAACTCTTTAACGTGTCACTTATAAGGTATTTATACGCATATGTTGATTGATGATATAGCTAATATATATCTGAATCAAATGATTTTAAATGCATTAAATATAAACGATTTAGATGATTTAAGCATGCCAGGTTGGATAGCATCATCAATTTTATAAAATTACCTCCATTTTTACCGTACATCGGTAGTTAAATTGATATTTATAAAAACGGAGTGCATGTAAATTAATTATTCTTTGCACGGTATTCGTTTACCCATTAACTGCAATTTCGATCCACTGGTGTGATGGTAACGTGGACGACACACATGGTCCAATGGCGTGAAAATCTATTATAATATTATAGCTAAATTTAAGTAACTTGTTCATGATCGAACCGCGACTGGTAAGCTATCAAAACTACATAACCGTCATAACACTCACTAGTCCTATCTAGGTTCGATTATAAATTGAAAATATCTAATCGATATTAATGTAAGCCATCTTACATCATACCACAATCCTCATATTATGTTTCATTATTGAGTTATAGATATTTGATTGTACATTGTATTAATTTACCATACATCACATATCATTTCTGGTCTTCTTTTGTGTTATTATCTACGATAGTGCATATTAACTCGCCTAAGCTTTAAATAATTTGATTTGGCAGTTGAGTTTCATGAACCTGCATTTTCTATGTTAGTTTGATATAATTCCACTTTATTAATCCGCCCACTATATCTACTATCCCTACTATCCTTGACAGATAGATCATCATTCAAACAGGGTCAGTAATACCGGACCGCATACAATTTAGGGAAAGTTGACTTATTTTACTCAAACTATAGATGAAATTGAATCAATATCTATACTTCTACTGATTTTGATGGACTTCGGTGCGATATTTCTCTTGAAATTTATAATACTTACAGGTTGCAATATAAAATCTTGAAAGCCAATGAATGGCTTGCGAAGGGGCGACACCCGGCTAATAAACTGTAAGATGAAGTCAAAAAGACTGAATGCTTATACTGACAGAGGCAGATTAAATATCCCAAAACGATTGGAATAGAGCATTAGAAGATAGTAAAAATCACTAGAAATAAAACTAAAATGTTTAGATGACGATGATTTGCATATTGCTAATTCATATCATGAAATGGAGCGCTCTTACGTACTATAGTAAGTATGAAGAAACTCTTTCTATGTATGATAAATCACTTGACATTCGATTATCAGCCCTTGGTCAAAACTATTCCGATGTTACTAAATTATATAACAATATGGGAATTATCTTTCATTATTAAAACAAATTTGACGAGTCTCTTTCTATGTACGATAAGTCACTTAATATTTGATCTTTATCAGTCTTTGGTCAAAATTATCCCGATGTTACAGATTCGTATAACTACATATGATTTATCCTTAAAAATTAAGGCAAGTACGACGAGGTTCTTTCTGTGATAAGTCACTTAATATTCGATTATTAGTCTTTGATCAAAATCATTCCGATGTGAATGTTCTTATGATAACATTGGATCTGTCTATAAAAATCAGGGCAAGTATGCCGAGGCTCTTTCTACGTATGATGAATCCCTTAATATTCGATTATCAGTCTTTGGTCAAAATCATCCCAACGTTGCCAAATTATATCGCAATATGGGAATTGTCTTCCATTATCAAAGCAAGTATGACAAGGCTCTTTCTATGTATGATAAATCACTTAATATTCGATTAATTATCAGTCTTTGGTCAAAACCATTCTGATGCTGCAGATTCATATACCAACATAGAATTGTCTACAGAGACAAAGGCAAGTACGATAAGGTTCTTTCTATGTATGATAAATCATTTAATATTCGATTACTAGTTCTTAGTCAAAATCATCCCGATGTTACAGATTCATACAATAACACGGCAATTATCTATAAAATTTAAGGCAAGTATAACAAGACTTTTTCTATGTATGATAAATCACTTAATGTTCGATTAGTTATCACTCTGGTCAAAACCATTTCGATGTTACAGATTCGTATGAAAACATAGGATTTATCTACAGGAATCAACTCAGTACAATGAGGCCCTTTCTTTGTGTGATAAATCACTTAGTATTCGATTATCAGTCTTTAGTCAAAATCATTCTGATGTTGCAAATTCATATAAAAACATGGGAGTTTCTATAAAAATTAAAGCAAGTATGACGGGGCTCTTTCTATGTATGAATTACTTAATATTCGATCGTCAGTTCTTGGTCAAAATCATTCCGATGTTGCTCAGTCATATGAAAGCATATGAGATGCTAATATTAAGAAAAGAAAGTATATTGAAGCTCTTTCTATATATTACAAGTCACTTAATATTTGATTTTCAGTCTTCAGTGAAGATCATCCCAATGCTACGGATTTATATCACAACCTAAGAGTTTTCTACGGAAACAAATCAAGCATTATGAGGCTCATTCTATGTTTGACAAGTCACTTAGAATTAATTTATCAGTCCTTGGTACAAATCATCCCGATCTTGGATATTTATATTACAACATAGGATTCGCCTATGAAAGTCAAAGCATGTATGATGAGGCTATTTCAGCATATGAGAAATCATTCAATATTAGACTTTCAGGCTTGAGTAAAACCATGCTCTTACTACTTTGGCAAAGAACAATTTAAAGAGAGCCCAGAGGCGGCAACAGATTCGATCGATGGCTAGAAGAGCTGTGTATAATGTTGTTAGACTATTTTGAGGAAATGATACCAGCATGGCTATACCGTTATAATCCTGAAATTGTAGCAAGTGTTTTCTCATATAATGTAATATGTTTTATATTCTATTTTATGATCTTACAGCTTTAGAACAAAAGATTTACTTTAATGCGTATGACAGAGCATTAAATCAAGGCTAATGCCTTAATAATCTGATACGAGGGATTTATATTGGTCCTCGTAACGTTGGTAAAATCATCTATCATAATATTACATGAACGATCTGGGCAAATGGAATGATATTTTAAAATATCCCATATGCAATGTTTGACTCAGTGTCTTTGATAATTAATGCACAGTTATTCTTAAATTGATTTTTATTTTTTATGCAGTATCAAAATAGCATTTAATATATAAAATCTTGAAGTTGTTTGTGCTTACTGTGAAATTGTAACAAAATGAAGTTTATAATTGCCGACACTTTAAATATCCTATTAATTTTCTGTTATATAGGAGTATCATTCTTTTGAAAGATTTTAAAAAAATTAAAAGTCATGATAAAAACATTTTTAAATATCTTTAGAAGTCTTTCACTCGATCTCTATAATCATTTAGTATTATCACACATCTATTGTGCTTTTACACATTGATACCATATCAATTTCTTGAATATCATTAATGAAATTCCATGTATACAACTCTATGTATTATTGACTATTATATACTTTAACACATCCCAGATTTTTTCCCGCGAATACTATAAATTGATATTTCAGCCTTATATTCTCAAATGCAATCAATTTTGTGGATATATTAGTATATAAAATATATACATAGATTATACGTTACCGGTGCTTAACATTAATAAGTTTCTAATAACACCGATAAAAGTCTTTTAACCTAGCCAAAATATGTTTCCGCTTTTATTTGATCACTATCATGGATAAAACCTGTTGTAACAGTTATAAATATGAACAGTATCCGAAAAAAGACAGCCACTTAACGTCTTACATATAGAATCTAACAAATTATACATGATTCCTTTTTTTTATCAAACGATATTCGTCTGTCAAATGATATTCGACGGTCGAATGACAATCGTCGATCGAAGGATAGCCGTCGTGGCGCTTCATTTTTAGGTACAATTTGAGATAGAAAATAAAAATACCCTTTATCATCTGTTGTAGCTAATGATTTCATATCATCAGCGTAATAAGCCATCGATGCATTACCATATAATGGGAAGCGTTGGATTAATTCTTCATCTTCAATTTGCCACCAAGCTAAACTATCACCTACAGTTAAGAGAATTCTATCGTCTTGCATGAAATAACAATTTAAAACTTGGGTCGTATGGCCGCGAAATCGGTATCGCAATCTTCCAGACCGAACATTCCACATCTAATTGAGAAGAAAGACCTTTTCAATTTTAAAGTTTCAACCTTACATCAATTTGATGGCTAAATGTTCTGTTAAGCTATCATCGTAACATTAAAAACATTCAACTCTTAAAATTTCCTCTATATGAATTATTTTTAATAACAGTTCTACTTTTCGTATTATTAATTTGTATCCGAAACAGAAAGGATATGAAAATCAGTCAACTTTTACTTTACATTCATAAAATGACAAATCACACAATACAGTATAGGCAGCTAATCTAAGTATTGGAATAAAGTTATACCTTTAAAGTTTCTGCATACTCAAAATTAGGATAAATAATAATATCGTATGAACATTAACGTACTTATTTATAGGTCATCGTTACCTTAACTGAACCATCAACACAGCAAGTGGCCAAAAATTGGCAGTTGATTGAAAATTTGCAAGTATTAACGCTAGAGTAATGATCTAAGGAAGCCAATTGTGAACCAGTGGTGCAATCCCAAATCTATGAGCAATATGCCGTAAAATGATAAGTTTCAATCATATAATTACTGTACAGCATTAAGCAGGTACTATGTGTTAGATATATTTCAGCACTGAGTTTCTCTATGTGATAGGTTATAGCATAATTTTTTTTAATATATTTTTATTTAATAAAGGCTAAAAGCTTTTATGAACATTTTAACTCAGCTCTCTTATATACAGTGGATTCAGAGTGCGATAATAGAATCCTTTGGTACCGGTACAGTATTCATGTTTAAATATGAACTTTAACATCCTATGATTTAGCTTAAATATTTTATATTTTATATAAGACTTGTTAATTCTGTATACTTTCAGTGAAAATCTATGTAATTCTATGCTCTGATCCTTGATCTTGCAGATATAGTATCGTCCAGTAGGAGTTATACTGGCAAACTTTTAATTAGCAGAAAGTATTATAATTTGCATGCGTTTTGATTGAACTTGGAACTCTTCTATATAATGTGCTGTAGATATATTGCAATATTTTAGCAAAAACTTTACAGTTTTATGATTTAGCTTGAATATTAGCAGACTTGACGACTCACCTTGACTATCTTGTCAAAGGAGAGAGTTGCTAGCATATTTTCGTCATAAGAGATATCGAAATGCGCAATAATATCGTTATGCGCTCTAACAGTGACAACTTGGCTTACGTCATAGCAATGCCAAATCTAGAATAATTCATTTAAGAACAATTAAATATTACGAATTAGTTTAGAAGGAAAGGCATTTTATAAAATCTTATTTTCCAGCAAAATTAAAGAAGAAAATAAATAGAATGACAGGATAACGTACTTTAAAACTTTCGTCATAGCAACCAAGAACTCTTTGGCCAGTTGGAAATATTGCACAACCGGTGATATCGCCATGATTTTTACCACTCTTAAAGAGTACAGCTCCGGTCGAGCTTAAGACCTAACCCATTTCAAAATTAATTTGATGTTTTAAGTTGACTTTCTAACTAATCTGTTCAATCCATAGAACTAAGATAAATGATACAACTTACAAATAATTGCCGGTTGCCATCTTTAACAATCAAATTGTTATCATTGCTGCTAAATTTGATTAACGTAATACACGTCATCTCGCACAAGTTTCCTTTAACATGCCATAGGCAATTCTTGATGTCGTTGGCGGATAATAACTAGAGAGTAATAAAATGCTAAGATATTTATCTATAATAGACGTTATGAATTTGCTAAGTAAAGGACTGCAGATAGGCAATTTTACCTGTATAAGTATAAAATTCTTAGTTAAAAATGGTTCACATCTCCTCTTACCTGTACTCCACCAGCTTCACTAAAACCTATTGCAACTTGCTTTCCGTTATTTGATATACAGATTGCGGTAATTCTATGGCCAAAGGTGCTATACTTTGAGATTAATTTAAACTCTTTGTCGGTTCCAGCATACATCTAAAAGCAGGATAGTGGAATAGATTTCAAAAGCAATGACAATAGGTCTTACTAACGCAGTAGTGCGACGATAAAATATTGCTAGCAATTAATGGACAAATTAGTAAAAGATTCATTAAGTCATGGGAAATTCAAATTGAAAGTTTTAATATCAAAAATATTGAATAGCTAATAGTTAGCTAAACTGGATATATCAAGAAAAGATGAATATATTATTGTAATTTCTAATTTAGACTTTTCAAAAGGAAGTGGAAAATGTTATTTAAACTATAATTTTAGGAAGATTCGCTATCATTTTAAGCATTGGAAACTAAATTTAAGATTGCTTAAGGGTTAGCTGTCATTTTTAAGCCGACACATTAAAAGTTAATGATAAATAAATATTATTGTACTGTTGCAATTTCAAAATGTTTTAATTACTGGTCTGGTAGTTATTCAATGCAAACATCGAGTACTCAATAAATTATTGAAAATTGTAATTTCTACATGTGGATAATTATATAGAAATGATCAGGCCGTACTTGAGGTATAGCAATTAATGAATAACAGAAATTTCATCCAATGATGGTAAAGTAAAAGTTGTTAACTTCCTTTTAACAGAATCGGTGATATCTTGGTAAGAGGTATAATTATCTCCCTACGAATCAAGCAAAATACTCCGGACCATATAACCTACCTTTAATCGATTTTTTTCGTCATGTACCGCATAAACTACAAGGCAGTTTTCGATAAATTTGCATTCGTATAACTCTAAACTGGGTAAATTATTCTTAACTTGAACGGCGCGATTTAATTTTTTCTTATTACGGTGCCATATCTTAATGGTCTTATCATAGGAAGCAGTAACAATAGTTTGATCATTTGGCGAAAATTGAACACTATAAATATTATTCGAGTGTCCGTAGTAGATAGATATTAATTTTTTCTTTTTATTATCCCATACCTAGGAGAAAGAACGGATGAAAGTACAACTCTTGGTAAATATTAGTAGTTTTATTCCAATTACTACTGGTTCTAATCGAAATGATTGGTTACCACAGCTGATTTAATGCAACTAGCTGCAATAGTTTAGTACATAAGTTACTCCTTACTTGTAAAGAAATATCTTTCTTCTTGAAGACATTGTAAACGCACAGAGCAAAAAATTTACTGTCTAAGCTAACGGCGGACGCTGTAATTTCTCCCGAGCAATAAAATTGGCCTAGTGATGATCCATTATGAGCATTCCACATGCATACTGTGTTTCGACAGATGCACATTAATTTATTGCAATCATCGAAAAATGAGCAGGCGGAAACCCGATGAGGGCAACGACATGAGAAAATTAGTTTGCCATTGCTGGTATCCCACATCTTATGGTAGAATAGAAACCAAAGAGAGCGATTAATGTTCTTAGGGACTATTTTTCTACTGCTGCGACGATTAGACAGTTATCATTCTAATAATTTAAATACACCGTGCTAAAGCCAAATGTTATGAGATCTAAAAATATCATGATGGAATTGCTGAATACTCTCAAATTCTACTATTTGTATCATCATTTCTAAGGGTTCATAACACAGAACGATACTTTAGCCATCCATGTTAGGAAGCCTGAGAGTATATCGGAGTTATCCCTATGAAATTCCGTCAACTAATCTACAGTATTACATGGTGTTTCTGTTAATATTAAACCGTATATCCTTTCGCTGTTAACTCACTATGTTATCAACAGGATTTAGCATAGCGATAAGTTTACACAAAACAAGCAGCATTATAGTACAATTCTACCTTTAAAGATTCGTCAGATGAACAAGAAACGACTTTTCTGTCATCTTTGGAAAAACGGCATTGTAAAACTCCACCGCTGTGGCCACGACAAATGACAAGATCTTTACCGGTTCTGCTATCCCATATCTAAACCAAATCATAAAGGGTACCGATAAATATCAGAAAATAGGCAAATGGTTTCTTATGTTTACATTCATCTTTACGCAAAATCATGTTGCGTTTGATAAAAATAATATATAAGCAAACTCTAAAATGATACACTCAATTATATCAACCTTAATTAATTTGTCAGCGGAACAGGAAACTATTTTTTCGCCGTCCATGGAAAATTCACACCAATTAACAGCAAATAAATGGCTCTCATATTTAAATACAATTTTCCCGGTATAGACATCCCAAATCTGCAATAAATAGTTTTATAAGTTTATATTCTAGGTTTAAATGACCATCGAAGGAATTCATGAATAAAATGCTATTTTGATGATCTAGATAACATGATGCCATAATAATTTACAATAAAGCTATTAGGGAAATCGATCAAATGCTATGATCATTAAAACGATCTAGATACAAAATTACGTTGCAGGCCATGATAAGGCCATCGGAGAAAATGATTAATGATAGTGCTCTGAACATTCTGATGATTATGATCAAAACAACATTCTTGTTGATAGTAATTAGTTATAATAGACTATGATAGGAATGTATCAGAGTAAATAATTCCGGTAAGTGAATTTATTTTCTCTCACAGCATCAGTATTATTCATTACGAAATCTTAAACATTAGTTCGCTTATTTAAAATAATTATAGTATTATAAACAATTTACCTTTACAGAGTGATCCCACGATGATGTGGCAATGAGTTTATCATTAGGTGAAAAGCAACAGTGGGTTATTCGATCACTGTGGCCACAGTTAATGGAAATTAATACAGCGGAGGATAAACTATCCCAGACCTTATGAGATGGAAGAACTCTAGTTAAATTTAAAGTTCTACGCAGGATAATTGTCACTGAATCGATTAAAATTTGTATAAATAAATTGAGAATAGGACACTATCAAACCTTAATTTCGCCTCCATCACAACATGATACAATTTTGCTGCCATCATGTGAAAATCTGCAACATGTTATTCGATCGTTATGGATTTCCGTAGATGAAATGGATTGATCGGTAACATCGTATTGATGATTGTTGCTATCGATTAAAAAATAGAGAAAAAGTTGTAGTATTAACTTTAAAGCTCAGCTTGGACCAATTAATAAGCAATTTACGACAAATGATCAAAGTAATAGGATGATGGATTGCTGCTGATTTTTAATCTTGCTATTGCCACAAGTTAACTCAGGTGGTTTGAAATAGGCTATAGCTGTTAGAATTGACGACGAACAGTTTGTCTAATGGCGGTTTTGATAACATCTTACCTCCATTTAAAATATAGTGATTCCTGGCAATATCTCTTTGCCAATTTTTCCGCTTTATCGTAAATATCAGGCCAGCCAAGCTTACTCAAGGCCATTTGAATAATACTTTGCTGAGGATTAATATTGTAGATGTTACCGTTACAAATAACAAATTGGTAATATTGACTGATCGCTTCCCAGTTCTAGACCAATATAAATAATTACAAGCAAAAAAGGTTAAAATTCATGAATTTAAACCACTATTTCAACTTCATTTTATAATTAATAGAGCAAGTACACCTAATGCTATTTATAACTTTGTTAGCGTAGAAGGATTTCATGACAGAACTGCAGTTTAGTAGCTATAATCGTACGCAATCATAGTTTTTAAATTTACTGCTATACATAATTAGCCATGTGTCCAGGATGATGACAAGTTTAGACTTATAAACTTTCTACACAGAATAAGAGATCTGAATTACTAGAATATCACTTTTATAAGGATCTAACTTTAAATCTTTAATTCCTGTTATAAGGCGAAAGATCAGTATTCATAAATATCTACAGTAAAGTACTATGGAATACCATTTCTATCAGCAGTATGAATATCATATAGTGATAAAATTATAAAATGCCAATTTATAAAGTTCCTAAATATAACTATTTAACTGATTCAGATTTAAACTTTCATTAAAGCCTAAATCGTTCGGTTCAATAACTCTTGAAAATGTTATACTATCAGAACAAGTAATATACGCGTACTCGTAGCAAGACGAATAGTGGTCAAAACATAGAATACTGCAGTCTAATAAAAAACTGAAGCAGATCTTTACCTCTTTGCTTAATATCGAACGACATTGAAGGAAGTCGTTCAATACCCTAGATATTAATGTAGCTCGTAACTTTACTTCCAAACATTCTAAATTGGTTAAAATCGACATGACTTTATCATATTCTTTAGCTTGTAGTAGATGATAGATGAAATGATCGCGCATATACTCATCGTCCATGATAGCTAACCAATCGCCATTGAATTTATCCTCATACTGGCGAATCAGAGACTGATGCATTTCCATTAAGTTTGTTGATTTTTCGACTAGATAGTTCATGACTATATCATGTAATTCATAGATTGGTAATTGACTAAAAGTAGAAATAAAAAGGTTAAAGATAGTCAGTTACAATTCGAACCTCAAAAGACTAATCAAGGATATTAAATCATTCATTTGTATGGTCGAAAATTGAAAATTTCTTCATTTTATTCCTACACCCAAAAGTAAAATAACAAACTAGTCCAACTGAATACGGGTATCGCTGATTATAGGATTAGCCTTTGAATTAATTGAATTTTTACTTACTTATCTCGTCGTTTTTTTGTAATTAAAACTAAACTTTGCTTAGCTAATTGATTCATAATATTTTCTACTTGTCCATCGTTAAGTTGCCATAAAACATTTAATGGATTTAATGGAATCTTTGGACATTTTTGAAAAGTAACCAATTGCCGTAATTTACTAGCTAACTCAACGTCGACGGTATCGAATGCTTTGCCTAACGCAAATTTTATTTTTTCGACTTTAGCGGATTTTACTGATTTCGTTGCATAACCATTTTCAAGAGAGCTTCCGTTCATTTTAAACTGATTTTGAAATTGAATATCATCATGCAAGATGTTGCCACCAATTAATGCTATTGCCATAGGAGCACATTTCAGTTCTTCAGTAATACTGCTTGCATCACTAGTAATAGAGGTCAAATCATTTTCAAACCAAGCACTAAATGCTTTCTCGGCCTCAGAATTTGTATATCCATCCTGTAGATATTGGAGTACATGTGTATACGTTTGATGAATATTGGGGATCAGAAATTCATGCGTACAAGTAATTTTTATGAGCGAGTTAAAAATAAAGTGACGTTTTATTTGCATCTTTAAGGTTATCTTGGCAATACTAATACTTTACATTATCATTCTAGTCGATTTAAAAATTACCTCTGTGCTCAAATTGATGCGATAGTTAGTCGTTTGAAATGATATTGCAGATACTCTTGTTGTTACTAATTTCGTACAGGGCAAATCGAAGTATTCTAATATTTTTCCGTCGCGCACATCATCCAATATAAGTAACATGCCATAATATTGATCAGCTAGGGTCAGAGAATTAAAACATGGCAAAAAATAGATTAGTATAACGTGCTTAATTCCGAACATGCAATAGGATATGTAGCTTATCGATCAATCAATACTGTCTACTTACCAATTAATAGTCGTATACTTTCAATTACGGTTTCAATAGTACTAGGTGGAGGTTTTTCATTATGATTGAGTATCAAATAAAATTCTTGTACCTTGATTAAGAGTTCATTAATATCTGTACAGCCTGGAAAGAAAAAGTTTTAATCTTTAGATCCATTTCTTACTGCTACTATAGTCAAGGAATAGAAGGCTCTTGTATATTGGCAACACAGAATATTGTTGACGATTATAATACCGACAATCTGTATAAAATATTTATGATGTTTATTTCTGTCAACTGATCTCAAAAACATCTAATTGCTGTGAATAGTAATATGCTACATATTAATAAATCCTTTGGCTTGCAGTAGTTATGTATTAGCTCAATCAATTAAATCATAAATTCTTTACAAGAGCTTCTACACACTTCATTGATACACGTCAATAGTATAAACTGATGGAATAAATAATCGTTTTACGAACAAATTATACACCAGATCAATCAGTAGGCTTACAGTAATAGACTAACTCAAATCACGTAAGTCCTAAGCACTTCACAAGAGCTCGTATAAACTTCAGTGTAGACGAATACGCCAACGACACAAGCTGATTAAATATTAAATTATGCCAAATAATTAATTAATTAATAGTATATCAACAAAGCATGCACTAGATATTAATCAATTCTTAGACTTGAAGTAGTTGTAAGTTAGCCTTGACTCAATCAGTTAGATTATGGACACTCCGCCAGGGTTATACATACTTTAGTCATAGACAAATATATGGACAGCACAAGCTGATATTTCAAATCTCAAACTGCTTGAAATAATTAATCGAGAAATGATGCAAATTAAGATAATCGAATAACTTTGGCTTTATGTCAGAATTTCTACAAGTACAGTATCTATTTGATTTAAAATAATTAGATACGCATGAATATTGACCATGAGCTATAAATACCTCTATTTGACATAAAACGAGAACTAATACACTATATCTATGAAAAAATGAAAAATTACCTATTTTAAACCAAATAAACCCTGCTGGGAAGTTATCTGTTATGGTTCTTTCATCTCTTACGGCTAGATTAGCGACAACAGTCTTGCCAGAACCCTCTGAGCCACGAATCACAATCCAACCATTCTTGTCTCTTAAACTAAACAAAGCTTTTACTAAATCTTTTGCTAATTTCTCACGAACTACTGGATGAGATGGTAATTCAGGAAGATCGTCACTATCTAGACTAGGAGCTAATAAAATAGACCCAAAGTATCCATCAGTTAATCTATCTACAATACATTAATACGATATAAATTGGCAATATTAGTCAACGCTTATAATTATTAATAGAACTTGCAATATCGCATAAATGTGTAATAAGTCGAGAGTTATAGAAGACAATAAAACCAATTTCAATAATAAATGAGTTTAGCTCATTGCTAAGTAAGATTTCATCGAAAATAAGATGCTATAAATATAGGCTAGCTAGAATTAAATGTGATCATAACCAGTTTCAAATGTTATAATAAGTTTAGCTCCTTACGTAGTACAACTTTATCGAAATTAAAACGCTATGAATACAGGCTAGCTGGACATAAAGGTGATAATGAACCAATTTTAAATAGTAAAGCGAGTTCAGTTCGTTGCTTAGCACAGCTTTATCGAAATTAAAGTGCTATAAAAACAGAGTAGCTAGACGTAAAGGTGATAATAAACTGATTTTAAATAGCTAAAAATGTTTGACTCATTGCTCAGTACAATTTATATACGTAAAAATAATACACCATAAAATGTAGGCTAGCTAGACCTAAAGGTGATAATAAACCAATTTCAAATAATAAAAAGAGCTCAAACAACTCATTGCTTAGCACAATTTTTATATAAACTAGGGTGCTGTACACGTAAACACAGGCTACCTGCATGTAAAGGTGACAATAAACTAATTTCAAATGATGAGGTGAGTTTAGCTCATTGCATGGCACAGCTTTATCGAAATGAAGGTGCTCTAAAATAGGATTGTTGGATATGAAGGTGATAGTAAACCAATTTCAAATAGAGAAGCGAGTTTAACCATTACTTAGTCCAATGCTATATAAAACAAGTGACTATAACTATAAGCTAGCTAGACATAAAGGTAGTAATTATTAAACCAATTTCAAATGGTGAAGTGCGTTTATCTTACTGTATTACATAGATTTATCGGAATTAAGGTGCTATAAAAACAGGATTGCTGGATGTGAAGGTGATAATAAATCAATTTCAAATAGTAAAATGAGTTCGAATATCTCATTGCTTAGCACCGCTATTTCGAAAATAAGGTACAAAAAACAGTGTGACTGGGTATAAAGGTGAGAATAAGCTAATGTAAATATTTCAATGAGTTCAATTCATCCCCTGGGTCAGTTTTATCCGAAGAAGGTACTGCAAAACAGGATAGTAAGGTATAAAGTAAATTCATTATAACACAGTATATGAGTAAGTTAAGATGTGTAGCTTGCATTAATGGCGGTCAATATGCCCATTCAATTTAAGTCATCCTATGATGAAAATATCCATAAGGTTAGATATCTACGTATTTATATCACTATTGCAATACAGTATATGGTTAAGTTGAGGCATATAGCCTGCATTAATACCGATAAGTATAGCCATTCAATTTAAGTCATCATATGATTCTGTTTTATAAACCTTTCTATAAGGTTAGATATCTACGCATTTATCCCACCATTATAGCACAGTATGTGCGAGTAAGTGAGTTAAGGCGTATTGCCTTCATTAATGCCAATCAACACAGCGATTCAGTTTGAATCGTCTTATAATACTGTTATATGGAATTAAATTCTATCCTATTAAGACAAGAATGAACCATAGGATATAATTATTACAAGTGCATGACACCTTTCAATCTAGCGATTGATTTTTACTTTTTTTCATGTCTGACTGCAGATATGTTATTACCATTGTCTAACTTTGTTTGAAATTTCTCTTCCATGCCCAAGATTATGGAATAATATAGTAGTTAGAATGTGTAGAAAAAGCCCAATGCAAATATTATATCTTGAACTTCTCCAAGATAATCAATAAATCTATCAAACGATTAGGGAATAAAATCAAGGCGGTACAAGACTACCGAATTTGAATAGCATGATATTTACTAGAACTGACATTGCAGTTAGGTTCGTTCGTCCAATTTCTTACTGGACGTACAGTAGTTCTCTCTACAATTTAATTTTCTTAATAATAAATTATATGGTGCTATTACAGCCTACTCGATGCTGAAATGTATTTTTACTACCGGGAGACATTAAAATTTCTCACGCAATCTGTAACTATTAAACTACATGAGAGTGCACGTTGAAAAATTAAAGTTTTTAAGCGATTGCTGTTAAAGATTCCTTCCGCCCTTTTATCCGCAACTCTGTCGCTATTACTGTTGTACTGTAAATCAAGAATTGTGATTGACTGACGATTGCAGAAATGGTGAAAGAATAACGAAATTTTTGATTGTCTTTTTAGTTAGTAATATATACTTTGTATTGATAAGTTAGAAGCGTTCCAGATGAAAACGAAATGAATTAATCTATACCAGAAGCAGATTACAGTAGATCCTATAAAAATGTAGTGCTGCCTTAATATACTTTAAGATTAGCGTAAGGAGACTATGCTAGAATAGTTAGATTGCCAATATTCTAAGTGTTATAGGCTGTTAGATAATTAAGCTGCAAGTACATAACCCTAGGTATACAAACCAAATTATATATTATGGTGAAAATTTTTCAGAAATCTACACTATTTTTGTAACACTTTATCACAAATAAACTAGCTAGAAAATTACTAAACGGAATCACAGTACCTATAAAGAGTTTGAATAAGTTCAAGTTAATGTCAGATCGAATAATTAGTGATGTAATATCCAAACAGTTAAAATATACATGTCTAAAAATGTATCGATTGAAAGCCTCTATTATAGCATTACGTCACACACATCAAGTCTATAGAAGTTGTCAAAAATTTAATTTAAATAGATTAAAGATCGGAAATATCAACCTATACTTGCAAGAAAAGGAAGCAAGATTGTAATAGTAAAATGTTATTCTTACAATTTTCCTTAATAACGTGACTATTGATTTCTATAATTATGGTGGAAAGAACGTTTATACACTGAAATAATGTTAGTGATAGTCAAAGAACCCTTTATAGATGGTACTGTGAGATAGAGTAGTAGGAGAAAGGAAAAGAAGCTGTCTTTTAAAAATAGAGTAATTTAAAGTAAATTGAAAGGGTGTCCAAGGATAATAAAACCTTCAGATACCAGTGCAACATGATTCAATACATCTCACAAGGACCCCAAAGCATAACATTGACCTTCTTACCACCATGATATAGCCCAATTAAAATAAAAATTAGCGCAAACAAAAATTCTCTTAGTAAGTAATTACCTTCGAAGATCCAGTTTTAAGAATAAAAGTACGAGTGAGGATAATGAATAGACTGGAAAGTGATAACAAATACTATTTTTTATCCTATCATGTTTATCGAATTAGTTACTGTACATTGTTCTTAATCTTCGTCTCATAAATTTCGACTTTATCGTCCATTTATATTCAATCAATATCATATATTCTATGAATCAAAGTCAACATCTAGCACTTGGATCAGTCTTGTAAGGAGTGTTGGTAAAAATGAGAAAAAAATTAAATAAAAAATTGCTTCTTACCTTGAATTAAATGATCCATCGATCTTTTACTTAATTCCAATTCTTTTTTCTGCTGTAACCGATGATGGCGATCTTCAATCAATTCAAGCAACGACTTTGATGATACATCATTAATGGATTTCAATGCTTTAACAAATAACGGATATGTATGAATTGATCTTGAAGCTAAAAGGTGTTGTATTAATTCAATATTTCTCTCTTTTTCGTTTGGTAAGATATCGATGTTAATGGCTTCTTCATGGTCGATGATTCGATCTGCAACTAAATAATCAATCATATCCTGACCAGGTAATTCTTCTACTAATCGATCCCAATGATCAATGATTGCCTTACGTTGTAGTTCATCCATAACTTAATTGTTTTAACATCGATTAAAATTTTATCAAAGTAGATAAAAAGGAGAAGGGTGAATTCTATCCTAAGACTTTTAAGTAATCGCAATCAATCTTTCCGTGATACCATTAAAACAGCTTAAAATCTTGTTGGATATCATCAAGTTGATGCCCACTATAAAGGTATGTGAAATTCGATTGTGGGGAATGAATAATTAAATTAAGTTTGCAGTAACATTATTAAAATTTTATAGCAACGGAAATTCAATTCTTGACACTCATACAAAAGACCAAGTTTTCAGTCAAATCTTCAATGCTTTATCTTTTCTATCGATTGCTAGCAATAATACAAAATTGTAAATTCAATGATTCGATTATGGATTGTCAATTTTTCTTCCGCTTATTTTTTTCAAAGAGTGGTCAACCAGCTTAATTTCTATCTATCTTGAAGATAATCGTACACTTGAAATGGGAAATTCACAATTACTTTTCGACACTAGATTCAAGACAGACTATAACGATCTTGAAATCAATTGGAAAATATTCAAAATGAATTGGCCTGATCTTAGTTAAGACTATTTTCCAAATGTCTGATAAAGCTCTCCTTATAATGATGATGAACCAATTGGATTGGTCGTATTGTATACCACCTAATCGCTAGGCGATAATCCTAATCTTTATAAAGTAGTTAAGGAGGATTCTCCAAGATGTGTCAATGACTATCAGATATAGAACGGATTGAAAAATATTCAACATAGATTGATGTTGTACCAGTTAGAGACACTTTCCAATCTACTTTTAAAATAATTGGTATAACAATATTAGAGTTTAATCGATTTGCAATATTCTACGACGAATTTCACGATAATACTCGTCTGACTATGGAGAATTACTCAACATCACTCAAGACCTACTACCATTAGACCATAAAGCGAATAAATGAATATTGTTAAAAATAGATTACCCTTGTACAGGTAGGAGACACTGGCAAAATATTTTTTAAAATTATAACTGTACGATTGTTTAATTGCAAGTCTATTATGACGATAACATGGAAGGCGAATAGGAAGGATTGATTTAGGAGGAGGAGATTAGAAAATAGACGCTATACAATTCAATTAACGGCTAGTACTATCTGTAACATTGTTATAGAAGAATTTATTAACAAAAGTAACGGTCGCCATTATCTAGTTGATCCTATTGTCTAACTTTATTTATCATGTTAATGATATTAAATAATTGATTAGAGGGCTGAGAGAGGATTGGTGAAAAGAGTAAAACACTTTTGGACAATATCGACTTATTGCCGTAAGTGGATACAAGTTACTGTATAATATCTCCCTTGTTGGATCTCTCTTTTCTTCGTTATTTTAAATTTTCATTTTGATGTCTTCTCAATACAGTTCTTTCCCTTTTTCAATACGTTTGGATAGAATAGAGTAACTTGCAATAGGCCAATGGCGACGTGATTTCAATCCATTTCTATAGGCTGACGTTGGATAAATGCAAAATCAAAAATTGCGACTCTTGTTCTTTTATTTACATTGAATGGACAATCTTTCCTAGTAATTCTATCGGGATAATCACTTTTAATCAGATCATCTCTCTTCCATTTAAATAATTTGTTTTTCAATATCCATTCGATTAGACACCCTTCGTATCATATTGTATACTTTGCCTATCGATTTGATTCAGAATATCAAAACTAAAAAAATTCAATGTTGATCTTATTTCTCGATACTCATCACACAGCTGTTTGACAACTTCCTTCCGTATATTTTTCTTTCCTATCGATATTTATCATTCTAAAATGTTATCGTTACAAAATCCTACAGTCATTACTCCCAAAATAGCCTAAGTTTACTTGAGTAATTAGCTGTAATTGATTATATGATTTAGAAATCAATTCAAACATGATTGTGTGTTTGTATTCCTATCGCTTTTTAATAAATGGTATGACACTGAAGTCATTGGATCGTAAACAGCGATCTGAATTAATTGAAGATATTTCTATTATAATAATTATACAGACTATACCAGCCTGAATCGAATATTAACTTGACTTAAAACACCTCTTTGTGGTCTTAAATCATAGAATTAGGAAATAGGTAACATGAATCCCTACAGTGTAATTTGCCTTCCATCGGATCTTTATGTGGAGAATAATTTTTAACCTATGATATTAGTTGTTTATCTTCAATACGATTTCAATCCATGAGAATAGATACAAGCTGCTTGTCTGATTGTAATTGTACGATCTAGAATAAATTTAATTGCAATGCCATCGGATATTTTACCCAGTCCTTTCTTCCAAGTAAGTTAATAAATTATAAAATTACCCCTGATCAAATATAATATAAAATGCTTACTTCTAGCATGCTTTTATAGCTCATAAAAATTATTCAACGAGCACCTGGAATGTAATCAATTTTAATGTGAAATTCTATGTTAAGGTATTTCTATTTTGAAGTGATTGTCATACGATCCATTTATTAGTTATTAATTTTAATACAACGAAATAATTTCTGTACTTCAAATTTTTCGTGAATTCTTCAAAAACGTGAACTACTATTCAATGATTGATTGCTCAACGGAAATAAGGGTTTCACTATTTAATACTCTGCATAGCAACACTATAATCGAACAATACTGCTTAGGAATTCCCAATTATAAATGTCGTATATCATTCGAGCTGCATGAAACAAAGGGTTAATCATAACTTTGTATCGAAAATTTTCAAAAGATAGACTTTGACTTGGTTAAGGAGATGATTAAATTATTTATTACTGAAATAGTGTTAAGCTGATCTGGTATTATACTGTATCCGATTTCCGGATTCCATTCCCGGGTTCTGTTATTCCTTGATAATCGTTACGAATAATTTAAGTTTTAACTAGACAAACCACTAATCAAACTACTATACGGGTACATATATCCATGGCGTTGTAGCTATAACTCGCACTTAGCCGGCGCAAGTATAAGCCAATAAATCGGCAAAATCGTAAATTTTAATTCGTCCAATTAGCTATCTTAGCATTTGGGAAGATACGTTACGGTAAATAAATGTAGTTTAATGAATTGATCATCATGTCTCGGTATTGCTACGGTAAGCCCTAACAACCGTGCAAGAAGAGAAAGATTAGCATTTGGGAAGATACGTTACCGTAAATAAATGTAGTTTAATGAATTGATCAGGTCTCGGTGTTGCTACGGTAAGCCCTAATAACCGTGCAAGAACAGAAAGATTAGCATACAGCCCCGATGATAATCCCATGCGAGACGAACTGATTTATGTTATACAACGCTGCATGTTGCTGATCATGGTTGAATAATCTTAGAATCTATCAGAAAGCGATCGGAGTTCGAAAGCCCTTTACTGAATGAAAATTGACTATTTAACTAGACTTGACTGGAGGATTACAGGCCAAAAGCAAGGTCCTTTCTATGTAAATAGAGTATTTCTGTACGAGGATGCTCAATGGCTAGATAGTGAATCTATTCTGCATTCATTTTTCTTTAAGGTAATTATAATTCTTTCTATATTAGCATGAGAGTGCAATTGGGTAAAGTAAACTTAGATTGTAACATTGTGGTAACTTATGAGACATTTGTCATTATATAATTACGAAATTAAGTACAGCTCGGTGGTGAAACATTCCTTTCTAAACTTTATACAATACTTGTAAACTAACTACAAAATCTCTGGATAGACGCTAGTTATTTTAATAGTACAATCGGTAAACCTTTAATCGTAGTTGTTATAATAATCCCTGAGAAAAGCGTAATTACAGCAAAGCACAGCAAGAATACCAACTCTAAACTCAGGAAACAAGTGGACCACGACTTAAAATGCGTACCATTGCGTCTAATATCTCCAATTAGAACGTGTTTATGGGCTTGTTATATCCCGATATCGAATAGTAACCGTTAAAAATAAATAAGCGTAAAATAATCGTAGATATATGGAGGCAAAAATAAAGATTAAAGCTAGACAACATGTTCTGTGACGATATTAGAATAACAAATGATTATGTCATTATATCCAAAAAAGAAGCAAGATCTTTCGATATTGTTACTGCTACATCCAAATAGGATATAGTGCTGGTTGTTCTAAACATTCTAGACTTTACCGACAGATGTTGATAAAAAATTTCGATAAGTCCTAATTACTGGATAAAATATTTACTACTCATTAGGATAGTGTAAATAATTTCATGTTTAAAAATCTTTCTAGTTCCTAGCCCATTTTTAGCTGCCAAAAGGCCTCTCCAAACAATATCGTTGTTGATAAGTGATTTAGTTGCACTACGTAAATCAAATTGTAAAATTTCCGATCGGCTTAAATACCGTAATCAGACTGCAAACTGTATAGTTTGCTTATGTATATAAAAGTCACTAGACGGACGATGAATTATCCTTACTTACACTTTAAAATAGACGCCTAAGGCATTATGAAAGCTTAGGTATTTAACTTTGTACTGCATTCAATCATACCTTATGGGAAAAATGGTTGCTAATATAATCACCAGCATTATTCCTTTCCTGATTGCCTGAAATAAAAGAAAGGAATTTTCGAATCAAAAGATTAATCTTACTTCTAAGCTGCCCGCTTACAAAGTCGCTAAGCCTAAATTTAATAGTAAAAATTGTATCATAATATTCATATGTTCATTTTCAGCTCTCGCTACCCTACATTTGATAGTAGCCAACTTCGCTAGTTGATGGTGCAATAGAGAATAATTAAAATATATTTAACTTGCCCTAAATCAACGCATTTCAAACCTTTCTCCAGGTTTATACTGAATTTAACAATTAAATTTATCCCATATTATATAAGAATGAATACATCATAAATTAATTATCTTATGATTCGATGCAAGGGCAAAGGACGAAAACTTCATTTATGTATATCACGCAATGATAGTAACCTCATGTTTTATATTTGTAATAACCGTAATACAGTAGCATACTAGCCTTTTCTGTACAAATTATAGTGTTAGACATTATACAAAGTTTATACTTTTTAACCTCAGTCATACTTGTATTATCTACTCTGGCGTTGACATTGCTAGCATATGTCGTTTGGGTAACAAAAATGTTTTTCAGATTGATTTTCACCAATTAATAGTAAAAAATTCAATAAATTGGGGGTGATTGAAATTTATGATTACAGAAAATATACGTATACTGGTAGTCAGAGAGCTATTGAACATGCTGCAGCATATCAATAACACAATCTCAGCTATAGGGTTCATGAAATCGTTTTAGTACGTACACTTTCTTCTTCCGTAGCAAAATCAAATAATTTAGTATAAATAATTATTTATGCCTGTGAAATTACTGCATTTCAATAAATAGGGACGGACTATACAGTAGGACACTTCGTGAAGCCAGTGGTTAACAAAGAAAATTAGGTTTATATGACCAGATATATCAACAGAAGTATTTTTAATTCCAATCATTTTATTCCTATATTTTTACTATTGCAAATAATTAGGACATGTGATAGAATTATGATTACACCGATAAATTGAAAGAACAAAATTTTCTGTTAATTCCATCTCAGATAATCAATAGTTTAATACGGAGTAAGTTCCAATAATACAATAATTTCAATTTCTATGCGACGTCATATATCGGAGATTTAGAAGATTAAACAGTACTAACAAGGCTTGATGAAATAGAGTGTGCAATATAAGTAATCAATTTCCTATCACCACTCTTGTTAAATTAATTAAGAAGTTACAATAGCTATGGCATATGCCTTTCCACTGGAAAAGGGCATATCGATATTTTTCATGACCGTACGTAATTAATGGTGCTAGAAATCTCCATATGCGTTTATTATACTGGTATGCGTAATTGCAATTATCATCATTTGCAATAATCAAATAAAGCTTAGTAAATTGTATATTATATTACTATCCAATAATATTAGAATTGCTACATTTTATATGTTATAATAAGAGCATATATTACTACTCACTATTGATAACATAAGAAAATAAGCTATCATAATCAGAAAAGAGATAACTTACTGAACATTCCAGGAATGAAATTTCTCATAATTGTTATAATTAAATTACTACGATTTCCCTATGTAGTTGCTTTCATAAATTATTTTCGTCTTAAGTTTCGTCTCAGCGAGAACGATCCGATCCGATCAATGGGGGTTATATGTGATAGTACATAAAGGTATTCACCGTCATCAATTATTACAGTATGTAAACTGTCATTAAATTTAATCACATTAGCGTAGTGCTGTAATGGAAATTGTTGCATTACTTTATTTTCAGTTAAATCCCACCAAGTTATACATTTACCTCCAGTAAGAATGATTTTATCATCTGCTGAAAAGTATAATGTTTGAATAGAACCAAGATGTCCATCGAAACTAGTTAATAATGTCCATGAAGTCGTTTCCCAAATCTAAGTATGATATTTACGCACATATATGCGGTAGGAAATCATTATAGAGCAATGACCTAAATGATCGTTTACTGTTACTGTAATGTAAGATATCGTATCATAGCTAGCACTGCAGATTACCTTAAACGTTCCATAATCGTAGCCTATAGCTAATTTATCACATTTGGTTGAGAATTTACATGTCGAAATGCAAGTATTACTATCCACAGTATGAGTTATTTTAAAACTGACACAGTTCCACACTATGCAGGCCTGTAATTGCGATAAATCCGTTAGCAATATTAAGAAAAGCAAGCCTATTTCTTTCAAATAATCATCTCAAAATTTACAGCATTCAAGAAAGATTCGCACTTAATCAGATAAAAATACTACTATTTATATAAATCTTGTTAAATGCCTTAACGGAGATACTGTATTGATCCTAAATACTCGGTTGTTATTAACTTAGTACATATTACTGGATAGATACTCTCGTTTATACCAACACAGCAACTATCGTTAAGCAAATGTAGCTGTATATCCATTATATCTGATTTAACAGATGATAAGCAGGGCTAATGTACGTAACAAAACCAGTCCCTGCAGTATACACGTACATACCTTGGAATCTTTATCTTCTAGTATTACAGCACATTCAGCATCATCTAATGCTAAGTCGTGATGAATAATCTTCCCAGGTATAGATAATGAGTCGATCGATTTGGAATTTTCATAAATATTGTAGGCCTAGGATCGAGAAAAATAACCACGAATAAACTAGACATCTACGCTCAAATAGAAACTATGAAGGCTTGACGCTTATCACAGATTAACGCCTTTTCATATTCGTATCGTAATAGAAAAGGCTTGATATAACGTTTTGATAATAAAATGTTTAATATACCTGCATTTCTCCACGTGCAGCACCAATAAGTAGGATATTTGAGCTTTCCAAAAATTTATAAAAGCAAATCTGATCTTCAGATATAAATTTATTGACAATATCTCCATTGATAGAATTGACAATCTAGAAGCAAGAAAGTCGATTTTCATACATTTATTTATCAAGCTACTAAAGTTTAGGAAATACCCTACGTAGCTAATATTATCCAGTGTATAAAGTTCACATATAAATGCATAACGTGCCTTAAACCTAACATTATCGTAAGGTATAAAAATAAACAAAATTGATAACATATATAGCGTTAATTCGATATTTGATGAGAACATACAATAATTTTGAATTGCTTTAAAGAATCCAATGGATCCGTACTAATTGATACCATAAGAACCTCGTCGGTAGAGTTGAATGTTAAATTGTTAACATGCAACTGTAGATTATTAATTGACCAGTCAACCTCCAAGTTGTCGTGGTGTAACATCTGCAACAGGAAATATACAGGTTTATTATAAATGAGATGTTTTTTTACGTGCGTATTATAGTACAGATTATTAGCAATGACTCTTTAATTAATATAGATACCGATTACCACCATCAGTATCTATTATTTAAATTACAATGAATATATTTACCTTAACTTTACCAAAAGCAAAGCCTACGGCTAGCAGATTTCCATTATGCGACAAGGAACAGCATTTAACGCATTTCCAATCCTCTTTACAGGTTTCTTTTACAAAGCGAACATCCTTACCTATAAATGACTATATTTTGATATCAAAATGAGTTTCATAACTTAATCGAGGTATTAACATTTAACAGTCAGTACCACAATCAAAAACAAATGTATCCCAAAATAAAACCTCAATAGCTTGTCCTTCCCATTGTTCATATTCTCCGGAAATAATATGTGGTACGTTACCAATAAAACTGCAATCTAAAAGATGCATAGGCTTCTTATCGGCCTTTTCCATATTTTCTTTGAATGGCTGAACTAGCCATAACTTTAACAGGGTATCCTTAGACGTAGTAGCAATAATTTTACTATTAGGCGAGATTTTTGCACACGTTATTAAATCGTGATGCCCATCATCTGTTACAATAGATGTTTGACCGGATGATGTATCAATAACCTAGAAAAACGTTGCATACAAGTCATTGAAACTCTTACATTGCGAAATAAATAGCTTAAAGGATGACTATCATGCTATAATAATGATCATATTAATCATCTAAATCTGAACTTCAAAAAAACTTGAACGTAGTAATAATGTTTGGATGCATTACCTCTACTAAATTACTACCAAATAAGCATCGAACTGCCATTTTGCCATTTGCAGTGACATCATATAATGACACTCTATCTCTGCATGTACTAGTAAGCTTATCAATAGCGTCACCGGTACTAGAATCCCATATATAAACTCGATGTTCACATCCACACATAATATGTTGATCATGATCAAGGAATGAACAAAAAATGGGCCAATCTTCAGTTATCGCACAAACAAGAAGACTAGTTCCAAATGTGGTGTCCCATATCTGAAAGAACAATATTGGTTCATATAATCATTAGATTTATAAAACAATTCTTTATTACAACAAGACTAAAAAATTCTCTAAATTGCAACCATTGCAAATTAACTTTATAAAAATCACCAATATTATATGCTAAGATGAGCTTACCTGAATTGTTTTATCCCATGAACAGGAAAGAATTCTACCTCCATCTTTAGAATAATGACAATCTATAACCATATTTTTATGACCACGACAGGTGACGATATTATTGCCAGTATTTGAATTCCAAATCTAACGATATTAGACGTTTAAAAATGTCGCAAGGTTAGCTGGATTGATACCATAATATTATAAATTACGTAAAATCAGAATACTCTTGCTACTGAGATTAAGTCTTATTTGCTATTTTACCATAATCAGCCTATCATCCGAACAGGAAACAACTTCTTGTCCACTTGGAGAAAATTCTGACCAATTGACTTTGGCAGTATGATAGCCATGTTCGATGAGTATTTTTTCGTTATTGATGTTCCATACCTATATTATAGAAATGGCATTTGAGCGTATATAAGCTTAGAAATTGAATTGGTCATACTCTGTGTATAGACAACTGCTGAATAATGACGAATATATTTCATGTTAGATTAGATGCTGTTAACGCGAATTTTTCGTTTATAGAATGAATGGATTATTCTAGATAGAACAAGGAAATTACCTCAGTTTTACCGCAGTGAAAAGATAACGCAATTTTCTGACAATCGGGTGAAAAGGAACAATTCGAGATTTTACCCTTAGTACTATGAAAGGAGTACAACGGAGTCCATAAAATGGTATCATATATCTATAAGTTAATAATGTAAATGTAAAAAGACATTTAGTTCGCTAAGAAAGAACGTTACGATTGATTACCGTTAGATTTTAATACTAGATAACAGATTAAACAATTTCGGCAGCTATCAAATTGGGAGCAGAAAACCTTTGGGTAGTATATCAGTTCTTAAGCTACTAACGAATTAAATAAACGGCTTTTATAGCAAAATATTCAATGACAAATAAATCATTAACCATTTATCGTATACGATATACCAAGTTAAGATTTTGATAACCCAATACGTATATGATTGGTACAATGCTCAGCATTGGTTACCATTTTGAAATTCTACGAATGTTCTGTAATATGTATAGTACTGTACAAGCAATGTATTTACATTTTGGATATGTGACTGTTGATATAACTTTTCACTTTTATAAGAAAGTCAAGAATAACTTTTGACTGAACAACTTACAATAATATTTCCAATCTTATCGCAACAAGCTAACATTGTTCCATCTGATGAGAAGCAAGAGCTAGTTATAGATTCTGAAGTGGGTTCCAATGTGGCAATACAGATTTGAAATTCATTTCGCTGGTTATAGCAGTTACTATTTTAGATTCAAGGAAAAATTTAAGTGTCTTCTTGATCGATTAATCAATAGTTCATGACGGCGCCGAAACTCTTTAATTAAAGTATCGAAGATGATATCACAAGAATATCTGGCTTACTTCCACTTAAAAAATGTTGTTTCTTTGCAATCTTCAATGGCCTTACTTTCAACTTCCTTGTAAAAATCTCGCCACCAAGGTCTGCTTAATGCTAGCTGAATTAAACTTCCATCCTGGCATAGATTTATGGAACTATGACTATCCCGTACAAGATACCAGTAGTCATGAAGATGATTCCATTCCTGAAAAATATGAAGTAGAACACTGTTGTATTTGTACGCAAAAATATAGACATCAGCATCTCAACTTACAATATATACGTGCAAGTGATGAAATTACTACGGTATAATCAGTTACATAAATCTGTAATTCTGTAGTACTCATACCTCGAAATCAAGAATGGAACGACTTTTAATAAAGTCATGTAATAAAGCATAAGACGATTTATTTTTGAGTCTTATTTGTAGCCATTTAAAATTCGTTAACAACTCCTTCATAGTTTTCTTATCATCTGCGCCAATAACGTGATCAACGAGATGATCATGTATATAATCATCATTTCTTAACTGAACCCAGTCCCCCTGACAAGACTTCTTGTATAAATCTAATAATGTAACATGATTTGCTTTTGCATCGCTGACGCAGTGACGGCTTCGTATATAATCGGCCATATAGTCATTTAAAGAATAGCCGATATTCCTATAACGATATTACGATATTGACATAAAAATTATTCGAGAAATAAGTAATTATGTATATTGTTATTTATAAGCAACTTAAATATGCTTTTTTCAACTTACTTAGTATTTACGACGTTTTCAGTAGCTAAAAATCGATGAACCAGAGAATTCATTATGCTAATACAGTAATGTTGATTAACGCCCCAATACATGGATAACGTGTTAATAGGTATTATGGTATTTTCTTCAAATATATCCAGTTTTAAAATCAAATTCAGATCGCTCTCGTTTAAGTTACTCAAAAGCATATCAATAAGCTTGTGCAACATGGTTTTAGTGTCATACTGTGATTGGTATTGATTTAACCATTTGTTATCTGATATATTCCATTTATCTTTATCGTGTTGTACTAAAATCCCAAACAGTGTTAAGATCAAGGCTGAATGATCCACAATTTCAATGAATTGATCTACAGCTTTTGGTAAAGTTGAAATAGGAATTTTAGCAGTCGATGCCATGACGTTTCTGCAATGCTCTACAGTTAATAATTCCTAGTAGTCAAATTGGCATGAAGATGAGTAAATAATAATTATGAACATCAAGATACGGCAGGTGCATTAGTCAAAGGTGTACAGATCTACTAACTTTTATATGTATTACACATTTCTCTCGATTAAGCTTTGAAGCGATATCTGCATTTCTAGTCGTGACAATGGTATCACAATTAAAGTTTAGATACAGCAATTGATTTGCTTCTCGTACATCATCCAATACTACAAATGGTCTGATGGGTTGATTTTCTGTCATGGTGGCCATTTACAAAGAGAGTGCCGTCAATAATAACAACGAACAAATAATAAGTGTTAGAAATATTGATGACTTTGTTTATTTATATATCAATTTCATAGCGAAATTTCTACCTATTAAAGAGCTAATTTTCATTTGAAGACTTGTCATAGTAGATGGTATAACGCATTCTTGCCTATTCAATCGTTTCAATAGCTGTTGCATCACCGTTAGCGTTTGATTCATCTTAGTTTGACCTGTAAGAGAATTGTTTGTTTTGGATAATAAGCAGTATTTCTTTCATATCATATAAAAGTATCTTTAGGGGCTACATGCTGCAAGTATAGTTTAATTACATCTATTTAAATTACTAATAGAAAATTTACTATTTTAGCTTGTTCTCTAGGTATTTTTACATGCAAAGCTTCTTAAAATAGACATTTTTATAAGTTTCTTATGTATCTCACAAATCATTTTACCTACAATCCCAATACTTCAATTATACTACATGAAATATAAAAGCGTAAATCTACCTACCTAACGATATCCATATTACTCCTGAAGAGTAATCGCCCGTCATAGCTTGATTGCGGACGAACTGATTTACAAGAGCAGTTTTACCAATCCCTTGCGATCCATAGAGGACAATCCAGCCATTCAAATTCTTAATTTTTAAGTCTTGCAGGATTTCAATAATATGATTTTCAGCTTGAAAATTTGTTACGTAACAGTTAGGTAACGGAGGAATAAATGCATTTATAGTTAAAGCTACAAAAATAAAAATTAAAAGTATATTTTGTCAGTAAAAAATTTGCACCCATTGTATAGTACAGTTAATATGCAGTATTGCAAAGATTAATTTGTAAAATAGAAATTGCACTCCATGCAATCGAATAAAATTTTTTATCTCAATCTTATTACCATTATAGAAAAGTTATTTATTAATAATATCAACGATTATTGTAATTAATTATGGAAGGGTGTATTCCTAAAACCTTTATTAAAAAATAGCGACTTTACCTTTTCTATCAAGATCAGTACTATTAGTTGGTGCCAATTGACACTGTCGTTGAAGGAGAGAATCAATAATAGGCGTTGAATCTGGTCCATTAGTTGTTGATAATGCATCGATTAAAAGATCAAATGCATTAGGCAGTTCAAGACCAGTGAAGCATTCCAATATTTTCTCCTTTTTATAAATTTGTCGATTCTTCGACTTGTTTCTAGAAGTCATGCGTTCAAACCACTGGCAAACATCATACAATTCCTTTCGCATCATATACGCTATCATATCATCTACCGATATTATCGTTAGCAGATCCTGCCATTTATCAATGACAGCTTTGAGCTCATAACTTTTCATCTTTTTCCTCCTTTGCTGTAATAAATATCATCAAAATTTCTGTTGGCAGGAAAAATACTCTACTTGTTTTTATTGTATACATAGAAGTTGTCCATCATGATAGTTTACCCCGAGATAGCACCTCCATAATAAACATCATATCGAAAGCGATGAAAGAGAAAAAATATTCGTCCTTAAAGTTGGTGTCGCGAAGCTAGTTCTAATTGCCTACAATTTGAGGACACACATATACAACATTATTTCATTGCGCGTACATACGCGTATATAGCACTATCTTTACTGCTACTAAGAACTGTCATTTAATTTGATTCGCTTGGAATAGAGCAACACCATGTGATCTATTAAAGTAAGTCTTTTAAATAATAAAGCCCTAGTTATGATATCTATAAAGACGACAGTGATGAAATTTATTTCAGCAGTCTGACAATGGAGGATACATGCATAATTGTATATACAATATTATCGAATGTTGATGTAGAGTGTTTTATTGACTGTTGATAATATCTTTGCCATTAACTGATTCGATCGAATAACGGAAACGGATCTCCACGTATTAGACAAGTTTATAAATTATGATAAATTCTAGCTATAAAATATATGAATTGTGCTCATAAAAGTTAACTGTAATCAATGATATTGCATATGATTGTCATTAATTAATTTTATTGTCTAGATAGTATATTCTAACCTTTTATTTCCTGTTGACAATGAATTGGTTACATTTCAAAATCCACCAGCCGAATACTATAAGGCTTGAACTTTACAACCCACTTTCTGATCTATATGCCAATGATTATACACCTTGAAGGAAATTTACTTCTCCAAGCATATAATTGCTTTTACCTACATTGATTGATCATTTTTTCTTTATGTGCTACTACTAACAATAAGTTACAGTTTGATGAACAACACTAACAATAACATCAATGGAGTTGAGTTTATTGTTGTTGTATTTACAGTTAATAGCGTCATCAGTTTTTTGCATGGTCGAAATCCTATTACTGTACTGTACCTACAGTACGTACAGACAGTAATCCCAACATCATAACAATCGCCAAAGGGACTGTAACTACTGTAGAGTTTGTACTGTATCGTACTAAAGTCGATATGGTAAAATAATAACAGTGGACAGTACATTGTACTGTACAGTACAATGTCAACAGTCAATTGTACTGCACATTGCACATGCGTACAATGTCAATGTCCAGTACGCTACTGTACAACTTGAACGATTTAGCAGAAGTTTTGCCAGCAATGTCTTTCACGTTTATTGAAGTTACCTCTGCTCACGGTCCTGGAGTTTAGTATTACTGTACTGTACAACTGCGTGTAGCGTATAATATAGACATGACTAGTTAATATGGTATCTAATGCTCATGTATATCTACAATCCAGATTCTCGATGTCATTCGGTAACTAATACATATTAATTTAGAAATGATGACGATTACCAAAGAGGGGGACACTGCTTTAGTTGATGCAGATAGGCAGGGCATTGCAACCAGTAAATGAATGAATAAGATTGTGAAATACTGTGTATATACAGTACACTGGATGCATAATATAAAATGGTAAATAAAGTAGATAATACTTCCTATTGAGAAGGTGATGTAAATAAAGACATAGCTGTTGTAGTGATTGATTTCAAGAAGGAAATTGTTTAGAGAGGCGAAGAAAATTCTTACCGATGGAGAATTTTGATCAGAGACGGTGCATCAATGGCTGTTTACGGACCATAGTTTGTGTTACATTTTGCCTTACCGCACGGCACTGTACGTCTCATACAGTTGCTGTTTTTGTACTATACGCTAGGGCGCAGTAGGCATGATGTCTAGCATTCATTACGCATGTACTCGCACTATTTAATCCATCGCTACTCTCTGTACGGTATACTGCAAAAAAAATATAATACTCGAGTTGGATTATTTCTTTAATTAGAAATTATAATAATATTTACCAAAGTCCCTAAGTGCATTCCAGCTTTTGTGATATAATGGCTAGTCCTGTTGGCGAAGCTGCGGAAACGGAAATAATTACCATTATTGTAAAATGGAGTGGGAAGGAATACCCAATTGATACGGTATCTTTGAGAAACACCGTAGGTCATTTAAAATTAGCTGTAGAAGCCAAAACTGGTGTCTTAGCAAGACGCCAGAAACTACTTGGATTAAAATACAAAGGTTAGAACTTTCATCATCAATCTGATTATGAAATAGGTTTACGATGTACTGCATTTGAGATTAAACTTAATTTTGTCTACCTTACGAATTTACTTTGAAGTCGTTCATGTAGAAACTTTGTAAGTATTTTGTCATGTAGAGCATACGATTACTTGAATAATTAGTCAATGTTCTGTACTGTACAGCGGTACTTTTAGGTCGTACTTTATTGCAATGGACTGACTAATTGTTTATTATGTTATATGCAAGGAGAGCGTTTTATAAATGTAATTATCAACTTTATAGCTAAACCACCAGCTGATGATGTACCATTGAATCAGCTCAATCTTAAACCAAATTGTAAAATCATGATGATGGGAACGCGCGAGGAAGCTTTGGTTAGAATCATGACACTGTATTCATTAATTATATGAATACTGCATAATAATATAATTATCAGCAACCTGAATGATATACAGTATGTAACGTAACGATGATTTTTTTTATGCCCTGCTTTAACATTTAACTTATGAGACTTGAAATCGTAAATTCTGGTGTAAAGTTAGGGAAATTTGTGATAGCAATTTTGTGATTGTTTTCCTACAACTATCGTATCTTATATAACTTAATCTTACATGAGTGCACTATTCAATTAATAATATTAGTAAAGGTATAGAATGCATAAAGTCTTAATATTGAGTAGAGTTTAAGTACTGCCAGATTACGCTCTTAATGTCAAAGCATCGTTAAGTGGATAGTATTACTCTTTCGTTAAAATAAGATTAACTTGTTCCTATTGCAATTGGCTCAGCTAAGTATCGGCTCTATAAATGTTGGATATTAATGATTCAATATTTATTAGGAAGAGGTTATTAATCCATCTACAGATTGGGGTAATAATGTAGTCAATGATTTAGAGGTTGAAGAGGAGGAAGAGATTGCAATTGAAAATAGGTATGAAACATGAATGTATGACGACAATTACTATAATCACAAAAATAGATGCTGTACAGTGCCTTCTCATTTTTTCATAATAAAGTATAGCTATTGCTAACATGTTAATTGTACGCAATTTTAATACACGTAACTAATATTATAAGTGAATAATCGTAAACAATGATGATATAATAGACAGATCTTAATCTTGATTATGTCCTTTTCTAAAAGGGAAATCTATCTGAAAAAGATTAAAAGACGTGTTGCAGAGTATTCGGTAGAAGAAATTAATCCATTTCGTAATGGCAAGAAACTACTCGTCCTCGATATTGACTATACACTCTTTGGTAATAATTGTAGATACGATGGATTTTTAATGTTGTATTAACTGGAAAGAATTAGACTATTTAATTTGTTAGCTTCAATCTAATAATGTGCCGGTTTCTTTTGAAAATCTAACGTATGACTTCTTTATCAAGATCACAGATCAGTTGCTGATCATCCATTACAACTAATGAGGCCGTATCTACACCAATTTTTAACAGCTGCCTACGAAGACTATGACATAGTAATCTGGTGTAAGACTTAGCGATAACAAACACTAGTTATTTGTGCAACTTTAGTAGTACTCTGAGGTTAAAGTTATATAATTGGATAATGTCAACTTTTTATTTGAATCATTACGATAACATTTGACTTGATCATTAGCTGCCACTAATATGAAGTGGGTTCAACTAAAAATGAAAGTAAGAAAGACATTATATTGCGATAATAAGAATTTGCCAATGTGCTAAATAAAACGTCAATGATGATACCGTCTTATTCGACTGCAATATAGGAACTTGGAGTATTAGAAAATTCAAACTACAAAATCGCTTTTCTGCTGGATAATTTGGCTATGATAAGTATTCAAACTGAAAAACGCGGTGTTATTGATGTAAGTACAGTAGTTGACATATTTTTCGGCTTTAAGGGGAGCACTCTAGAACTTGTAATTGCGCCATGATTCCTAAATTTATAGGTAAAGCCTCTTGGTGTAATCTGGGGAAAGTATCCACGCTACCATAAAGGTAACACTATCATGTTCGACGATGTCAGGTCCAACTTTTTAATGAATCCTCAAAGTGGTTTAAGGGTAAACTTTATCAGATTAATAATCGAATAACTTTTTAACTGGAATAAAGTATCGATTTTAAATTACTATTTAATCAGATACGCCCTTTTCGGGAAGCGCACAAAAATCAGCAAACAGATAAAGAATTACTAAAACTGAAGAAATATCTAAAAAGAATTGCAAAATTAGACGATTTCACTGAACTAAATCATCGACGATGGGAAAGGTAAGCCATTCATTCATTGTATCGGTTGGAGGTATTGAATAAAATTTCATGACATCCTTTACTATGTGCGTTAGGTATATGAGAGACCGTTGATAAAGAGGCCCATTTAGGTGGCTGTCTATCATAACTACCATACAACGTAACTCAAATGACTGAGACCAACTTCAATTGGTCACGTCGATCAACTTTCACGAACATTTTAGCCATTATCCTAACTAGCACACAAAAAGTTTGCTGTCTAGTTACTATATATGGAGCTTAGACGTTTGCATATACAGTATACAGTACACAATGTAGTCATCATTTCATATATTTAACATGTAGTATTGTTTTGTCATTTTGTTTACTGTGTATATACACTCGTACGAAATATATACATAGATATAGCATTCGTACATATGTAGTTATATAGAGCTTAATTTTTATTTCGCTCGTTGTGCATTTATAGTTTAAGTATCATTTCCACTACTTTATTGAATTAGTAAGATATGAATACTGTTACAACAATTATGATTATTGTAATATACAATAAAATCTTAGCATTTACTCAGTTGAAATATTTATTTTGCAATTCAGCCAGAAGCGATTGACCACTCATCTCAGGGGGATTTATTCACTTGAAATATTTATTTTGCTATTCAGCCAGAAGCGATTGACCACTCATCTCAGGGGGTACGTCCAAACCCATAATTCGTAAAACTGTAGGAGCAACATCGCTTAGGTTAGCATCGTGTGTGATATCTTTATACTTTCCACGAGTCATTATGAGAGGAACTAAACAAATGCCATATTAAATTTGCTCGGTCAGTCATACTTTAGATATTAACAGTTGCAGCATTTATCCAATACTAGGTCAGGATGTAGCTCGTAAGGTAGCTTACCTCTATAAAGCGTATGAGCTGTAAAGGGCGAACCATTTTCAGTTACCATTTTCTCCGCATTGCCATGATCTGCTGTAATCATTAGGGCATAATCGTGCTTTTCGCAGGCCTCAAAGATTCTACCGATATTAAAATCTAAAAAAATATAATGAAGAACTTTGAAATTAAAATACTGAGTAAAAGTTTTTTCTTCTGATACCATTTGTATCTAGTAGACAGTTTTGTTCTTTTAGAGCTTAAATTATCGTGATAGTAGCATTGTACTCTAAATTACATGTATACGAAAATACGATGACTGCATAACATCTTGCCTATTTCCAACAACTAATTATAATTAAGCTATCCACCTGGATTAATCTTGCAAATATTCGTTATAACTATAAATCGTTTAGATTCGTACGCGTATATGCTGTTTCTGTAGATTATATATATATATGTTATAGATATATATAATATAACTAAGCCGTGAGATAAACACGTTACAATTTTTATTTGTAAAATTTGCGAACAGCCTAAAGGATATTTAATCATAAATGGGTTAAACAGCAAGTACCAATGCTCCTGCTCGACTTTTTTTTCTAAAACAAGAGACTTCTAAAGTTACAGATATATTAACAGAGCTTAACAGCAAGTAATGATATTTATGCTCTACTTTTTCCAAAAACAGAACGCTTCCAAACGCAAAATTAACAGGCATTTGTACCGTATATATGTGTGTGAAATATTGATCTACCTGTAACAGTGCATGCAATAACAGCAGCATCGTAAACTCCAGTGTGTCCAACCATGTCTGGCGGAGCAAAATTACACATCACGAAAGGATACTTTCCACTTTCAATGGCACGAATTACCTATAGCACATCATAGTTTGTTATTACAATCAAGTGCGAATGATGGTGTCATTACTATTTTAATGTTTACCTCATCAGCCACGCCTTCGGCATTCATCTCCGGCTTTAAATCGTAGGTAGCTACTTTAGGAGAGGGCACCATAATTCTATCTTCCATGCTGAATTGCATTTCTCGTCCACCGTTAAAGAAGAACGTTACGTGAGCGTATTTTTCAGTCTCTATCAAGATATTTGCATATCAATAACGCTAAACGAGTATTCGGAACAGAATGATTGCTGCATAGTAATTGTAATAGTCAGTACAAAAATTCTATAGCATTTACGAACCTGCAACATGCATTTGAGATAATTCTTTCTTTGAAAGCCACTCTGCAATAACATTATCCGGCGGTGTAGGAGGGAAGAGAACCGGAAAGGGGAATTGCTTTTTATACTGAGTCATAGTCGCAACATGCTGTGGTAATACATAAAGCACGTTTAGCAGGGGAAAACGGTGGAATGTGTCATTCATATTGATCATTAACGTACTAAATCCGTAGGTACAACATCAGTGGAAAATTGAGGCTGCATACCAAAAGCTTCGGAAATTTGTCGCATTCTATCAGCACGAAAGTCAATGAAGACTAGAGTGTCACCATCTACACGCATTAGAGTAAATAAGTGAAATCATTAATTTCCATATGTGGCTACCACTTGAAATATCATATACGTTAAATAGGCTAAGAATTACTAACTGCTAATGCGTCCTTCCGGATCACTTATAATCGGAGTCATAAATTCATCTGTCTGACGCTGGCTTCCTTCCGCATTGTAGCGATTTGTCATAACCTATGGAGTGTATCCGAATGAATCTTAGCTATTTCACTTTAGGGATAGCAATATTATATGTTAGACTTAACCACGCTATATCTTCTAAAATTCTCGTTAATACAAATTGCGTCTGTATTACATGCTACTTTTCGGGTCTAGTTACGTATATCGTATGCACTAAAGAGGTCCAAATTTTAAATGGTACTGCAGCTAGAGTCTGCAGCACACGTTACCTCTGTTATAGATCCCGGTGAAGTCAGTTCACCAACCACTTTTACTAATCCTTCATAAGCGATTTGAATCCTATCATATCTCTTGTCACGATCCATTGCATAGTAGCGTCCAACAACGGTGGCCAAGGAGCCATAATTCATTTCACTGATGTAATTCAAAACTTTCTGAACGAACGTTACTACAGTATAACATTAAGCGAATAAAATGTATTTGTGATATCTGATATCAGCAACGATAGGCAGCATCTTGATTGATAGTTATCATAAATAATCATTTCATTTATCAGCCTGTACTGAACTGTTTACAGCTAACCTCCACTTGTAGGTGACGTATCACGTCCATCGGAAAAAAATTGAATAAACGACTTTGGAACTCCATAATCCTTTGCAATTCTCAAAAATTGTAGCAGATGATCAATATGGCTATGGACTCCTCCGTCGCTGACCTGTAAAATAATAATGGCATGTACTCAGAATATCACGGTATGCACATCAAAGTCAATACAAATTTTTTTAATTCCTACCAATCCTAAGAAATGAAGCCGACCGTTCCCGTTCTTAGCTCTGGCCATAGCGTCAGTAAGAGATTTATTGGATTTTAAAGTATCCTCTTGAATGGATAAATTTATCTTCACTAAATCCTAATAGATTTAATGATATAAATAACGAATCGAAAATTATAATTTTTACATAATTTCTTAGAAGTCAATGATTGTCGTGTTCGGTACTTGTTCCCATCCTAAACCATCCTTTTCTCTTTGGTTAAAGTATTCTTAATTAATACAACTATATACACTAACGTACTATTCGGATAATGGCACAGCCATCGATTAATTTATATGATGATACTGTCAACGAATAAATCGCTTAGTAACATTCCTATAAATATACCACACTGATTTATATTATCAAGCAACATTCATCTTCAGATACTATGTGCAGTGTTGTGTGTTGCAGAATCGTCTCGTGAACTAAAGCAAGATGATTCAATAGGTATGAGTATCATGAATTTTCAATTTGATTCACCTGAAACATTGCACGACCGGATCCAATTGTGGTGTGACCAACTTCAGAATTTCCCATTACACCAGCAGGCAGTCCGACCGCTAATCCTGATGCTTCCAGCGTATGAAATGCATATTCTTTTTGCAGTTTATCCATAACGGGCGTCTGAGCATTAGCAATAGCATTTCCTGTTAGCAACACAAAGTGTGTTAGCGTTCTGGATTAGACTATCTTCTAATATCAAAAGGAACTTTGATAGGCTTGTGGAATTGACAATTTGGTTTGTGCTGTATTTGTGCAACATGTAATGCTTGAGAAACCGGAATGAACAGCGGTTTGATAAAATCGTTTAGCTTAAATATTGCATCTGTATCTACAAGTAGACTAATTTGTATACTATCTATTTACAACATTTCATGAAAACATACACATTTTCCTGCTACTGTCATTATTCGTATGCCCTACTGACAAGAAGCAGGCATTATGACAACTACTTTACCATACTTTTATCTCATGACCTAGTCTTAATAAATCATTGCTTCTGCATATATGCTATTGTACTGTATTATTGATAATTATAATATTTAAAATTAGCAATATAAAAAGAAAACATACGTATTTCACTGCTGATGCTGTCATTTATTCGTATGCCCAACTGACTAGAATAATGGCAATTATTTTACTATACTCTTATCTCAATGACCTAAGTTGAATAAATCACCGCCTCGGTATCTAGCATTAAACAGTAAATTTTTTAATTACTGCTTCCGTATCTACTATTAAACAGTAAATTATTAATTTATAGTATTGCATGAAAACATACTTACGTACTTAGCTCTTGCTGTCATTATTTGTACTCGTATGTCGAAATGACAAGAAGTAGATACCATCGTAACTATCTTTTACTGTACTGTACTTTCATCTCAATGACCTAAACTTGATAAATTATTGCTTCTGTAGCTATGCTACTGTATTATTGATTTGAAAAATAACACGAAAACATACCGACAAAAAGTGGATATACTGTAGTGACAACTAGTTTACTGTCCTTTTATGTCAAATAATCTAGATTTGATTATGCAGATATTCTTAACAAGCCGGTGTGTCATAAAGCCAGCAAGACTTGAGGTGTGACATTTTCAAAATTTTCTCTCGTTTGTGTAGGCCCATCAACAGTGCAGTGCCGTATGAGATTTTCAATATCTGTAGCTGTATGGCATGGCAACAAGGCCATCATTTAATTTAATTGCAGCACTACTGCAGTAAGGGTATCTTGAAATGGAAGAAAGTAATTTGCTGGAGATACGGATGGATTACTTGATATGAACTGAATGCAACAGCTGCGGTAGCTCATGAAACTTCAATGAGGTATCAGAGAATCATTCTTCTCAATCTGTCCTCTTTATCGGCTATTATGAACGGTGCAAATTGACCGTACTTACTGCACACACATACTGTACTCCTATTGCAAACTAGATTACTATTAAGTACGGCACATCTATTTCATTGATCAGCTCTGTCACCAATGCCAAGATTAATTAATTATAGTACTAGAAAGTGGTCCTTGCTATTGCCTACACTACAGTATCTTTCAATGTCGGATCAATCTCTACCTTAACGATTAGATGCAAATACGAGGCAAAGACATTTACTCCAAACTCAACTGCGCTATTCGTACATCGGTTTCACCGTGTTAGTATTCAGCACGATTGAAGTCCTGCTTTACTTGGACAGTAATTGAAAAGATGTGCATGGAATTGCAAGTTTCTTCTCGTACTCTCGTCAACAAGGAGACGACATAAGGTAAAGTGTACGCGTACCTTGCATTGTATCGGTAATGCCCCATCCATCGATCACAATTAAGCACACATTCTGCTTGACTTGAGAGGCCATGGTTTTACTTTCCTGCTATTTTAAATGAGTGAACAGAGGTTAAATGACTACTATTGCAGCGGGTAGAGAGTAAATCCTGTCGGCTACTGGGTTCAAAATCTACTACTTGCAGGGAGTCACGTACAATGTCCTCGATGAATGCCTTCCTGGGGTAGAAATAATGTCACCCCATAGGATATCTATACACTGTTCATTGTACCATATAGGGTGACATTATTTAGTCCAAGATGGTTACTGGATGGATTACGTCGGTAGAGTCGAGCATTTCTTTTAGTCACTGCCATACTGTAGACTAATGTCCAATGAACTGTTTGGCACAGTATATTATACTCCAGGCTTTCTCGGTCCGCAGAATACGCGCAGTACAGTGGGTGGAGAGAGCAAAGGGCAGATTGAATTACTTACTTTTGCTGCACTACTGCAGCTGTACTACCATCTATCCAAACGCCAGCTATCCTATTTGGACATCGTTGGTGGTCAAACTAAGGACTAAAACGGAATAAAACCGCCATTAACGTATCGAAACCCAAGCCACTTGATTCCATTGGAATATTCGGCGAGGTTAGACCTAAAACTAGGGCGACTGCAAAACAGTAAGCTGTCGTTTACTGCACAGCTCCGCATTGACTGGAATAGAAACCAACCGATTTAGATATTCGTCGAGGCCTGGCTGCAGACTAGAGTGACCACAACAAGGTAAAAGTATCGTTGACTACTCAGTATCTTCATCTATACCGACGCAAATCATTTGATTTGGACGTTTATAAAGGTCAGTTTGCAGTTCACAGTGTTGTAAAATTAGGATTGACGTTTCCAAGCTCAAGCCATCCGATTTGTTTTGCACTTTTGTCAAGGTCAGACTACTGATCACAGCATAGTAAGGCCTGGTCGTTTGCTGCATCGGCATCGTTATCCATACAAACACCATCGTAGCCATCGTATTGGATATTTTTCGAAATCAGACTGCAGCCGACAGTATAGTAAAAAACTATCATTTACTGCATAGGCATTCTCATCCATCCAAATACCACTATTGCCATCAGATTGGACATTTGTAAAATTATGACTGCAGATACGTAACAGCATAACAAAACTATCAGTTACTGCATCGGCATCCTCATCCATCCAAATACTGCCATTGCCATCGATTAAACATTCGTAATAATCTGACTATAGTACTGTATAGTAAATCTTTCTCCTCTTTTAGTCGTCCGTAGTAAAACTATATTTTGCTTCATAGGCGTCCTCATCTATCCTAGTACCAACACTGCCATCGGATTGGACATTTATAAGAATCGTTCTACAGATAACAGTATAGCTAAACCGTCATTTATTACATCGACATACTTAGGCATCCAAATACATCAATGCAGTATCCTCATCCAGCTTAATACTAACATTGCCGTCGGACTAGCCATCTGCAAAAGCTAAACTTTATATAACAGTATAATAAAATAGCCATTTATAGCAACAGCATCCTATCCATTCAAATACCAGCTTTACTTTAAGCTAGGGCATTTGTATAGATCAGACGGCACAGTGATAGCGTCATTTACTGCACAGGCATCCTCATTCATCCAAAAGCTACCACTACTACTAGATTTGGACGTGTGTAAAGGTAAGAGGAGGAATAGTAAGTCTTGTAAATGATCCATGTTCAGGTAGCTATATACTGTATTGTAAATTGCCGCTAAATAATTTATTGAATAGTCCATTGGCAGACTCTTGATAGTAGTAAAGCTTAAATTTGTAAATTCAAACGAATGCTAACGTTGCAGGGTTATTAGGAAAGCAACAAAGTAATCAAGTCTTCTGTATATATGGCAACATTTGATGAACCAGTAGTTGCTTCAACCTCATGGCATTGCAAGAGAAGCAATGGCATCCGAAGTGCTATCCGCTGGGCCAGAGATGATGGGAAGTAAGTATTGTACTGTATACTGTACTCAGAGATAGTAAGCATTAATTTGTGTTGTTGAACTTTAAGGAAATACTTTGATAAATATAAGTGGATCATTTTACGCGTGCAACTGCAGCTGATAAAAATTCAGTTTCTATATAAATGTTGACTAATTTTGCAAATACAGTATACTGCGTTTATACATGGAATAATTTCAACAGTATTTAGCAGTATTTATTACTGATGAACGCAATATATATTTTGCATAGCAGCCAGTCTGAAAAGGACAACTTATCAACCACAGTCACTATCATTGTTCACCCAGAAAAAGATGATTCGTTAATACCATGTTCGATAACTTTTGTATCATATTACGGCATTAAAGACATCACCATTACATCAGATTCAAAGAATATTGAATTTTACTTGGATAAAATGATCTATCAAAGTACCGTGCGTGGCTCGAAATTAGATATATGGTATGCTAAAAAATTATTTTAACATACACTACATGATGTGAATATTACGTACAGTATTTATACGGCTCTAGATGCAAGCAGCTCAAATTGTTGGTTATTATACAGTAGAGGCAACGTACGAATTTGCTTATTAATTTAAATCTAAATTCTTATAGCGCTGAAAATGGTTCTATCAATGGCTTATACAAAGTAGCCCAATCGTTTCCTGAACCTTACCCATTTTTCTGCACGATTAAGGTATGATAGCATACCTGGTAAATCTTTTTCAAATTTCGAATACTTTAATAAGATTCCATGTAGGACTCTGATAAAAGACAATTTTGTATGCCATATTAATATTTGTACATGCCAAATTATATAACATATTAGTGTTTATCATTACCGAATAAGAAAGAGCTTCATTTGCATGATGTATTTATAACTCTTGCTGCAAGTACGACCTCATCATGCAGTAGTAGTAAAGAGGTAAGGAATCAATTTATATTCATGTGCAAGTTTCAAATATTAGATTACTCGATTTCAAGTTTTAGCTAAATTCAAGTACACCCATTTTAGGCAGTAAGTAAGCCGAAAATTGATATGCAGCAAGTGCAGGGTATCATTAATTCAATTGGTGGACCTAAGGCTGATAAAGTTGGTCAGTTGCTATCAACTGTACAAGGCAATCAAAAGGTAAACTCAATCTTATGCTTCAACTGCGATAGCATCATTACAATAGTAGATAGTCAGGTTGGTCGAATTCACGTTATTTATACTGCAATGTCTCGATCAGTATTGATTAAAGTAGGATTGCGCTTCTATTTTATGCTCATTATGCAAGTCGAATAGGAATTATTCTACATAAATTTATTCGCGTACAAGTATGCAACATAGGTACTGTTCAAATTATAGCACCAATAGTTCGTTAACATTCGAGTGCGCAACTTTAGTAACTCTAATAGTTGTTTAAGGATTGTATCAATTTTACGGTAGGCATTAAATGTAATTATATCATTTATTGCGAAGAATTCTGGAACTTCCAACCTTGCGCAGCTCTTTCTCTCTCAATTACCACTTTTACGCCAAGAAATTGCCAAGCCTACCACAAGCACTATAGAACATCAGACTGGTAAGAATGATGTTGACTTAGCAAAAAATGATACTAAACCAACAGTGGACGGCAAAGAAAATTCATTACTACCGATGGATAAAACTGTAGGGTCAGACGCTAATAAAGAAAAAGGTGATGCAAGGCAATATGTACAACTACTAAATTATCAGCAAATGCATAAAAATATAAGTTGATCTTACCGCTGTTAAAAATTTATTGTTGCAGCTGATTTATCACTAATTAGAGAATATGTTGATAATGCTATTGAACGGACCTCAGAAAATATTATCAAAGAAATAAATGATAAGATAGAATCGAATAATAAAGCTATAGTAAGTAGACTTGATCAAATCACCAAGCAGTTGGAGTTAATCACGAGTGGCAAGAATGTAACTGAAAATTTGGAAGAAAATGGGAAATGATGCATTTATTAAAGTTTCCCCAGTTTAAAGTTTATAGCTATGGTTGCTTCAATACGAGTATATGATATCATTATATTCAAGAAATTTTAGTTCTTAAGTGAAGGTAAAGAGTGATCAGAATAATTTGTACTATTTCATTCAGGCTAGACTGTTGTTGCAATGTATGCTATATGGATTCGATCTGGCGATATTTACGTTATTTTTGTAAAACAAATTTTATTATTTCATATCGTCACAAATCTACTATATGACTTTTAACGCTTTGTAATATAAGATATTCATTAACACCGCTGCATTATGGCTCTTTAGTCATTCTTGCGTATTTGAATAGTCGTTATTTCGAAAGGTGAATCATAATAGTAATGCATACGTAAAAAATTCGTTAATAAGGTGTGAATTGCAGCAAAATGTATTTTCCCTTAAATCTAACTACTATATTGCTATCATTTATAGCTAGTACTTGTAAGTAGGCATTTATTGTCTGTAATTCCTTGAATGTAATGTTAAACACTTTATAACTTCTCTTAATTCAGCTAGACATGGAATGAGTTAATTTTATGCCTTACGTGATACAAACCATACTCCTATTCTATCGAGGGCGTCTTCGTTAAATGTTTAAATTGCAATATGACCGTAGTCCTTGGCCGTGACAACAGTTATTCTCATCTCAATAATTCGAATATTATGTACTTGTATATTTTCTGTATAATACCCTATAAATATCACTCAAGCAGTAAGTAATTTGGCATGGCAGTATTGCTAATCCTATACATATTTTGTGTTCAATATCGATATCTGAAGAAATTGAAATTACCTTGCACCATGCAAGAGGTGACAACGACCACAATTATAAGTACCAGTGATCTGGAAACCTGTTGCTAGTATTTAGATATCTTGTATGATAATTCAGTTTCATGACGTATAGTGAATAACGCAATTTGTGTTGTAATCATGCCGATGCGAATTCGTTTAAGTAATATCATTATTCATGACAAATGTAATTACATATTATCGGTACTGTATTTAAAAAGTATTCATAAGCTAAATGCCTCTGTCCATAAAATAACGATCAAAACATCATTTTGTGAGCTGAGTATTTGTATTATCTGTTTATTACTCCATTTGATAATTAACATACGATCAATTAACACCTACCGGTAGGGAAAATCATAAATTCTTATTAAAAGTATTATTGTACACACTCCCACTATTTTCAGGAGAAGTCTAATTAATTTCTATGAAATTCGCTGTAATAAGAATACATGGACTTCAATATCGACGATAAATGTGGCTAAATTTATTCTAGCTTTTTCCGATAGGTTCTCCTATAGTAATTACTGTATACTCGTATATATTTACTAGCCACTGCCATTTCATATTTCTACGAGTACTATATGGACTCATTTGTGCAGGTTGATTAGTGATTGTACCTAATTTAGCTTTAGTGTCATTTATTTGCTTATATTAGCGATTGTATCTAATATCCCATTCTATACAGACGGGCTAAGCCAAAAAGCGAATTAATATGATCACAAAGACAACCGTTTTATAAAAATAATACGGTATACTGTATGTACAATTCAGTTTCTTTTGAGAAAATTTATTTAGCCCCGTCATATTCATAAACTCTGGAAGAGCTCATATTCGTGCATTTACATATTCTGATGCTGTCCATCTTGATATCTACAATAGCAATACGCGCTAACGGGTATGCGTAACTACAGTCGCATCTTAATCGTTGATGCAGTATTCTATTTTAAAAATACTGAAAGCGAATCGTAGTGAAAATTACAACCATCCGCTGTTTATAAAGAATTCATGTCTATCAATACAAGAATAAAGATCAACGAATTATTCTATATTATCAATCGATTTACATTCTAATTTTATTGCATTTTTCTTGTTTGGCGTACCGTATTCATCTCAATACGGCCAAAGTACTACTCGTGATTAAGATCAATTATATGTAGTAAAACTGAATTAGCGTTTGTCAATAAGTTCAAAACTCAATTTTCAATGCCATTATTAATATTGCTTCTTGTCATTGGTTTTGTATCACTTTAAACTTGCCTTCGAATTAGATAAATCATTATCATGATTGAACAAAGATATAACGTTAATTTGTTTACGGTGATTGAGTAATGACAAAGCCCTCGCGGTATCTCTGGCAAGGAATGAAACAAACGCCCTACGTATACTATGGCGATTACTTGACAACTGGATGCCTTGCAGCCCCCTGGCTATGTTCTGCACCGTTACCGTCGCCATTAATTATAAATAGTGAAAAGCGGCTTTGAATCAGGCTTTGTTAGGAGATTTTCACAAGTATTTTACCTGCAAACTGAATCATTACTCCAAGTTCATACTATCCTTTGAATGACTACGTTACAATAAGCAAGTACGAGTAGGAGTAGTATTCTCTATACTGTCCTAGACACGGAGTTAACTGCTAATATAAAGATGTATTGTTTGTTGTAGACAATAAGATAGTAATTCCAGTCGAGATAAATATTAACTCATTTTAACTAGCGATAAATAATTTAGTTCGTAATAACAACCAACAACTACTGCAAATGGCCATAAACATAGCGTCCATGAGCGGTCAAGTTCCGAGTAAGATTCCTGTTTACAAGTGGAGAGAAGCAATCCAACTAGTTTACCAATAGATAAAACAATAGCATCCATATTAGTCCATTTCCATAATACTGATAGACTATAAGGACCATTAATTAATTCATTTTCATTAATTCATTTACTGCATAGGCATTCTCATCCATCCAAATACCACTATTGCCATCAGATTGGACATTTGTAAAATTATGACTGCAGATACGTAACAGCATAACAAAACTATCAGTTACTGCATCGGCATCCTCATCCATCCAAATACTGCCATTGCCATCGATTAAACATTCGTAATAATCTGACTATAGTACTGTATAGTAAATCTTTCTCCTCTTTTAGTCGTCCGTAGTAAAACTATATTTTGCTTCATAGGCGTCCTCATCTATCCTAGTACCAACACTGCCATCGGATTGGACATTTATAAGAATCGTTCTACAGATAACAGTATAGCTAAACCGTCATTTATTACATCGACATACTTAGGCATCCAAATACATCAATGCAGTATCCTCATCCAGCTTAATACTAACATTGCCGTCGGACTAGCCATCTGCAAAAGCTAAACTTTATATAACAGTATAATAAAATAGCCATTTATAGCAACAGTATCCTATCCATTCAAATACCAGCTTTACTTTAAGCTAGGGCATTTGTAAAGATCAGACGGCACAGTGATAGCGTCATTTACTGCACAGGCATCCTCATTCATCCAAAAGCTACCACTACTACTAGATTTAATTTAATTCATTTTAGTCAATACATGGGCTAATTAGAATGTTACAATTTCGAGTATGTTTATACAAGTATACCGTTCTCGCATACAATAATCAACTACCGGTAAACGATGGACTGTTGGGCAGTTCTTTGGAGATTTGAATTGATACTGACGGACAAGGAATGAAAAGTGTAGGAAAATGATTATGTGTGTAGGACAACATCACTGACCTTATACTAAATGAGTCATCATAAACAAAAAATGTCAACAATGAAGATCAATAACCGTTCAGTGGTATAGCCATTGATCAAGCTGTATAAATCATCAACAAGGTTACGACCGAATTGCAATTCCTACTGAATCTTTATGCCATCTTCCAATATTGCTTAATTGCTTTGCGATGGATTTGGGCGATAACTCGTTTAAATCAAATCAAAAATGTACGTTTTGAACTATGTCAACAGAAAATTTTATATCGATGAACAAGAGTCCACGTTAATTTTTCAACGCCTCAACTGCATTGCAGTAATTCAAATTGTAATTCTTAATGAAGCAGGAAAAGCTTATCGTAGGTCACGAAGTGGCATAGAACGTTGCCATCTAATAAGGATTGATCTTTGAAAAAGTTGGTCATTAAGGATATAAAATTGCACAGATGGGGGGGGGCAATCGTGATTACAGTTGGCATATTTCAAGTACAAAGGGAGAAGTTTTGGGGGCAATTTCCTGATTTCTCTAATTAAATATCCTGCTTGACTGAGTTAACTAAATTCAACGGTTGCATCAGTAGTATACTGTAGAGCGTGATCACTTCAATTCATAGTCATCATGTCTACTCGAATAGAGTTAATTTAGCTTATGATTCATCCTTTAAGCTTCTCTTCTGTCGTTTACTGTTCTTAATTTGGATGATACCATTGCCTTACATACTGTACTCTAGCAATCTTCTCCCCTACCGATGCCAGTATTAGTCCGTGCCTACTATACGATATCCTTGCATGGTACGATGGCCTTTTAAGGGTAAAGTTGAATAGATGGAAAAAAATAAGATTCAATGATAATAATGAATATTATAATCATTATTATAATTAAGTACATTGTTAACAATCTTCTGTCGTTTAAACCGAGAAGAAATGACGTCAAAGAAAGCGCTGCTTCATTATCCAATTTGTTAGCATAGTTACTGCATCCAATCATTCAATCTATTGTTTACACCTTGTACTTTTAGAGGCTCGTCTTCATTTGCCCCTTCGATTATATTATTTCTCGACCAACGCTAGCACTAGCCCTGCAATTTACCGAGTCATAGTAATCTCCCTACTGTCAAGGTGTTACTAAGTAACTAGGTGTCGAAGGTGAAATTCGTTAGCTTGAATTCGGTGCATTATCCATATTGTTTTTTTTGACTTTTGTTATTGGTGGAATTAATCAATAGGTACCAAGACACGGATGATATTTTCCTCCGTAAGAACAATAAAAAAGGATAAATAAGATCGACCTGGACAGTTTTCGAGCATTATTTGTGTTGTCATCTCAGTGGATACAACTGAAGTAGAAAAAAGTTCCTTCTTCTTTACCGTTATTAGAATCAACGATTTTACTGCTAATCAATTGTAGTTAGATCACGAAATCAAGACTAAAAAGGCAATGAAAACGTTGAGTCTTATCTTGTTAGGCCTTGTGGCCTTAACTGCTGTCGACGCACATATTCGCTTGAGTTTTCCTAAAGCAAGAATGTTCGATTTGGACTTTTTAGACAATGTCAGAACGCGTAGTCCGTGCGGTATGCCTGAAAATGCTACCGGAAAAGGTGTCTATAAAACTAAATTAATGACTGGCTCAGCTGTCGATGTAACTTGGCATATGGCTTTCCCCCATGGTGGTGGTTTCCGCATCCAAATTTTGCATCGCAACGGCACTATTGCTCACGAATTAACACCAACCAGTTCTGGTACGCCATGGTTTTCAGCCAATAATAACACGGTTCAAAATTATTTGGCTATGCTACCGAGCGGTTTTACTTGCGATCACTGCATTTTGCGATTAACTCGAAATGCCAGAGAATGGGTCACAACCAGCGGACCTTATATCTTCTGGAGTTGCGCTGATGTCGAAATCAAAAATTTCCAATGTACTCAACTCGATTGCTACAACGGCGGTAGTATGCCTTCCAACTGTAATAATGCCTCTCCATCATGCACGTGCAGCAATAGCATGTCTAGTGGAGACCGTTGCCAATATACAAATGAATGTGAAACCAATGCAGATTGCAACAATAAAGGTCAATGTATCGCCATCAATCAAGATTATTACTATCCTTTGAAGCAATGCTTTTGCAATGCTGGTGCATACGGTTATAAGTGCGCCAAAACAAGTTCGCTAACAACGGCTATGCCAAGCGATACCTCTTCATATACCTATAGTAAATTAGATACCAATAGCGAGATTTGGTATAAAATAATCAGTGCATCCAGTGAAGTCGAAGTTATTCATAAAACCACAACCAAGAGTTGGGCTGCTCTCGGTTGGCGACCACAGGGATTGCGAGCATCGTGCCAATTATTTCCCGCTGGAGCTGCAGCTGGCCTTTTGATTGGACCTGGAGGCAGACCTGAAGGTAATGCTGAAGGTAATCCAGAAGGCAACGCTGAAGGTACTACTAAACCAGAAGGCAATGCAGAAGGTACTACTAAGCCAGAAGGCAATGCAGAAGGTACTGCAGCAGCTGAAGGTACTGCAGCAGCTGAAGGTACTGCAGCAGCTGAAGGTACTGCAGCTGCAGAAGGTACAAGCAAACCAGAGGGCACTGCAGCACCAGAAGGCAATGCAGAAGGTACAACCAAACCAGAAGGCAATGCAGAAGGTACAACCAAACCAGAAGGCAACGCAGAAGGTACTACCAAACCAGAAGGCGAAGGCACTACCAAGCCGGAAGGCGAAGGTGGCAACTCCGAAGGCGGTGGTGCTGCTGGCGGCCCTGTAAGCCATCCTATGGACTGCATGGATATGGTCATTGGTAGTGCTCGCGGTAACACTTTCAGATTATTTGATTACTATTCTCGTGATCGTAGTACACCACGAATGGATGCCTATTACGGTGAAACGGACAGCATCACTGCTGCCGTTGGTTCTGAGGTCAATGGTATTACAACTTTAAGATGGCGTAAAAAGCTAACAGCTGACGGTCAAACCGATCATGAAATCAAAGATACCATTATGGATGTCATTTATGCCTATGGACAGAAATCACCATTCTCGCATCAGTTTCCATCTGGCTTAGTTAACTCACATCGTGCGAATGATTACTACGGAGACGATGAGCTAAAATACCATGGTTATCAAAATCGCGGTCGTCAATCGCTTAACTTTTATGGTGGCACTAAATTAACCACGGGTAATTGCGCTGGCAGCTGGGGCACTGGATGTGCTGCAGGAGCGTGCGTCAACAACTTGAATTGGAACGTTTACAATGATGGCACTGTCCACTTTTCCATGTCTGCAAAAACAGATAAATGGATTGCCTTAGGTATCTCCGACGATACCAAGATGCCCAATACCGATGCTATCGTTGGATGGGTTTCGAGTGGAATACCATCCTTGAAAGATCGTTTTGTAAATGGCTATGCCCCACCAGCTGTCGATGCCATTGGAAATGTCAATTTAGTCAATGGATCTTTAGTAAACGGCGTAACTTTATTAAATTTCTATCGTAAAATTAATACTACAGATACACAGAATGATAAGACTTTACATGGATGTCACTATTTCATATTTGCCATTGGTGGTAACTACAACAAAAATAGTTATGCTATAAGTAAGCACGCTTCAACGCCATTTGTAACCATTAGGAGAGTTTGTATTGATGGAAGCAAATGTTCACAAAACAAGCCACCATTAACGGGTGGCGCTCTTAGTATTTTTACCATGACGCATTTGTTGATCACGATATTTGGTCTTGTTGTTGCTAAATTATTCTAGTGTAATTGGCATTAATTAACCCTATAATAATAATTATTAATGGTTCGCTAATCATCTCAATATTCTTTGCATCATCCTAATATTCATACTTCTGTATACGGTTACACATTGCCACCCTGGAGGTTGATTGTTATTTCTAATTCCTAGTATTCATGATGATCTAGTTGTAAATTATATATGATATATGATAACTTAATCTGATGTTGTAAACGTATAATGATGTGTGTTTATTTGAAATGCCATATCATTCACATACCATCGATCACCTACTTTTAGATAATAAAATTGAATATTGTACAAGAATGATCTCTAATAAATCTCATGATAAGCAGTAGACCACTTGCAATTTTTGAATTAATCTGGATATCTCTATACAAGTATATGCGTATACGCTTATAAAATAATATTATTATTTACACTAAAGTACATTGTACATTGGAACTTGATTTGCCCGCATCGAGCCTGCATGTCTTCGTTAGATGAAAAATTATGTCAGTAACTGAATTATAGTGCTAGTGCTCTAATCAACATAATAGATTCATAATGGTCTGAAGCCCTTTCAATTTCTGATCTGAACCTATAGCGTGTAAGATTAGATTAAGATCGTATTGCTTTCTCTATTCCCGAGAGGAAATTGCAATCTTATTAAACCAGTGCTAATATCGAAGAATAAAAGGTCTCGATATAGTAGCTAAGCATACTTTAAAATTTTCTTTAGAAAGGGCGCTCCTAGAGTATATGAACACTACCCTTGTTAAGTCTGAAATCGTACACGTCTACTTACTCGAATTACATTCTCAAATACTCGTAGGTCGCAGCTGTATCTTTTCGATAGTCAGACCTATTTTACCAATCTAAATTCCGTAGTGACTGTGCTGTAAATACTTCTAAGAAATTGCATAAAAAAATGGCAAGTATACATTCCAAGTTTATATGAGATCGCTTCTTCCGTGTATCGGCCGGGATTTTAGTAAGAGGGACGCCTAGCGGCTGTTCAGTGCAAAATAATGAAGGGGCTTATCACTTTTCTGGTCATTTACTATACGCTCGCTACCACCGAAACCATATACTACACTGCAAAAAAGCAACCAAGCGGCGAATTTGGATGACAATCATAGCAAAATAGTCAGCTTCCTCATTTTCAGTATACTGAACGATAGTTCTCTGTCCCCCTCTTTCTTCTTTTAGTAGTCCCTGGTATCGGCATGGACTACCAATTTGTAATTTAATAGTTCATGATATCGGTCATCTTTCTGAATAAACATTAAAGTTTTAATACTAGCCGAACACTCTAACTATATTCGTATAACTAATCGATAACGAACCCGACGAGGATGATGGCATGTACAATGGTACATACGAGTAATGCGGTATAAATACAGTGCAGACGAAGAAAGCTAAGTCGAAATACCCAAAATTTTATTTAGAGACGATTTATTGGGTCGATAATAGTGGCGCTGAATCACAAGAGGGTATTGAATAAACGTAAAGACTTAGCATTTACACGTCGTAGTAGACGGCTATGAGTAAATGTGCTAATTTGGCATAATTTTTTTGTATGACATCAACATACGCATAGTGTAGAATGTACAATATTATTTATGAACTACCTTACACTACTAACTAGGTATCAAATTCGATCATTTTTAACAAAGACCAACATAAAGTGTCATTCTCGACACGTTATACAATTTCATCATGTAAAAATGATTTCATGTTGTTCGATGGAGACTAAATGCTACAGCAGCAACAATTATAACAGAGATCAGTAGTAGTCAAAGAACATCTCTGTACTGCTCTATAGTCTTAAGATCGATGTAAGGTTCACGTAGGCAGTTAACGAACAGAGGGTGGCATTACCGTTACACTATTCTTAACGGAAAAAATAACATTTGCTGTATATAGATATCAATGGCTGCAATAACTTCTAGGAAAGCAGTGGCTTATTCTACGATAGCTGCTCAATTGGAATAAATATACAGTACAGGAATAAGTAATTCTTATTCTCTGTGAAAAGAGTTGATCCAGGGACAGATTACATTAGGTCTATTGCTATAAACTTTGCCACTTATTTCACCATCCGTTAAGTTACACATACAACCTTCAACCATAATTAGATTTTACAAGTGTAGGCTCAATATTACCGAACTGTATTATTTATAGATAAAGTCATCAATATAACATAGCAATGGGTTATGTACAATCCATCTGCGCAATCATTGATTATAATTATGATATCAATCAGTCAATACGATGATAACGAAATTTCCTCATTGTCTTAACATTAGTCTCCGTCAGTTAATTTATCATCATCTTCTAATTCTTCTTTAATTGCTAATGGTGTAGTAGAATCGTCCGCTACGATACTCTCTCCTTCTACGCTATCTGACTCTACAGGCTTTTTATCTTTCGATTCCTTAGCCATTTCTGCTAGAGCACCAGCTAGGAAGTCTGCTTTACTTGTGGTTGAAGACGGAGTAGAAGAACTTGTGGGAAATATGATAGAACTTTGTACAGCCAAGATACGAAATGAACGCCAGCGAAAAACTAGGTTATTGACTAATTTATATTCTTCCTCTACTTGAGCTTCTGGATCGCACTGTTCTATCGCTTCTTCGAAAAAATCTTTGATAGTAGGCGTAAATTTTTCACCACTCATTTTACATGCAGATAAATTATCAGTTGATAAATTCCATAATCGTGTTAGCTCCGGATTTCCAAGCTCGATCTTGTGAGAAGTAGGAGAATAATGCCTACTAATTTTACGTTTCTTACGAGGTGCGGAAGAGCTATCGCTACTTTCAGTTGAAACGCCTGGCCGTACAAAACTAGGACAGCCATCATTTTTCCATTTACTCCAATATTCTTCGCGCGATAATATCTCACGAACTAACTTTACAAATTGTTTCCCTCCAGGAGGCGTCTCTTCTAAAAGTTGGTATACCAATTTGGTTGATCTTTCAATCCACTGTTGCTGCCTTTCTGAAATAGTGCAGCTAGTTGGTCTAAATTTGACCGTACTGGTCAAATATTGAAACAAGATTAGAAATTGTATAAGTATTGTTCTTCTAAATTGGCTATCATTGAGCTGCAAATCTAATAGCTTTTCATTGGTTAAAAATTTAGCAAAATAGCGATTGGAGACATCCATAGCATTGTCACATGAGTCCGATATTTCCATCCCATCCTGATCGGACGGATTATCGTTGTCTGTTTTTGTACTTTTATTACTTGTAAGAGCTTCTAGCTTGTAGCTTTTGAAAACATCCAAAACGACACGACTACTAGTCGTGAGTGCATTCCAACCCGAATTGGAATAGCATAAATTAGGATTACTGAAAAAGTCTTGCAATGACCAAAAACGATAGTAGAGATTGTAATCAATGGGTGTTTTATTTTTTTCGGCTTTTTTTTCGTCATCATCCCCTTCACTTATTTCTCCGTCTTCAACATCCATCACCCCTTCGGCGGAGGCTGTCTGAGAGTCAACCATGTCACGCTTTGTATAACTCGTCACATTATCCACATTGAAATGACTCATGACATTTAAGCCCGAGCGTTCATCGAGCGGAAAATAACGACTGAGAAATAATCGAATTTGGCCACAAAAGATGGTATCTTGGGAACGCGATAACCGTCGAAGGAGATCATTACACATGCGTAAGATATATACTTTACCCATGGCGTCGAAAGCGGTATCTTTCCAGGTTTGCATTTCTTTCTCCACATAGCCAAACATGCGTTGACATACACGAAGGGTCAAACAATCGAAGATATCTACTAAAAGAATAAATGGCAAGGAAACTGATGCTAAACCTGATTTGGCACATATCGTCGATATCTTAATTAGCCAAGTGAGATCGTCAATTTTGACCTGGTTGTCATCGGTGCCCTTTTGCTTTTGCACGATCAATTCTTTCAGTAGATCTCGGAATGCTTGATCAATGGCACTTTTACTTTCACTGACGTTATTCTCATGATTAGCAAGGATCTGCTTAGTTTTGGTAATGGTTGTTTCTTCACTTTGCTCGCATTCATGGCGTAAGCAATCCACTAATTGATGCCTTAATTCATCGAAAGTTACGAGCTCGCCCTTCATCTTCCTCCGATTAAAGGCTACGAACGCAACGAGTAGCAGATATCCGAATCTGCCAACTAGTTTCTAGCAATCTACTGTAGACAGTTTTGCACTACTTGTGCAAACACCCCATAGCAGCAATAGAAGTAGACCACGTTATAGGGGTCGATGACTAGTAAAAGGGAGAGCTGCACAGTGTACAGTACAGTACTTACAGTCGCGGCGTCCAATGTACATTGTACACTGTAGGGAAGCTAGACTGTAACGAAGGTGACATCGCTTTGTTACAAACTATAGGCTAGAATAAAGTATGTTGACTTAAATAATGTCACCTAGCATTTGGCAGGGTGACATGATTTTAATCCCCGATGATAGTGTAAGTATTGTTCGTAACTAAAAATGGTGTCGCCCATCTAGGCCACACAGTACAGTACTATAGATGCAGTAGTACAGTAGTCCTATCGGAAATGGCGAAGCAAGAGGTGACCGTGACGATAATATTAATACACTTTAAGCTATCAAAACGACTCTAAAATCTATACATCTCAACGGATACAGGTATTTAAACTATGAAAAAGGAATACTATACTATACGGATTATTTTAGAAATACGCAAATTTGTGGGTATCAAATTCTCGATGAGTCGATGATGTAGTTTTGGCCAATACAGTACTGTACTGTATGCTTCGTCTAGTAGACCATGACTGTACCGTCCGTACAGTAGTCTGTGTCTGACGCAAGCTCGTTAATCCGTTTGTCCACATACGCGTGCGTAGTCAGTATAAACAGTATAGTGTTGCGTTCAGTAGTTTAAAAAAAGTATTTTGAACTAGAGTAGAGTCGCAGACTGTGACTGACTAACATACAGTTGCAGCACGACTTGCTGGTGGAAGCCTACCCTACTACTAGTCTACTACTATCAAGTGCTTGGCTGACGCAGTCATGGCGGGCAAAAACTCACTGTCCACGAGCAAAGGCAAACGAGAAATCGTGGCTGATATCAAAGTTATTTTACTAGATCATTCTTATTCCAAATCGTGGATACCTCATCCTGGATATAATTCGAATCGACCGGCTAAATCCATTTTTGTGCCCAAGTTTTATTCTCATGATTCGAGAAGTTCCTCGGACGATGTCACCATCGATGGCAGGGTAGAAATGAATAGGCATTTAAGCTCCAGTTACTACGATGTTGCCAAAGCGCGAAATGTCATGTCAGAGTGTGAGAAACATATTGGCCTCGTAGTGGCTAAACGAGCAAAACCACTTTATGACGATATTGACGATATTCCTAGGTAAATTGAGCCTTAGGTCGGTCGGTACAATAAGGGATAATCACTGTCGATACCTAGTCCTACAGCAGACAGGTAGTGTGAGACTTGCCTGCAAGGGTATATTGCAATATAGGCCATAGACTGCTGTATTTTCGCGTCGATTCGAGACATGGTTAGCCAAGGAAGGAACAGGAGTGATAACGCATGATGGAGCGTACTGTAGACTGGCAGTAGAAGATGGATGTAGTTATCAACTACTCTTCTACTTTATAGCATATCAGTTCAATCATTTTCTATCCAAACCTTTAACCAAAAAGTACAGCTGGACGTGTATACTGTATAGGAGGAACAAGTGCAGCAAAGGCAAAGACAAAACAATGATGAGTGCGCATTTATTCTCATGTTTCTTATACGCACGTTCAAATATACACGTAGAGTAAAGAAAATAAGACGTTACGATGGTCTTGATTCAATTATTCCTGGAATATTAGATAGTATCGTTGGCATATTTCTCTTTTTCTTATTCAATGAATGATTGTAGTCGTAGTGATTTTTAGATATTTCGGATTCGAGCTTGACTGCTGATCATCTTATTGTTTACTTGTAGAGTAAACTAATACAACGATTTATCATTGAATGATAGGATTGCGAGGATTGAATAATACAAGGATTAATATTCTTTTTTTTCCATCTATTTTGTTAAATATGATAACTTACGCAAAAGAACGGGATGGACATTTCGACAAAATCAGTTATTCGATAAAGTCAGTCGGTCAATCAACTCATGTCGGTTGGCAAAATTAGCTTGCGAAACGGTAATAGTAGCTGTTTCCATAGGATAAAGTTCTCAAGTATGGAAAGATATTGTCTTACAAGCCTATTCTATTATTTTCTAGACTGCCAACGAACCTATACTACGGAGGAATTGTATTGACAAAGCAGCGAGGAATGTGCGACAAATATTTGCTCTTATACGATGGGTAAGTTATTTCATCTCTTCAGAGTTATTGCCACTGAATATCACAGTATTGAAATAGATTATTTCAGTGATACAGTGCGACATAGTGCAAGAAAAATACTTTATAATACCATAGTATTGGAATGATTGTAATAATCTTAAACACTGCTATGTACTGTTGTAGGACTTACAATTATCGTTGAGATATATTTTCTATTTGGCTGCAATGCTTGTTTTACCTCTAAAAGTATGCTTCACTTCTAGGATCCTAAGCTATTGTTATGGCTGCATACGCTATTGATGGACAATCTCTCTACTACTTACTTATCTGATTACCTAGATATTTTACAGACACTGCGGGCTAAGGTAATAAACTTCTTGGCTTTACAACTCTGGTCGAGTAATGCCGAAAAAATTTCACATTCGTTTTAACGAGTTAAACATTTTTTTCCATCTGGCAGTGCCCTTCAATGGTTGACAAATTAATTGGTATGTATGCGTCCGATTGTCAGAATCCGACTGGAAGCGAAGCTTTACAGTTGTTGTTAAACCGTAAATGGGATCCTTTGGTTGGCACTGTCAATCAACACAAATCTTTCTTATCGGTTAGTATCTTAGAGTATTTGCTTCCAACGTGGAACATCTAGATTTTAAGGACTTTTTTTTCTATTCAGAATAAGGAATTAAACACCCCCCTCCTTTTGCTTGTTCCCAACGGCCCTACGCAACCATCAAACTCTACTTCTCGAAGGCTGCGCGCCTGGCAAAGCCATTTATCGACGTGCGGTAAAGTCGTTCCAATTACCATGCATTCTACTAAGAATGTAAACGTATCTCAATGTCTGGACCATATGATTGGAGCGGTTAGAACCAAAATATTGGAGGTGAGTTACGTTTACGCAATAATACTGTTTCCTTCAGATGCTTTTAAAATTAATAATTATAACTATTTGAAATAAAATTCCTATTGATTGATTACAGTTAAAGTGTCACTTTCCAAAACGTCCTATTGTCTTAGCTGGCTGGTGTGCCGGAGCAGCTGTTGCTTGCAGGGTACTGAAGTTAAATTGAGGATTCCTATTGCACTTGTAATATTATTTATTCCAAGGATTTGATGGTTGATTTGCATTTGATTACAGGTTGCTATAATAGAATCTATCGAGGGTGTCATTTGTTTAGGTTTTCCAACAGTAGGGCTAGATGGCATGAGAGGGGTAATTTCATTGATAAATCTTGTATATCGTCACTTTTCAGTATTTTGCGATCATTTTTTAGTCTGAATTTGATTGTGTCGTTAGTTTAATAATTATCTGATACAGTGTATTTAAAATTGATTCATTAAACGTGTGCGAACTAATTAGGATATCGAAGATCCAGTTCTAGCTCTTACAACACCAACCTTATTTGTAGTTGGTACAGAATCACGAGCATCTTCACCAGACGATATAGAGGTATTGCTACCCGCAGTTTCTTTCCATTATAAGTTAATGCGGAGGGAAATAATTATTTTATGCGATAATTATTGTTGACAATATTCTGTCTACAAACGTTAACATTATTCGGTATAGCTTATATATGTACATGAAAAATTGATTTTAGTGATGTTATGATATTGATAGGAATTGAGGCAAAATATGAGTGCAAATACTAGTTTATTCATCGTTGGTGGTGCTGATGAACAGGTAGACTTTATTAGCTGTGACCAAATTGATCTACAATAGGTTTTATTATCTATGATCAAATTGATCCACATCACTCATTGACTTAAATTTTTATGCTTGACTTTATAGCTTCGACTTAGTCATCAGGTTAAAAGGCGAGAATGTGTCACGCAGACGATTGCAGATAAAATGATTCAAGTAAGACTGCCTATATATCTGTAGAAATATTTACGTTGCTTTAACACGCGTATTCATGCTTTTGCTTGGTAGAATGAAATCGCTGAATTCCTCAGTCGAACCTTGACTCGACGTGGCATAAATGATGAAAACTATTCAAATCCTGTTACAAAACCTAACAATCAAAGAAAGCGGAAAAGGCCAAGTCCCAACTTGTCCAAGGACTCTATAAAATCCACTCCGCCAAAGACTGGTTGGTATTGATAATCTGGTTTATCTTTCTACTATAAAAGCATAGTCCATAGCGTATCTTGGAGAATCTATTGACAGTTTATTGATACAATTAGGTAATAAAAAAACTGTAAAAGAATCACCAACTGATTCAACGACTGCATCTACGGTAGCAACAAAGGTTGAATCTGATTCCGATAAAGGCAGTAAAAGATTTAGTGCCAGAAAGAAATTAAAATTAGATCCGTTATCCACTGATAATGTTGCCAAATCTTCAAAAAAAACTGTTGCCCCTAAAATCGGCATGGGAGATATAACGCAGCCTATGGCTGTTCTTTTATCGGATTGCTTAAGTAGTGTATCGGCTTGTGATGGAAAATCTCAAATATCCAAGGACAACAAAAATTCTGAATCAGTGGATAAAGCCAATGTTGAGAAAAGTGTAAGTAAATCGGTTGCAGATAACGTGGAAAGCAACGGCTCTTCTACAACAGTCAAGCAGGAAGAACAAAAAACAGAATCTTTTACCTCATTCCATCATTCTGACAGTCCAACCGGTTTAAGTGCTTCCCTAGCAAGTGTTATTATGTCAAAGAGGAAGATTCATGCTAAGGAGAAAATAACTCTATCGGAATTAAGTACAGCTCTAATAAATGACAAGAAATATCGAGCAAAAGAGAGTAGTACTACTAAATCAGAAACATGAGCAACGGTGTTCAATTCCCGAGTGACGAAGTTATGAAGAATTTGACACTTGCAGAATTTATTCTAGGATGTTTCGTTTTTAGTAGGATGGCAATCAGAAATTGTATCAGCTTCAAGTTTTTAATAACTAATTCTAGAAGTTATACGAAAAAACTACCTTCCTGTATACTGTATGTATATATATGTATATATATACACTTGATTTGTGTTTATCTATGCAATACGTTTGCAGTCTATTGTAAAGTTATAAATATAATGTAACATAACGAAGGATTACCGATTTGGAGAGTATTTGCTTTATTTATGCTCTCACCAGATGATTTTAGTATTTCGTCTGGCTGCCTCGTGTTTCTAGTTATTTATATATAAACTGTTGTTTTATGTACAGTTCAGTAAGATGTGATACTTGACTGATTGATTATGATCTATATGATCATATCGTTAGTTTTATATGGATATCTTGCACTTGTTACCGGCCATAGGTTATGTCGTACTTTTCATCGACACAATCGTTAATAGTTCATCTTGACGAACTAAACTCCTCCATAATGAAAACCTTTTTCTGCTATACAAAATGTCTAAACGGTATCACCGTTTCGTCATGGAATAAAAATTGCTTTTATGAGCTTTATTAACTTATCGGCTGACTGCCATTGGATAATGATTCGTTAGTATGTTGACGATTTATTTATGGTAACAAGCTCATGCTGATTCAGCACTTTACTCGTACACGAATTGCTATTAATTTTTAGATATAGCATGCAATAATGAAATGAACTCTTTCTGTTCCTTTTTTATGGCTTATTTATTGCCATGTGTTAATACACTTGCTACTGTATAACTGTAGCTAGCTGTAACACCATTACAGTAATAAGAAGAGAAGAATAAGAAATATTCGGATCAAATTGATCCAAATATTCTATCTCAAGCATGCTACTGATAGTTTACCTGAAAGAGGTATTATCAGTTACTTGCAAAAGTGTACCGTCTACTAGAAGTATACCGCTTCACATAATAGTTTTGCTCTTATCGAACGTTTCAGCGATACTGCTTTCATTTCCCGTTTCATGCAAGAAGGCACGGGTTTTCTATGCACACTTGCCCACTCACTAGTGCACTACAGACTCCTGCAAAATATGTTGTTTTTATTCCATCCCATCGTATTAATATTCTGTCAAGTACTGGAGTACTATATGCTTTGTCACACTGCTTCATCGGCTGTATCCTGGACGATGGATTAGCTTTATACTGTATGATGGACTTTTGTATGATTGCCTATCCCATCGTATTGATATTCCGCCAAGTACTGCTGTACTATATACTTTGTTGCACTGTCTTCATCAGCTGTATCCTGGACGGTGGCGTAGCTTTATACTGAGCGGTGGATTTTCCATGATTGCTTATGGACTTGCATGGGTTTGTATACAGTATAATACGAAATCCCCTATCACCGTGCATGATGTCTTTTATTTGAATCCTCTCATGCAGTGGAAGAAAGGCGAATAGTAATAGAGTAAGTTTAGTTTATAATCGTAACTGCTCTAAATTTGTATTCAAGATATTCGCGGCAACCGCGAAGTTAACCCAATTTTGATATCCATTTGTAATTTAAATGACAAGAAGTGTTGCTCGAGCCACACCATATTTCAGTATAGAACCCGTCCGGTCAATTTCATTCATTTCGTTACGACAAGAATCATCGATTTTTAATATTTGTAACGTAGACTTTAAAAGGTGAATAATAGATCATTGGAAGCACCATTTTCCGTTGCATAGGATGTTATAAATAAAGCTAATCCATTCATAAGACTGAAATAATACTTTGAGAAGTGGCTGATTCCCAAAACATTGCTAGGATTGTCATCCATGGGATACATCATCATGTGACCATAGGTTACCATGAACGAGTCCACAGTTGTTACTACAGTATAGCATCGCAGCCACCAGCGTTGTCGACCAGCTACTATAGTACTGTATAAATAAAGAGCATCCATCCAGACCATCCGTAGTGTCATCCATCCCATTAGTAAAATTAGTGACTGTCTATGCTTTGAGCACTTTATACTCGACACTTTATAGTGGAGGCAGTTAGCCAAATCAAACAAATCATCTTGCGTCAAGGAAGAAGGCGGCTTATTTTACTCACTAGATGATGAAGATTATACTTGCAATAGCACTAATTGCAATGGTGATCAGTTTTGGTTACTGTTCTGAATGTGGTGGAGAAGATTGTAGTTACGATCCTAATGGACCATTAGTAAATTGTTCTTTATTGTAAGTTGTTGATCGTTTTGCCTTTCTTGTACTCAGTACAGTGTTGACATCGCTATGAGTGAACAATTTGAAAAACTGCCTAGCGACATGACTTATGATTTAGGACTACCTATGCTCTGCTCTCTTCTGCCAAAGCACTGTTATTATGGAAAGCCTGTGAGTGCTTATCATGATCATGCTTGCAGTCGTTCAATAAGGCGTTTTATACGATTGGATTGCACTTTGACATTTCGATGTTATTCGATGATGATTTTGTCCGATAAATGATACCCACAAGTTGGCCACAACCCTCACGGACAGCATTCATCGTAAGAATAAATATTGGTTGCATCGTTAAGCCAAATGTGAACACATAGCCGTACGTTAGTACAGCCAAGTTATAGGCAACGCTACTTACTATCAGATATACTCCAATAGTGATGATTATGATAAGATTACTGAGCGCTATTCATACGCTGGAATAGCTCTACTATGATACGCGTATGACGAAAGTTAAGTCATTTTCTGACATTATTTACAATACTGTACTTTCCAGTTTTATCCCGATAGCTGTGAATTTCAGAACCAAAGACAGAATAGTCTAAAAGACTACCATGCCACTCTTAGTCAGCACTACATGTTCGCTGAATTAGCTCGGACAATATTAGAATAATAGCCCAGTCATTTACCACGTTGTCTACTGTTAGCTTTACTACAATATTGATGACTGTTTTTACAGCCGAGGATGGAATAGTCTGTACCCATGATATCGCTCTTAAATCGTATGCAATACGAATATTATATAGGATTCTCGCTCTTAGTTAACATTAGATGTTCGCTGAAATAGCTATAGCAAGGGTAGAATGATAGTTCAGTCATTGATGATGTTGTTTACTATTAGAGATTCCCTAATATTGATAGATGTTTTCATGGCAAACGCTAGAATGGTGTATAACTAATGACGATGATATCACTCTTAACCAATACTAGAAATAACTCTATGATAGGAGTTATCCTCAATTGCTAGAGACCTATTCATCAAACTTGAGAAAATGATACATTAAACTAGTTCATTTTAACGTACTAACTCACATACGCCAGTAAATTCAGTAATACGAAATTTGTCATATCAATTGCGCTCATACTTGATATTATCTTGCATTGTACAGATATAAAGATATAGAATGCCTTATGAGAATTTTCTACCATGCTGTTGACTATGGTCAATTTTTATTATTAATCTAGAACATGAGTGTTAATCTTCTGTGACGGTTTGACATGAGGTTATAGTACTGTAGATCAAGGCATTTAATTCTTTCGTACTACTGTATTAAGTTGAAATTTCCTTGCTATCAGTGGCTTAATGTATAATCTAACCTGCAATAAAGATAGTGTCAAAATAAAAACAGCATGAGATTAACGGAACTGCTTGCATTAAGGATGTAAGGTCTTAATTAATTCCTATTCCAGGTCTGACGATTTCATCCGGTGTGATCCTCCTGTAGACTTGAAAGGAAACTATTCGGCTAAACAAGCTTTGGGCTATGGATGCATAAAGGTAATGTAAAATTTCAATGGAAATCCCATGATACTAGTTCATTTCCTACTTGTCAAATGCTTTGTACAATGAGTTGTAGTTTATTCAATGGCAGTGCTCCAAATAACTCTTTAGAGTGAGCATCACTCATATTACTGCTGATGGTCGCTGCAGCGAAATTAGAGTATATTTCTCTGCAAATTTACTACTTGGACTAAATACATATCAGCGATAGTGTGAACGGTAACACACATTCGCATCTAATAATCTCTTCCAAACCCGAATTATTCATCTCTATTAATAATTCAGATTCTAGTATGCGTCGACAAATTATAAATGACCACAGGAGCAGTTTTATACGTTATAGAACGAAGATAGAAACAGCTACCGTTTCCATAGTCTTGATATTCGATAAATATTCTAATCACTTGATGATCTGTCATACTATTTGCTTTCTTAAGCTAAGAAGGTATAATAACTCTTACTTTTCATCGCTTACTGTCGTATAGCAATTAGCTACCTGCGAATATGTGATAACCTATAGTATGAAGTAGTATTGGATAAGCAATGTGTTTAATCTGTTTATTACGGTACTGTTCATCGCTTCACCTTTACAACGAATAATTGTTTGGAAAAACTTGACTGTTTGGTAGGATTAAATGTCCACTACTTAGACTGTGCCTAATGCAAAATTTAATCAACATTGATTTATCTGAAATCGTTACATTTATCTTAAACCTCCAGTTTGGTGGAACACGTTATGAAGAAGTGGAAATTACATCAGTAGTCTGCCATGTACTCACTGGTATTGATTGCTTTGGGAATAGAACTTTTTTTAAGCCGAATATTCCTTGCATTAAGTTCGTATCAACCTTAACTTCAAGGAGTACATTAGCTTGTCTTTGCCACTGCTACGCTTATAAATTTATAGAAATCAGTTACTATAAATTACATTAGTATATTGATTACGATCATATTAAGCAGCCAATTAAGTTAACATCATTGGAATTACAATTTGTAGGTATACCGGCCATTTTTTCCCCTCTACGTTACTTTATTCCCTTCTGTTAGGCTTTTTTGGTATTGATCGCTTTTGTCTAGGCCATACTGGTACTGCCTTTGGCAAACTGTTGACGATTGGTGGTTTAGGGATTTGGTGGATTGTTGATATAATTCTCCTAATTACTGGTGATCTCATGCCAAGTGATGGTAGCAATTGGAATCCTTACTACTAAGAAATGAGTTGCTTTAAAATCAGATGTAAATACATCTATATATATATATGCGAGAAAGTTATAGTAACAACATTAATTGCTTCTCATATGATTAGGGAAAGACGATTACTAATGTATAATGTATGTTAGATTATTGTAAGGATAGAGTAGGTATGCTGTAAGTACATATCAATTGATTTAACCGTATATAAATTTGTCAATGAAATTTTATAGCTATGATATAGATAGTCGGGTGCTGTAATGGCCTCTCTAACTTCTATGATATGATGGGCCTGGAAAAGTGTTCTTAGTGGAACTCTAATTTTAACTGTACTGGTACGATTCTGACTGTCTATGGCTGTCTTAAGAAATTGTATAGGCTAAACTGCTTATGGTATAAATACACATATTATAGGCACGTAGAATGGTCTATATGCAGGCATATAGGCAAATTCTCTAAATTGCTGTTTTAGTCTAATCTTTGTAAATACAGTACGTATGAATAATCGATTCAAATTTCTGTTATACTGCAAGTAAATGTCGACGATAATATGGACTGCGTATGTCAAAATCAAGTGCTAACATAGCGTTATTTTCTTGTAATTGTCATGGAGTTATATACACTCGCTATACGTCAACATTTATTGTCTCAACTAAGAAATAAATTCCATTTATCTTAAATACATTTATCGCGAAATAATGTTGCAAAAGTGTTTTATTACTTATATTCAATGTTTCATGTCAATAGATAATTATAATTTACGTCGATTCAAAGAATATGTTCAGCTTTATAATTATACTCTAAAGTACAGTACTCTGAGATATCGATCCACAAAAGTGTCCCATAGCTGTACATATAAAAATAGCGAAATTTTGTGGAACGTTACGAATGCCGCCACACTAGGTTTAGGTTTTCCATTTACACCGTTTTACTTTATATCTCAATCATTTCAGATTAAATTTGGACACGGCGGCAAAATTCATCGAAAATATTAACTACCTATCTTACCTATAATTAAAATAGGATTTAGAAAAAAGCCATTCTATTTTAATGTAATTGAAATAACTAATCAAAAAATATTTATCATTTTCGATTAAATACAAATACCGGTATTATTATAGAAATATTCATAATTGCTGATAAAAGCAATCGCTTATTCCTTCTTGACATTTTTAAGACCAGTACCGGTATGTCTAACTCTCATTAAGATAACTAGTGGAATTATTAGTAGTACTGCAGACATGTAATAACACAAGGTGCCATGGGTCCAGAAAGCTATAAGAATGGAAGAATTCGAAGAAATCAACCAATTATAGAATCGACCTCTACATAATTTAAGGTAAGATCTGAAAACACGGAATGAATTAAATTTCTCGCCGTTTACCTGAACATGCCAGAAAAGGTCCAAAACTACGTGCTAATGCTCCAATAGAGCGAAATATGCCGATCAATTTTCCTTTATGTTCGGCACTTCCTACGATAAACAGAGATATCATTACGATACAAGGCAGAAATGACATATTCAACATCCGATGTAATCCTAAAGTATCTTTGATTTATACCATAATGGGAGACCACAGAAGTTAACGAAGGGACAACCGTTGCAGAACCTATAATAAAAGGAATAATAAATAATATTAGTAACACTAATAGACAGGTAGAGACGCAATTGAGATATCACAAATAGAAGCTTAAAAGTAATAGAATTTTACCAAATGAATAAAGTCCCAGAGCTGCATAATAAGTGTGTTGGTCAGTAAACATAGCCATCATCAAGGTAGAAATGGCAACTGCAGTCAGGCCCTGTAAAATGCCATATGCTCATTTAAAAACTATAAAATTATTTTTATCTCAGCAAGTCAATATAGCCATTCAATCTTCGTACAGTAACTTACTATCATCTCTAATCATAGTCAATATAGACTTACTTGCAGAGCGCATTTGATTTCGCTTCCTGCAGGCAGTCTTCGAAAATATCCACCTTTATAAATAATACATAATAAATAACATATATATATGTATACGTATAATTCGAGCATTAGCAATTTCTAGGATTACAGTAAGAGCAATTAATGGAAATATCTTGGGATCAAAATGCAAGTTTAACACAGATGAGATAATAGTCTTGCTATTACCAGAAATTACTGGGTATCACCCAATACTCACCTTGTATCACTATCATGATCGAACCAATATAGAAGTACATTAAGCCTTGTTGCATACTGTGAGGATATATCAAAATAGATGTACATTTTATTACAATGAACACGTAGTTAAACCATCAATTTGGTCAGTAAATACTGAATACAATATTCGTCTTGCCAAGATTTAAAAATTATTAGCCTATGAGTACGTAACGCATCTTGAGTACCTAGTATACTGATATCTTTCACGAGTAAGGAAACTCAAGGTAAATTCCACACCAGAGAACAGTAGCAAATACAAAAAATAGACCAAGCTCAATTTTTGAAGCTTCTCGTCGTCTAAAATCATATAATTTGCTAATAAATCTTTATGCAACATATGTACATTCAGCATACTAAAAAGATTTCGACAGCATAAGTTCGTTCATAGCACTAATAGAAGATACAAGCATGTAACGAAATATATTTACGCTTACATTCTTTGTCAGAAACACCAGTCGTTCGGAAGGAGAATAAATGTAAAGGATTTATAAGACGTAAGGCTTTATTGACTATCTCTTTACTTGTGCCTGGCTGTGAATAAATAGCAAAGAATGTTGCATATTAATTTATCATCCCTAACACTAATGTGATCCAAGTCCTAAAATGAATTTTAACGTTAACTCACGCTTTTTCCGGGCTGGTGAGTTTCAGGTAACGTATAATATACAAACAGTAAATTGACCAAAGATATCGTTAAAGCTGTTATAGCAGGTTGGAAATGAACAAAACCGCTTTCAAAGAAATCTCTCTTGGACATGAACGCACCCAACATTGGTCCAAGGACGAATCCAACAGAGAAAGCAATACCAATTAAAGCCTACAAGAAAGAGCCCACTGAGACTTTGATTGATCACTGAATAGCAATTAACTTTATAGCCATTTCTTTTTATTGAATGCAAATTTGATTACGTAAAGCATAAGCCATGTTAATTCTAAGTGTTGTGGTAAGCACTATGTTACTCTCACCATTCCTTTATTCCTTTTCTTTTCTTCGGTAACATCGGAGACAACTGCAGTCCATAAACTGACATTAGCTCGGCTTATACCACCAATGGCACGCGACAGCACAAACAAGACAAAACTACCCGAAAAGGCCCAAACGGCATAAGACATTGATATTCCAATCTAATATAAAGACAGAAAAAAATTTGATATGTTGAGTGTATTGACGGTATTGACTGTAAGGTGTCGATAAGACTTCTAAAATGGGATTATGAACATGAAGACGATAACATGTATGATGATTGCTTGGTATTTAGAGGCTATACATACCATTGATATGAGAATTAAGGGACGCCTGCCATAACTATCCGAACATGCACCAAAGAAAGGCCCCATCAAAAATTGTAGAAAGCAATACATTGAGCCAAGAGCGCCTAAAAATTAAGTGAATATCAATAAATTATGAATATATCAGAATTAACATTATAGCAGTACTTTGTTTTATGACATGCTATATAAATGAGCTCCATGAAATACGGTAAGTGAGTTACATTCTTGAAGCTAATGGTATATAATTCACTGTAGTTTTGCTTACTATCTATCATAATTTAATAGAGCAACGGTACAGCCTATGCGTATGAAAGTTGTGGACTATTTGAACTCGATAATAATGTACTGTAAATGTCAAAAACGACGATTAAACTTGATATTACTAGTTCTTCCTCAGGAATAATGAAGGGTTCATCATTATTTTTATGAACGTCGATGGATCTACCTCGGTCTGTAGCTCCAGTGATGATGATAACATATTTACGAAATAAAAACTTACAAGTAACGGTATTATTTTATCTTAAAATATAACATCGGAAAAGCATATCATAGACGTAAAAAACAGTATAGCCTTGCAAAAGCTATAATAGTCATAAGCTAAAGAAAATCACTACTGTACTTGTTAGAATTCGTTTATTTATGCAAGATACACATGTATTTTATATGAGGTTCATAAGACCTAGCATTGCATTGTAATTAGGTTGGAAGTAATTCATGTGTTTTTTCATGTGAGAATGTAGTTTTAAGAAATTACCTCCAAAGAAAACTGTATTATAGCGCGTTGTTCCTGGTGCATGGATCGATGTCGCAAAATATTGGATATGACGTTGAATTGTATGATAAAGCCCATCCTTCTGTATTGATGATCAATCATAAATAATGGTTAGTTAGAATTAAATACATACGCCACATAGTTCATTATGGATAAAGGCACCGCATTAAAACTTTTTTATCGCTGCTACTGATTCTAAACGAAATAGTATCGTACTGAATATTGAAAATACGAGAAAAAGTTGTAATTGTATCCTTAATTATAACTATCCTTTCGTATATTGATTAGTCAATTTTAATTCATCTTAAAGTTTGATAATAACGATTAATTTTCGGTCGATGATTTTAATGTTGGTGATATAGAGTCACTTCGTAGTTCAGTTATTATACTAGTGAAATTATTGTTTACTGTGAGGAACTTGTGTGACTCTACGTGCACTTGTTACGTTTGCTTTTAGGTAAACAGGGAACTAATAATAAAGTTAACTTGAAAATGTTAAGATTAATACAATATTGCTAACACGTTGTTTCACCATTTGCTGCTGATTTTTTAGCTTTCTGACAACGCATTTACTACTCCAAGCTAAGAAAAGCTTAAACAAACCCATATCCTTAAACGTCTACGGTAATGTCTAGAAGTTAATCACTGCTACTGTATTATCAAAAAAGTCACGATTTATAATCTGTCAAGCGCAAAACATCCTGCAATAAATCGTTCCTTCAAGATTTTGCAAGATTATAAAAGTGGTTCACTTGGACAATCAATTTATATTCGGAAGTACTGTATTATGCACGTAGAATTAGAGCTGTAAATCTTATTCGATTTATTTCTGTAATAACTTTTCATTTAGTAGTATTAATAAGCACATCTCTACTGCAGAATGTAATTATTTTGAAGTTGAAGTTACTAATAAAAATAAGAACTTCTTTCGATCAATCTTGCGTATTAAAACTGCTGAACATAACGGGTATAATTAAAACACTATACATGAACAGTAATTCAATTTACCGAATCAGTGTCCCGATAATGTTCCAGAATGACTGGCATTAGAGGCAAAATGGAGGAAAAGGCGATTAAATCGATTAATAAGGACAAAAAGAGTACATGCAATGTTTTTGATGCAAGTTTGGCATCCGGTTGTTTCGGCCCATTGATATTTTCCTGTACTCCATCGACACTTCCCTTCATCATTTCCAATAAATACAAGGTGTCTAATTATCCTATCAAAGATAAGGTAATACATTGCCATTGGAAATCAGCAACAAATCTATAACAATATTATCTGCAATTTTCTCCGTTATCTATCCTACCATTCGTTATTGTATACATGCAAACGAACCTTACTTACTAAATGAAATCGATCTAGCTATAACGCTTGGCGTTTGGTAAGATTTTACTTTATTCAAGTAAGGAATCGAGCTGGTTGATAATTAATCACACTAGAAATAGTACAAAAACATCGTTAACTAGGTGGAATGATCGTTTCTGACATTTATCTTAGTTATTTCATCGATGCAATACGACCAAGAATGAATAAAGAGCTTGCATACCGTATAAATACTTACACGAAATGAACTCTGGATAACCGTTTTAAGTGATAACTTCAATCATATAACTGATAGAGCAAGACTTCGTTAGGTGCTTAATATCGCCACATTATCCTGAAAAGATTAAAGTACCGCTAAGCTTACGAAAGAGGCTAATAGATAGTGCCCTGCAATAGGCGCCAGTTCATTAAGCCTTGATCAGTGACAGTTGCAAACTTGTAATAACAATAATAACTCATTACTGCTGACGATATAGACAGCATATGATATACTATCTACTATACTGTACAAGCGCAATGAATAATTTGTAGATTAATTACCTGATAGGATAACTGGATGGATTGAATAATATTCCGTGTTGGTCAAAGAGCAATTTTGTTTTTATATTGTAATTTCGTGGAGTAATAAAAAGAATATCAATCGATACGATGCCGACCACCTATTCAATTCAAATTCTCCTATTAAGAAATGAATTTCCTGATTATAACAACGGGAATAACTTAGTAAATCCCTACAAATTGTTTTCTAATAAGTGCAAGATGGTTTGTATCATTCGGTGACGGTATGTATCATTCACCATTTGTTCCCATAGTCATTATTCTACTTTGTGATTGTTGTAAAGTGCATGATCTGCTATTGTATGACATTAACAAATTAACTTTTAACTGCAATAGACTGCATAGTACATTGCCTCATACGGCAGCCAAAGCTATAGTAAGCTATCTGCTGCTAAGACATCGAACTATTTACATCTCTGCATTAATTAATTAATATCCTACAATACGACGTCATGAGGTACTTTGATGATGTCATTGCCAGGTTCCAAATTGGCCTACGACTATCGTAAACAAATAATCACGCCTCTGGGTAGCCGTGTACTGTATTTTAGCATTGACTTTTGTAGTATAGTAGTACTCATATACTTTGGTATTAAGGTATTAAGTTAACAGATTTGAGTTCAAATTTTGATATTAGTGCGCCGCCTTTCTGCAGTTTATTTCACAAGTGAGCTCGATTACACGCACCCGTACATATATGCGTACGTTATACTATATATATATATATATATAGTAACATATCATTGAAAGTGCTCTTCATGCTTCGGTTGCTGATGTGATTGAAGAATTCAGAACTCATACATTTTATATAAAATTTTACTAAATTGCTAGATCTAGCTAACGGTCGGTTTTATTTATTTACCGTACGATACTATCTAACATTTTAATGTCATTTTCGTCAGATAAATTACCTTCAGTATGAGCTATTACTAACTAACAAATTCAGAAGCACTGCTTTGACTCTTAGCAATGAGAGACATTAAATGCTATCAATTGTAGTTGGAAATAGTAGTGGCTATTATACTTAGCTAATAATATATCAGCGATAAGGATGATAATAACGGTTAAGTTTAACAGAAATGGAAATCGATTGATCAATAAATTGTATTCTGACATCTGTATCTGTTTATTATATTTCAGTCCATATGAAGTTTTAGCTCTATATTCTATCGAAATATTTTTATTTAAAACGAGCCATTAATTTGAAAGGCTCATTTACTTCCTAGCGCCAAAATTTTCAACTTTAAATAAAGATAACAAATTTGCTATTCATATTTGTATCATTTCTAGAAATTTAAGCGTTACTTATACAAGAGAACCTTTAATTATGATAACGACATTAGCATGATATTCAAGATATGATCTAATATAGAACTACAGATCATATAGAGGCGAATAGCAAAAATATAAACATTGATCTACACACGATCACATAAATGGTGTTGATGGCCATTCACGATACGCCGGCGGCGGCGGAAGTTGATGGTGGCTTTCAAATGACGGTATTAATGAGGGATATCTACCGCTAGCAATATCTGGCTGACACAGCGAAGTGCTAGAAGAATTATTATATGGAAGAGCAGGTGCCAATGGAGAGACAAGATAGCCTTGCATGGATGTACTTTGCATATTTCGGCTTGAGTAGGTGGCAATCGCACTATCAGGTCGGAAAGTATTGGGTCTTTCATTTCGAAGTGCTCTATTATTACCACGTTCAGTAGGCAATTGGCTTGGATTAACACAGTTAGGATAATACCCATACACTGGGTATTGAACACACGGCTGAAATTGCGAGTTGATGAATGCATTTCGAGGATAACCAAAGATGCTGTATTCACCTGTTGCCCCTAACTGTGATCTCTTACTATCTCGAAAAGCTTTCGCAAATGGATTATAGCGAATTTTCAGATTGGTAATCTAACATGAATTAAACAAAGATAAAAAAAATTCTGTGCTTTACTTACTTTCATCACATTACACCTTTACTCTGTAATAAAGTATTTTTACCTGGCCATTTTGGTAGCAAGTGACCGCATAAAATCTCGTTTCTGGAAAGATTATAATTTTTGTATCGACCGGAGCAGTATGATCGCGATCCCATTTGCTAATCACAATTCTTGGCTGGTATCTTCTCATTGAATTCAGTACAATCTAAGTAAGGATTCAAAAATTTATAGTTATGGTAAACACATACTGTACATAATGAGTTAAGTTGATCAAAGCAGCAATGACATTTTATGCTTGCTTACGCAATCGCTTTTCTTGTAGTGTTCTTTGCTGTTGCTCAATTTTAGCTTTTTAAAGCTAATGGTTTCGCAACTCATCCAAAATTTACCAGAATTTGGAGAGTTTGGGTGTTCACATTCCCCAAAAACTACCTGATCAGCTATATGATTTACTCTATTCCCGTTTGATGCTGCAACCCATCCGGTTGTAGATACATATTTATAGCGGTTGTCATCCGCTGCAGCGATGTCCACCTTGATAGAGTAAAATCCATTCGGATCGAGACCACTTGTATGGATATCAATAGTAGGGAAAAGGCGCCTGTAAAAATAAAATTAAGCATTCTCTACAGTAAAAAAACACGTGCAATGACATACAATAGGTGATAGTATTTATCTAACATACTCGCTGTCATGAACAGTAAAATAATTTACTTCAAAACAGACTAATCAGTTTCCTGTATTCAATCAATATTTCTTATTAACTACGATTGGTTACCGTCCTGCTTTAGTGATGATCATTTCAGTTCCTATAGCTGCAAAAGCATGCCACATATCATTACGAAGTAATTTCACGTGCATTTGAGATGAATTCGATGTTATCATAGAGCCAGCTTGAAATCCATCATGGCTAGGCGATGTCTCAGTTGAGCTACCTTGCGATGGCAAACTCGCAGCATCTAATGAAATATTGAAACAGTGTTCTGTTGGATTGACTTCCGATCTATCTGCTGGTGAGTCTTGATTGTTACTACTAATAATTGAATCGACTAAATAATTTAGGCTGACTCCATTAATCGCTCCGTGGATATTTGGATTTGCCATACCTTTAATAAATAATACAAACGTGGCCGCTGATTGATAGGAAGCAACAGGAAGAGAATATCATTGTAATCATATGCTATAGTAGCTTGCACTTACCGAAAAATGATGAAAGCGCAATTTATACTTGCCCAAAAAATTGAAAATTTGTTCTCAGAAGTTGGTATTCGTAACTCCTATATGAACCAAATGGCGGATTGGATTTATCATTGACTCAGTTATATACCGTTCAAGCGAGATTGTTCAACCACGTGCGATAAAAGTGTAATTTAACGTTACCGATCCATCTTGCTAGCCAATAATACTTAGAATAACCAACTGTTGAAACAGTCCAATCTGTGATCACTTTATTTGGTTATTTATCACACTAAATATCGCACGTTAACTTATAATAAGTATTTGACATGATGTTATATTTAGAGATGCGTTCACACGCTGAATCACACCAAAGGATGAAGTTGCCATTCGACCATTGATTGTAATAGCAATTCTTTCACAACTCGATGTTAGTTGGTGACAGTTTTTTTTTGGGGGGGGGGGGGAAATATCTATTATCGGATAATTTAGGAATATCGCTGCTATCGTCGATTATTTTACGATCTAGCGCTGTAGATGATCGTCATTTGTAGGGGCGCGCCCTTTTACCAGCAGCATTCACTTCACTTTATTATTGACATCGATGTATAATATAATTCGTACAGCGTAACATAGCAATAAAGTTGTTGATGATTGACTAGGAATTCATGAGTATTGACTAAAAATTACGTCAGCCTTACCTACTATAATGCAACTGGTTGATTTTATTAGCATTTTTTATTTCGCGTAAAATGTGCAAATCATTGGCCATGATAATATGTTCATGATTAATTCTATATCTACAATAAAATACTGTTGTACCTCTACTAAATGTAGTCCGTAAGGAAGCGTGCACTTCTGCTTCTTGAGGATTTCATTGATTTTTACGTCAGCCATTGGTAATATCTAACAGTATAAAGATGGATGATATTTATACTCTTGCTGATAAATCAAAGTACCTAAATTCCACTCAATCTCAACTATTTTTAATATTGTGTTACAGTTGAGGACGAGTTGATAGTTATATAAAAGACTTGTATGCGTAGACAGAACCCTGAATCTAAAACAATTTTGCACCAAAATTGTATCGCAATCACGGAGATAGGATTACAGTACACTACAGTCCATTAACCTCAACAAAACCGAACGCGTTTACTAGGCTATTTTCGACATATCAAGAAATACCTAGTTGAAGGGACAATAGTAAATATATCTATTCAAGATAGAGCTGTCTAATCGAGTCGTTGTATGCTACCTGTTTATGCGATTTTACCATGGCGCTGTAATGTAGGTCAGGTAAAAATAGAAGGCCTATCATTCTCTATCTTGACAGTGTTTATTTATCAAATACCTGCAGTCAAGGCATCGTCACGACCGTTATTACTGCTGCGCTCAATCCAAGGCTACGTACGATTGCTACTAATTAATAGTACTCGTACTGTAAAGTATAGTGCAGATATACCGTATGACTTATAGTGCGAAATGATCTAGCACAGTAGTCCATTGATTAAGTTGTCATCGCTTAATAATGAACATAAATCATTTTCTTGGGCTACTAAGACATGATTGGAAAGTCATTTTGCACAGACGTCGAAAAGCATCCAGTTAGTAGATGCAGAGCTTGGTTACTCCATCTTTAGCAGGGCTATCATGATCTGATTGATATTTTGATTAACGCCATGGGTTATCCGTTGTCACGGTCACGTAGTGTGCAGTACAGTACCGTACAGTATGAGACACCCTGTACTGTACAATGTACTGTACTGTACTGTGTACTGTACAGTACAGTACTGCATCTACAGTATGCACCTACAGTACTGTACAGTACTGTACTGTATCGCGATATGAAAATAATCCGATTAGAAACAAATTGAATTGACGTTGTAAACGATCAACATTATAATTATTATTATTGTCATCATTATAGTTAGTTATATTGAGTGGATGTCTCCAATCGATCTATTAGGAAAAGTTGCAATAATCAACGGGTAAAACCTGATTCTATCAAGCAAAGATGGCTACTATAGGGCGAATTAGCCATGCTTACATCGTTTTGGGGTTATTTCAGTTTATAATGAGCATTGTTCTACCAATCGAGTGGATCGGCAATGCCAATACAGGAACCTTATGTACGATTCCCGCTATATGTTCGATAACGGTAAGAGATAACTAAGCTGATCAATCCAACCTAGTGTTGAGAGCGTTTGCTTTACTTGAAGTGACAACGTTGATCTCAAGTACAGTAAAAGTGTAGTATGGGCCAAAATAGATAAATGCCGTATCATTTTCATCATTAGACACTTGTATAATAGTTAAAATACATGAATTAATTATCATGACGCAATATATATTTATTTATAATAACTATAACTAATCAGTTTTAGGACTGGAGGAGAGTAGACTACTCGATATAACGTATCCTTGTATTAAGACATGATGTCATTTCCTTGCTTATCAAGGAAATGATTAAAGTGTTTATTATTAATACTGTACTGCGTACAGTAAACTTAATTTCCCAACTGTTTGCTCAAGCAGAGTAACAGAAAAAATCAGTGACTATCATTAGCGTTAACGTTAATGCACGGTACTTTTGCATTTATTCTAAAATTATTTTTTTCACTGTCTCTTGAATAATCTTGTTTTACGTATATTGTAGAAGGATCGATTACCCTTTATCAGTTATTCAAACTGGAATAAAATCATGAACCATATACCAGTTTTGCTATACTGTCAAAATAGCAACAATAATTCATCAACTTGCTTATTGTCAGTTAGAAATTAGAATAGTCCATCAAGTACTATACATCGACTATTTCCAGTACATGATAGAGATATTCTGTGCGCTAGTAAAAAATAAAGATGATCGCACAAGTTTGTTACTAGAATAGAGTTTTACAAATTTAATTCTACTTACTATGATTTGGATGCACTCAGCGATTATTCAAGGTCATTTCTTCAACAAGAAAATGGAACTTAATCAACGCATACAGTTCTGTACACTGGCATACTCCATCTGTTACGCGATGCAAACAAATAGCGTACTTCATTAATTATGTTAAATACTTGAATATTGAACAGAAAAATTCATTACCAAACATGATAGTTGATTACTCTTTCAATACTTTCATACTTTATGATAAGTTAATGACTTGACAGTGAATAATAGTTATACAGAAACTTCACGATAGGAACATGATAATAGCTCTTTCAGTACCAACATATTGAAGAATACACGATCAATCACAACTTTAAAATGGCGTGGAAGACAGTAGATTGGCTCCAAAACTCGTATCGATGCAGTCTGTTTGACGTTTTTCTGATATCTTCACCGTGAGATACTTATTTCTGAATATTCTATCATTTTGCAGAGACTGCATCTATTGATCTACCTTAGCTATAAACAATTTCTTTACAACTAACTTGGTAATCACACAATTCTACCTTAATCAACGATATTGTACATTATCATTGAACGAAATAATGATTACTTAAATTATACTTACTATGTGAATGAAATTTTGGCTATATTTTCGGCATGAGTTTTATCCTAACTTTAACCCTTCATCTTACGCCGATGACAATTCGCTTACGATTGGAATGAACATATTTTGCACCATATAACTTATTACACGTATTGATTTCTTAATACAGTCTTTAGGATGTGGGCTTATGGCTTACTACCATAATAAGCAAGAATCATCGAAAACAGTAAGTCTGTGCTCTATTTTTACTCCGTGTATGGTGCAAATCGATATTATATATGACACCTCATTTCAAATAGTGTTGAACAACAATCGTTGTAAATCATTGAAAGTGAATTTGTATTTAACTAGGCGACATGATACGCATATATTTTAGAAAAATATCGAGGCCTAGTGAAAAGTCTTTAGTTCGCATAAGAAATGCATTTTTGATGAAAGTATCTAATGACACAAATTGTCAAACTATCGATATGTCGTATATTACTTTAGATTAACTAGTTCTGTACTATCTATCAGTCGAGTAAGAGTAGTAGTCTACTGATGATGACTGTATATTGTTTACAAGCTCGTCTATTTGATGCCCTATAATTATAATTTGTTACTTGTTTACATTGTTGTACTGTCTGGCAATCTCCTCTTTGTGGTTAAATCATGATGAAGGTTATGATCATCACTTACTAACACACTAAAGCATGCATAGGTGGATGGTAAATTAGTAAATATTGTTAATATTGCTAATACTACCTTTCAATGATCACAGTTAGGTGGTGTGGGTATATTTTCTGTCTGGAATCAAGTCAGTGTAATCACTGCTATAGTCCGATATGCTCAAATTTTTAACGCCGGATTGATACGATTTGTTACTACCCAAATGGCTATTTTTGGTTTACTCATTGGTGTATGTGCCGTAACTGTCACTGCCAACTTTTGGATTATAATTACTATTTATAAGATCACTAAAGAATCTACTGGATCTGAAATGTATTCGGCAGACGGTGAAATGAGTTTCAGAAACGAATCCAAAGATGAAAATGCTATTACCCCTGAAGATAGAAATCTATCCATAGAGAAATCACGCTGTTCTCTCAATCTGATTTATAGCATCATTCAGTTTATCAATGGACTTTTGTTATTTACAGCCGCGATCGTTTCAACATTTAGTTCAGGTGGAGGATACTTTTTTACGTTAATGTCTTATCAAGCCGCTGGTGCTGTAAGTAGTAATTTTTACTATCTATTTATTCGCACGATTGTCATAGTCATCGCCATAGTAGTTATGCTAGTATTAAGCTATTTTAAATTAGAAATTAATAAATGGTCAAATGCCATATAATGTTATCTAACTTTACATCTAATATTCGCTTAAAACATACCTATGACTGCATAAGCTTTTCACCGTTTCAATTTATTTTGCAAAAGTTTTACCATTTTTGTACACTATAATTTTTATTATTTTTAACAATTAATCCTTGTTCTCCTGCACACAGCTCTTCACTACAGGTTTTTTTGGCTTTGCTATTCACGTTAACGGACTACCAGTACTAGTAAGCGATAGTAATTTTTAATCTTTTTATCATGAAACATATCTTTATTTTGCTAAACATCGTCAAGATCAATACTACGTACATAATCAATAATTTCTAGCCCGCTTCAGCGGTCATCGAAATCAATATCTAATGTGTTGATATCCTTAGTTGAAAGTGTAAGTTTTCCCTTTGTATCATTCGAAATAGACTTTCTGGCACCGCAACCTATTTTTTATGGCTTCTATGCAGTCTGCAGGAGCGTTATGCACAGCTGCAGTAGCTTATAAACATCTCTTTGATGCGAATTTTGCAACTTCTCAATTACGTGCTGTAATTGCTGTGATTTCCCTCGGTGGCGGGGCTGCTGTGATTCTGGGCATAGTTGGTTACTTTGTTGCAGCTAGACAGCAACGAGTCAGTCGAAAATCTGATGCTTCCAATATACCGAGGCTCCTTTTCTGCTCAGCTTGGATGAATGGACTTTTTCAGATTTTATTAGGCCTAGTCATTTTTGCTTGTGCTTGTATCGGTACTACTCTAACTGTTGGTTACGCTTATAGTACTATGAATTTTATACTGTCTAGCGTGGTAAGATGATAATTCTCAGTGATGATTTCTGTTGATGATCAATAGTATTATATATATTTTATAATAAGGCTATTCAGGGACTTCAGCGAGGATGTTACTAAATTATACAATTATTGATTTATTACCATCAGGTATTTGCTTCTGGAATTGCCGCGATTGACATGTTTCGTTGTGGTCGTTCGGATGTGGTTTGTAAATTTTTTTTTCTCTGATTGATATGATAAATGTTTATCCTGTACTTTAAAATAATTGGGGCCTGCTTACTAAAAATTTGCTGTTGATATATTCAATAGAAGGGGGCATTCTTTGGATTTAGTTGTATAACTGCAATAGTTTCCGTTTTTGCTATAATCAATGCTGCACTTGATTATACTTATGAAAGACAACCGCAAATTTCGAGCAACGTTAAACTGGCGATGTTCATTGTCACTTTGTGCTACTCCATTGTATGCGCTGCTTTATCATTCGGCAACGCTATATCGACAAGAAAATCTATCTTTCAAGGAGCAGATTCCAGGTATACATGCATATTCGTAATACAATTAATTATTTATTGGAATTAAAAACATGATTTTAAATATTTCTTTCTCGCTATTTTTCAGTTCTACCAATGCATGAAGTGCCCCCAGTCACAATATATTTCAACATCTTGATCGATTGATAATTCACATGACATTATTAAGTAACTGGTAGATTTAAAGATGGATTTGTAGCAGGAAACTTCATCTCAAATTGTAATTATGTCTTTCTTATTTACTATTCGTTTGCTTGATAGGTTCTTAGATCATTACTATTATTAAGTGTTGCGTTATTTACTACGAATTCAGTAAAATATTCTACAATCATTAGAGTAACAATAGTCAAGTAGACGATGATAATTTTATCATAAAAGTTATTGAATTTAATTTTCTTCAATGTCAATTGGGGTATACGCATTAAGGAGAATAGCGAGAGCTTCGTTAAACAAGCAACAATGTATCAAGTTCATTTATTTATTGTAAGTGCCCAATTCAGTAATTGGGTAGTTTACCTATTCTAATAAGGATATTTAATGATATAATAAACTATAAATTAATAAATGATCGAAGTTGCCTGTATGTGTGAAATCTGATCGTATCTGTTGCTCGTATAGTGAATTTGTTAACTGTAAGTCAATAGTCCAACACGTGCACCTATATAGTTTCTGGTCCAATCTGAATTTCCTTATTTTCTGTGATTGCATAACCATCTATAATTGAAAAGATTATATGGTCGCGTGTTCTTATTGTTGAAAGATTGAACTTATCCAATCTCTTAGATCGATATCACTTAAGTTTACCGATTGATAATTTAATTAGAGAGCAATTGTATCTGATTGTATTAGGTTTCGATTGAGATTGAGTCCACTATTGTCGAAATTAACAAGTTTGCGTAATTAATGGATAATTCTCGGAGGATAGTCAACTTGTTTGTTAGGTTACAAAATCAAATTCACATGTTGCTCAAATATTGACATCCAACATTGAAGTTACTGTAATTCGTGAAATTTGTATTCTTTGATATGAATGGCAAATTCACTACTGTTACTAATGTTGTGATCACTAGAGATTTTCTAATCTAGATATCGTATGTTGAATATTGGCATTCGCCGACAGTCAAAATTTTTAGATCAAGAGCTGCGTATCGTCTCATTGAAATTTAAATGCTAATCTGAATAGACCGTATATACGCATATGGACATGTTGTACATAAATATGTAGCATTTAATACTAAGTAATAGATATCGAAGTCATGGAATAATTAAGACTTTTATTTGTTTCAATACATAGACAAATATGACAAATCATATTACGGCACATCGAATGAAGGATTATGTACAAAGCGTAATAAAGAACTATGTATTGTATTCCTTTAGATAAAAAAAAAATTTGTTCAAGAGATTATCGATCGTAAAGATCGTATGCCACAAGCCAAAACCATTGGTTAAGGTTGGCAAAGGCGAGGATTATACAGAAATTGAAAATCAGAGATATCAATTGTTTAAGATAATAGTGAAAAATAATCAATTCTTTATTCTTAAGACTTTACAAATTTTGACTTGATGAAACTTTTTAGTTATCGATATTGCGTTACGTATGATAAAAATATGTAATCAACATAGGAATGAGTTTAGCGCGATGATATAATACTGTACATTACATTAGGGAGCATAAAATAAAAGTAGTCGCTTAATGTTGAGCATACCGTCGGAGAAATAAATGATATCAAAAAATAGGCTTTTAAGGAGAATAATTCCTTGGCTTCCACTACGTTTATTAACATTGTACTGTACTGTACTTGTAGTCATAGAAAAATTTTAATTTTATCTATGAAATAAATTCAAGCCATCTATTGGAAACTAAATATTGCGTTTTTCTAATTGAATTAATTTTTGTCGCTTGTAGAAATTTATACTGAACTGTATCAGCGATTACTCTCACAAACCATAATTCACTGTCCGGAATCGCCGATGATCCGTGTAGTAGAGACCAATTTTATATCAAGTGTAGAGGTAGAAAATAGGCCACATCCATTTGAATCATATTGATTGGATATAAAATGTTATACTCGTACGCTAATATGTAAAAGCCGGATTATGCAGTTGGAGATTTATGCCTCAAGTCATTTTAATGTTGAATTGAATATATCAATCAATGGTGTCTTCACTTGTAGGCTCTGGGCTGAGGAGATCGAGGTATTTTCCACTTTCTGCCTAATCGACCTTTAACTGCATTGAGTAGCATCAATTGAACTTTATGATTAATAATACCATGCTCGACAATACGCTCACTTAATGCTCGAATACTAATTTTGTACACAACTTTTCTTTCTAAATTAAAGGTATGAATTAAGTGAGGATAGTGTCGTGGACGTATATTCGCTTTGAATGCTAGTACACCAATATAAATATCATCAGCAGTTGTAATCATTTGAACGTGCTCGACAGTTTGAAGTAGTGTAGACACAACATCCCTACTCATAAGATAGGCAAATCCTAAACAATAATCCGGTATATAGACATCTGGATATTCCTTGGCTAAAACAGCTAGCGTTTCACCGTGATCGGTACGGGGTGTTAAACCACTTGGTGACACCTGGCCGGCATAGACGCCGCGAGTCATTTTACCAGTTGTTAAATAGATGATATACCTGATTAAGCTGTAAGGATTGATAAAGACGTCATCTTGACATTTTAAATAGAATGTGGTCGAAGGGCATTGAACAAAGAACCAGTACATGGCTAAGAGTGTCTTTAATGTGGTCGATTCTCGTTCTTCATAGATGTCGAGTAAGATCATATCACCATGACGTTTGGCTTCTTGCCGAACTAATTGATCTTCAGTCGCATTAAAAGAGAGTCCAAGAATAAATAAAACTCTCCAACTGGATTTTTGCATCCTACCAATAGGAAATGGTATCGTACTAGTATTACCCCAAGAATTTCGAATAGCCTTTCGTCGAATGAAATGCTTCACATGACTGTGAATCATGACCACCACTGCAACGTTCTTTCGACAAGATGTAGCAGTTGGAACTGCCTGCCTCATATGTAAATCAAGAAACCATTTAGCATCACTGCCAAAATAGCGATTATTTGGGCCTTTATCAAATTGATCCTCTTCATTATATCCAACTTTCTTATGACCGCGTAATAGAATAATCTCTTTGACAATGGGCTCAGGTTCATTAATGACCGATCTCTTGCAAGCTCCGCTGCTTTCATCATAATTACCATCATGACAATATCGGATTTGATATCGTCGCACATACAAAAAGAAGGAAGTCAGCGATAAAATACTGAAAAAGACGACCGATGCTATCAATATCTTATGTCTATTGGGTGAACCAGTGAGTAATTGTCTTAACATTTTCAATTACTCCAAAAGGATGGTAGCAATCACTCAACTGTCATCAATATCTATCTCCATTTTCCAAAAGCGTCCAAGACTAGACGTTCATGACTATCAGAAGATCTCTCTCGACCGTCCAACTACTTTATATGTACAGTAATTGAGTTGTTTGACTAGAACTCTACAGTGTACAGTACACTAAGGTACTGGTCTGTTCAATGAGCATTGTACACTGTACACTGTACAGTACGGTACAGTGTACAGTACATGTCGTTACTGCATCTTGCATTTTTCTACTGTACGATACAGTAGTTCACACTATAGCCTGTACAGTACACATACTGTAGACACAACGCATGACACAAGGTCAAACCCATGTTTTCGTCGACAGTACATTTTAGTATACAGTACTGTACAGTGTACACTGGTACTGTATAAATAAATAGAAAATTCCCAAATTGAATTGAATTTTTCTCCTTGAAGTCGTATGACAAACTATACTGAACTGGAAGTAATTATGACAAAATCGTCCAATTTAAAAACGTTTTCATGCAATGCAAAAAAGTGAGAAAGCACTACCTAAACACAGCAGTTATACTGTAAAACTATAGAGCACAGTAGAGTAACGTAGCTTGCCACATCCAACTGTGACGTAGACTACTAGCAAAGAACAGAACCGGTTCTTTGCTAGTAGTCCATGACTGTAACTACAGTACAATGCACTTCATTCACACCCCATCAATCAATATTGACACAGTTTACACCAGTTTACACTCGTCACACCGGCATTTCCACAGCATACTAAGTACTGCACAGTGTACAGTACAGTCCTGTACAGTGTACAGTAATATGTACTGTAGACCTGAGTAAGGTTCGGTTCGGTTTAATACCTTTATGATCTACAGTATACAGTATAGTGTAATGCAGCACACTAAGTACTGTACTGCACAGTGTACTGTACTGTACAGTACTGTACAGTACTGTCCTGTACGTACAGTAATATGTACTGTAGACCTGAGTAAGGTTCGGTGCGGTTTAATACAGTACAGTACAGTCCTGTACGTACAGTGTACAGTACCCTGTATTGTAGGGTACAGTAATATGTACTGTAGACCTGAGAAAGGTAAGGTTCGGTTTAATACCTTAAATGATCTACAGTACAGCATATAGCGTAATGCAGTAATACTGTACAGTGTACACTGGCTTTGTGTGGAACTCTTCAATCTTTCCAATCTCTTGCTTCTTGGCGTACGCCGATTGATTGATCTCAAAAGTTGCAAGTTCCATCGACCAATTCACTCTATCAAAATGTCGGTCTATCAGTCAAGTTTAATGTGGTTACAGAATAGACTCTCTGGCTCAGATAACTGGTGTAGTAAAAGTGCTGCCATGATGCTAGATCGTGAAGTATTAGCCAATATTAAAGATGCATTTCATACGATGGAAGCGCAAGTCAAGTTACGCTTGATCCTGTCGCTATTCCATTTAAGCCATGCGCAAATTGAAGAATTCTCTCAAGAGTTGAGCGAAATTCTTCAACAAGCCGTCGTGGATCGTGATCAATGGACGTCGACAATAGCTAGAATTATGGTTACATTGTATTCTCCTGATTACTTAGATTCATTAAAGAATGCCAACCAATATTTAGCTGATTTCTTCACCAGTGTCACCGAAGCAGGTACGATAGTATTTAGACAGTTGAACTGGAGTGACATTTCTCCTGAGCGATCTCTTATTCTGTAGTGAGTTAGCGTTATGTAGATCGCCATCCTTGACCATTGCATACCCAAAAATGATAGGATAACCTCATATGTGTAGACTTGTGAAGGCAACCACTTAGTGATAGTTAGTGTATGTACTGCTCATACATACTGTACTGTAGTGAAGATGATGATCCCTCCTTTCCTCTTTCTGTTCTCAAAAGGATGTGTATTTCACAAAATAGCTCCATAAATGTAATCAGGAGATTTGCAGCGTAATCCCAACCAACTAGTTCAAATTGTTCTTTAATAAAAGCATCAGCAGTCCTATTTCTCTGAATTCCTATTAGTCTCCTTAACTTGACGCAATTGTCGGTGTAGATAAGTTAAAATACAGTATCAAGACGAATCGCAAACTGCAATTTACATGCATTTTACAACCATTAGAGTAGTAGTACAATAAACTATTTGTGTACAGTATTTCTCTACTAGTATTACAAATTACTGAAAAGACGAGGTTGATGACAAAGGTAGAAGCCATCTTAGTTTCAAGGAAAGATGATATACGTACTAGAAGTGTTTGTAGATTAATCCTAATCATGGCATGCTATGCAATAACAACATTGTTCTTATTATTATTCTTATGCTGCAGCTAAGAAAGCATCAGATACAATGTCACCTAGCCTCGAGCAAATGCCTCTTGAAGCGTCATATATAAACAGTACGGTCCTGAATAATCTATATGGTAAGCTACCAAACGTGACCAAACATTTTACGTTAAAAAGAAAGCCAAAATCAGCCGAATTGAGAGCAATGTTAATAGAAAAGAGTAAGTATCAAATCTTCGAAATTTCTACATCTGCTGTAACCAAATTATCTCGTTAAGATACTGTACAACATCAATGCTTAGCCTTGTGTCCTTAATCGACTAGAGTTGCTTAAATGATCCTGTTTACTGGAATATTATCATAACATTGTAGACGACAAAATATGTCGCTAACTGTGGGTTACGTTATTGCTATTAGGTATAACTCAGAGTGGACAAGCAAAGCAGGAAAGGTTTAATAAAATCGAACCTTCAACACGTATGTACATGTTTTTGACACGAATTATTAAAGATGTTAACTGCTTTGCTACATTGAACCTTTAACTTGATGCTCTCCACCTTATTACTAGAAATAGACTAGTGTAGTATGGTACAATCGTATTTAGATCTAAGATAGCTTGCTTTATTTGAAGTAATTATATTTACAATGAATGCTTTTATACGTTATTAGCTTTGCCTACGATAGGCAATCGACGTCCTTCTGCCGCAAGTTCTTCTGCTAATGCCGGCTTTATCGCACGTAACAGTACTCCAACTATTGCCGGTAGAAACTTACCAACTTACAATAGAGGCTTACGCACACCAACAAATGTCAGGAGTACAAAGGTAATGAACACTTTTGAGGTTTAAAATTAAAAGTATACAAGGATGTACAGCACATTTACATTAGTGGTTATTGAATTTCACTGTTGTATAGCTACTTGAAATTGAAGATCAGCCGCGCAGTGCAAGCCGTGAAGCAAAGCGTAAGAAAAAGCAAACTGGTAAATACTGTAACGATGATCCATGATTGTTAACGTCAGGCTTTCGAAATTACATATTTTAGACGTAAATCTTAAAATGACTAGTTTACTACGGGCGTAGGTAACTACCATAAAATTTAGTAATTGTATTGAATCTATTTGAGTTGATTTCAAGATTTACTTTGATTTGATGGTTACTATTGCTTAACAATCTTTGCGTAGAAGATAATAAAGATAATCCCCCTGCTAAAGTCAAGAAAACCGAACAACCTAAATCGCCAACTACCCCCAGCAACATCTTAAACTATGCGTCTAGTATTAAGTTACCGGTGGATGAAGCAACCGGTACATCAGAATCCACCCTATATGCTAAATCTCGTTCAGCAAAGAAGGGCACCGAGCTTGATGACACAAAGGATAGTGCAATGACTACTAATGTAGCATCACCAACTGTAACTTCACCGTTGACCAAGCTAAATGAAGATGAGCATAAAACAGAAAAGCACTCTGTCGATAAAGGAGATAAAACCTCAACAGGCAAATCTTCAAGTAAACAAAGTTCTACAAAAAAACAATCAGACAAAACTCCCTCCAATACCAAGAGCAGTAAAGGGTAATAATTTTTGAGTCTGCTCACCATTATGTTGCTATGAGTTGATGTATTAGTCTCTTTACCATGAAAGTGGAGATAGACGATGTTGATTATTTTAATCCGTTTTATACCTCAATTAGTTAGTTTATTTGCATAAAGTACGTGCTTTATCACTATTTTTGACAAATATTGTATAGAGAAGCTTGAAATAACTGACGATTTGTGTATTTGATTTTGCATGACAGTCAAAATCGGTCTACCAAAGCGCAACGGAAGCGAGGTTTGTAATAATGTAGTATGTATAATTGTACGAGCCTAAAGTAAAATTTTAATTATGCCACCTGCAATTACTACATACTTATTAAAAGCAAGCTAATATTTCGTGGCTAGATGCAACATCAGCTGTAACTACTGCAACTAGTGTAAAAGAGCCCAAAGCACTTTCACCTGTAACAACTGCAGTAACGGCGGCACCAACAGGATCTACAACGCCTACTTTATCAAGCGTAACTTCAAAAATTATCGCTACGAAGGACAAGGTCGACAACGAAGAGTCGAATGACAAAACTCCTACGAAGGCATCATCTGAATCTAATAAACAATTTTGCATGTCGGTAAGGTTTTCAAAGTTATGATCTGTGCCAATATCTTTTAATGTTGGTTTAAGAATAAGTTATTGTCGATCTATCTTTGACAGAGGGCACAACTGGTTGAATTTAATAACATGTTTCGCCAATATGGAAATCGAGTGTCATTCGAGGAAAAAGCGCAAATTTTACAGTTTATCGTTGGAATGCGAAGTTAGTTATGCAAATACTTTATGATCGTAGAATTTTTTTGAAATTGTATAATTATCATGACAGTTAAAGCGTAGAGATCATAGTTTTAGCCTAAAAGTAAGAGTGAGAAGCATGCTATTGCTTCCTTAGGTGAAAAGGTTTTACGATTGAATCTAGCTATATTGACTTTACGAATCTATTTAATGCCGTTTTTGATAGATAATCCTAATCCATCGAAAGGTGCCATAGTTGAAATTTTGTTGGGTATTCATGATGACAAGGTTGTAGATGAAAACGGGAAGGAAGAAGTTGTACCGTGTAAATCAGTTTTTGTAATGAACTATGACACTGGTGAATGGCGGCGGGAAACTCATCGACTCCCTTAAGTTTTCTAGCTGATACTTAGATTGTGATATTCGCCTTTTTAAATTTCAGAGTATTTATCACAATTATATTCGAATGGTAACAACATTATTCTCTTCATAAGTAACATAGTATTTTATGCCTTTACCCATGAAATAGTAAGCAAGGATAAGTATTACGTATGTACTTATATTTACAGGAAATATTTTGTACTGTATGATTGACTTTTCGGCTTATGCTTTCTTAACAGTAGACAACATCTCCATATGAGTTAGTATGGATTATGACTCAGTGCCTACAGATTGGTGCTATTTACCGGTAGTTTGTTAAGAATGCTAGGATGTACAGTAAGACTTTTCAATGCGACATGCGAAGTTTACGTTTCAGCATCTTCCTTACAAATCCTACTATAGTAGTTGATCAAATGTATAGTTTGAAAGAGACTGGTCGTAATCATGACTAATTTACTCCTTATTTCTATCAACATTGGCTGTACGGGCTGTAACATTTTTGTTGGACTTCGCAATGTAATTTATTGTATATATTTACTCGTATATATGTTCGAATGTACTCTTACTGTCCCGACGTCATTGACTATAAAGAATATTTATAATCAAATGGTATTGTTATTCTGTAATGAGACAGTCAATTGATATTGCGTTAGAACTGTTGTAAATCACACTTTTTCAACGAAAAAGTGCAAAATTGAGTATTAATACGTATGCGCTACGTGGACGTAATCTGTGATATTCAGTATGAATATCATGATGGATGAATGCATTAGCTATACGAGTATATTATCACGCATGACTGGAATGGTTATAAGAATGATTTTAGGAAAGGGCTTCATAATCATAAACGGCGAAAATTGGACACTAGGCGCAAGACTATCGTTTTATTCTTGCTTATCTGACCATATATGTAGGCACGATGTGGAGAGTCCTGACGAATTTGATGCTGTACAGTGGTCAAATATTGAAGTACTGTACAGTATATGAAATGCAATAAGAGTATTATTGTATACAGTTACTCTCTTCAATCTTCACGTTATTGAATGCTGTAAGCCTACACAGTACACTACGTATACAGTGAGAGTAAATTGGCTAAAGAAAGAGCTGGGGTTTAAGGAGCATACTAAGTCATCGCAGAGCACTCATTTTGGCTTGCATGTTGATCAGGCCAAAGCATGTATTATACCGTATTAAATGATTTCGTTGCTAATTTTCGATGCTGTTTACTGTATAAACTGTGATGTCGCCACTGCAGATACGTCCTTCACCTGTCCGTCCCGTTAAAACGTCTACCCTGGTGTAGTGTGCAGTAAACTGTACACTTAATGTGCAGGACATCCAATTCGATTCGTTCCATTTTCTCTACAGTAAAAGCTGTTCAAATTGAAATTTCTTACATTATCAATTTGAACAGCTTTTACTCTAGAAAAAATGGAAGGGATCGAATTCGATGCACACCACTGTAGTGCGAACTACATTATTTTTGGATTTTAAAATGCTGTAAGCTAGGCCGATATACAGTACTGTACACTGTACAGTACTGCAATGTAACATTCATTTGGTAGTTCATACTAGCCTAGGCTAGGCCGTTAGGGGTTTGGATTTCAAAATATACAGTACGGTACAGTAAGTTGGTGCCAGTCAGGTCTAGGTGCCACCATCTCGTACAGTGCAATGTGTACAGTACAGTGTACAGTACAAACAATTGGTGGCATTGCCCATGCGTGCTTTGTACAGTACAGTACAGTATACAGATCTTTTTGTCTCATCAATGCCTGTAAGAGCATCAACGGCCACCAGTCTTTCCCTAGACAATCAAGGACTTTTTGATAGTAATAGAGGAAGAGAAAAGATCTTTTATCAATAAGGCCCTGGAGATATCCCTGAGTTGAAAAAAAATGGTGTACCATGCATTACTAAGCCTCGCGTTCAAAAAATTGAGGCTAAGGTAAAATAAATATTTATATTTTATCTTTGACTACAGTACGCTGTACCCTGGACTTGTAGAAATTACTAGTTATTACTAGTACTGTACTGTAGTGCACAACTACAGTACTGTACTGTATACTGTACAGTACAGTATAGTACTGTACAGTACGGTACGATACTGTACACTGTACAGTTCAGTACAGTGTGCAGTACTGGAAATGAATGGCACGTAGCGAGACGCGTAAAATAATAGAACCTGACAACGTTGCTTTGTTTCAAGTTAGTTAATTAATTCAACAGGAGGTGCTGTCCGTGGGTGATGTCCGCCTAAAAAATCAGGCCACCTTTATGTACAGTAGTTTGTGTACAGTACATGCAGGCAGGCAGGTAGCACTGTAGCAGGTTGATAGCTGACAGTCAGAACGGTACGGTTCGATGACTTGGATGTACACATGTACTGTATTCAATAGCGTATAAAGGCAACGACTTGTGTATTGTCCAGTGACTTTCTCTCTACGTAGGATTCGTAGTTGATAACAGAAAATCGGTTCGCTAGTGTGTGAGTCCAGTCCAAGCAAGGAGGCGCTGTAGAAGTTCTTGAACGAAAGAAAAAAAAATTAACATCGAAAATGTTGCGTGCAGCTACGACCAAATTCTTGACACCCAACTTATTGGTTCGACCTGCTAGGTCTATGGCCAACACGAGAGCATTGTCTATTTCTGCCATGAACCACCAGAGTGCAGTCAAAGGGGATGATCCCAACTTTTTCGAAATGGTTACTTATTACTACAATAGAGCGGTCGATCTCTTGGTCGATAGACTGGCTGCTACCGAATCAAGCCATGTTGTCGCTGGTAGTATTGAAGAAAGGCAAGAAAAAATTCGTGATGTATTCAATTTCATCATGCCTTGCAATCATATCCTAGAAGTTACTTTTCCAATCCGTCGTGATAATGGAAAAGCTGAAGTCATCACAGGTTACCGTGTTCAACACAGTCAGCACAGGACTCCATGCAAAGGAGGTTAGTTCAACATGAATTACTCTACGTTTATTGAGCGAACAACGCCTTTTATCGATTGATAAGACGATCGAATAGTTTTAGAATGATAACATATTCAACTTTTCCAATATCTCAACTTCAACTACAAGTTAAAACTCGTATCAATTGACACTCTCTTAAGTCGTAATCGGCCATTTTTCATGAATACCGTAATTCGATTCGGATTATTACTCATCAATTGTGAGCAGATGTGCCACGTACATTGTTAGTCATGAAAAAAAAATAATCCAATACTGGACTACTTCACATCGAAGACAGTACTGCCTAATGAAATTGATGCAGTTTTACCGTAATGTGAGAATCCAGTACTGTATGCATCTACCTCACTTTTAAATCGAAAATGAAGCCCGTTGTACAAGTTGTTCATTTCTCTTTTTACTACATGCCGTTTAAAATTGTACAGTATACCGCACGTACAGCAGGGACCTAGATTGTACGCAAGTTCCAACACATGACATCTGTACCATACTGCTATAATTCTACTGTAATTACTTCCTAGTAAAGATTAAACAGATCACCATTTGATCGGATTAAACTATACTACAATATCATTACTTAAGGGCTATTTTACTCTTTCATTTTTTTTCACCTTTATTCTTGGCCAGGAATGTGCAGTATCGGCGAGGCGAATAAAAATACAACATAGTAATACTACAGTACTTTTTATTGTACGCTAACGTAATGGAAAGAAATGAAAGAGCTTATCCAATAAGTAATTATTCTGAAAAGTACTCCTGTTAATTTTAACGGTGATGGCAAGCGAAAGTTAGTGTAGTCAAGTAGGATGGTAAAGTACTGTCTGACCTTCGATAAAACTTGAAATGACATCTTAATATGGATCATCCATCCAATCGTTTATTGGATTTTCTGATCCAGTTGGCATGGTATAGCAGAATCGATTGGATATTTGATGTATCCATGTTATATCGAAAACGCTTTTCTGTACTGTATATTTGGATTTAGTCAAGGTCCACCTAGGGAGGATAGTAACGATTTTTTTCAATTCTTTGAAACTTGTTCATGACGTGCACGTCCTATCGAGGCTATCGTACATACAACATGAACAATAACCTTGATGACTGTTGGCATCAGGAAGTTGGAAAAAGCCTTTTTTTCCACGCTGATGCTACTAGTATGCTAGTTTATATAAAAATTTCAACTTTTTTTCTACGCTTCCAACTCCTTTGTTAAGCATCGTGAAACAGTTCACTTAACTCGGTTGCTGATGGTGGATACGGAGGTGTGGCTGGGCTATCCACCATTCAACGACTTATTTGATTAAAATAAATTAAATTAGAAAATTTTTTTTCTCATACAAAAGATGATGAAAAAATGGAAGACGTTACGACAGATTGACGTACCGTACTGTGCAGTACGAAATGGCCTGCTGTGCTTTCATTCGTTGGTAAACAGAAATTTTGCATTTCAATGTACAGTAGTTTATATTTGTACAGTACAGTACGTACTGTAGTGTATAGTACGTGACTACAGTATGCTGTACAGTACAGTACTGTACGGCAGTAGTATTTGTAGTATAGTAGGATGCAGCACAGTACCGTACTGTACAGTGTACAGTATGTTACAAAACCCGACTGCTAAGTACCGTATGTAACATGGACAATGCCAAGGTTCATGAGACAGCGCCCACCACCACACCGCAGTATGATTATATATTATTTATTTTTTTTTAAATGACTTCTCAGTAAACACATGGTTCAACGTCAACTCGGAACGACAACACTATGGTACTGTAACTGACTGTCTGTCATTTAAAATTCGTACGTTAGCCACGCTATTTTACACCACATATGCTCAGTAATTTGGCACTTCAATCAGTTTGAGAAATACTCTTTTCCTGCTTGAACTAGCTGGGTCGATTAGAAGGAGATGACTATAATTATAATTATCAATGAATTGATTACCAGTAAAACAGATCTAACAGGCCTTACACGATTTCCCACTAAAATGATATCCATAAAATCAATATGTTAATGTACAGTAGAACAAGGATAGATGCACTCTACATGTTGGAGGGGAGCGCCCTTGACGATACATGTACATTGTACAGTACAATATATACAATCAGCCTAAGATTTTGACTAACAAATTGTACAACGAGTGATTCATTAAAGATGTTATACCAATATGGAGAATACATCATCAACTCATGCGAATTTGATAGTGAAGTGTAGAGCGAATAAGTAAATGGTATACCATGATAACATGGATATTCATGCCGGTATTAGGTATTCGTTACAGCGACGAGGTCCATCTGGATGAAGTAAAGGCTTTAGCTGCTTTGATGACATTCAAATGTTCAGTAGTTGACGTACCATTTGGAGGTGCAAAAGCAGGAGTCAAAATCGATCCAAGGCAGTATTCGGTAAAACTGACTTGAATCCTATCTCGATGCTATAATAGTGTTTTCTCTAATTTGTATCTAATTATTAGATAGGAGAACTTGAGAAAATTACTCGTCGTTTCGCTGTAGAACTTGCAAAGAAAGGATTTCTCGGTTAGCTTTGAAAATAAGGAAGATTAAACTAACCCTATCTTGACTCATTTTAAGCAGCGTTACATCGTGTACTCACTGGACTAATGAATATTTCATCGATATCACTATTACAGGCACTGGTGTAGATGTCCCTGCGCCTGATATGGGTACAGGAGAAAGAGAAATGGCTTGGATTGCAGATACTTACCGCTTAACCCTTGGTATATTGAAGTTGATAATCGATTTGTGTCATCCAATGGAATTGACTGTTAATAACCAAAATTAATACTGACACTTACAGGTTATAATGATCTAAACGCTAATGCATGTGTAACTGGTAAGCCTATCAGTCAGGGAGGAATCCATGGTCGTACTCCAGCGACTGGCCGTGGAATTTACTACGCACTGAAGTATTTCAGTAACAATGGTAATTAACCTACACAGATTAGAAGGACATTTTTTCAATCTAGTCAGCGTCATCTATTGCTGTAAAATTACCAGTTCATTTATCGCTGATAGTATACGTTGATGATGCTTGAGTCAATGGTTACTTTATTCATCACATTAGCTTCCATTATGTCTATGATTGGATTAACACCCGGCATAAAGAATAAGACCTTCATTCTTCAGGTAAAATTTTTTCTATAATTGCTCTTGACTACTGAAATTGCTTTCGTCGTTAAAGTTATTAACCCCCCCCAATTGATGTATAACCTCTGCTCGGGTCCTTTTCGTATGTTTACAGGGATTTGGTAACGTAGGATTATACGGAAGTATTTACCTACACGATCATGGAGCTGTCATGACAGGTGTCATAGAGCGTGACGGTTCAATTTATAATCCAAATGGTATCAATCCTCACGATTTGCAAAAGTACAGAGAGGTAATTGCTCATTGTTAACGATAGTGGAGTAATTAGTAAAAAAATTTCCTTGCCAATGGATAAAGTTTGATGTATTGAAAATGAATTGTCTTTACCGTAACTATTTTAGGAACATGGCACTATAGTTGGATATCCTCATGCTGAGGTATGTTATGTTACTATTGAAATGTAACGTTTGCTACCGTAAAGCAAGCTATACTTAAAGTTATGCTTATTCTTGTTGCAGCCTACATCAGAGAATTTATTGGAAGCCGAATGCGATATCCTCGTTCCTGCAGCGTCTGAGATACAAATTACTGCTGATAACGCAGAAAAAATCAAGGCTAAGGTAAATCATCTACGACCAATCCCAAGTGTTAATACAATGAACCATTGCAAGCCATCTGATTACACGTTTTTGTTCGCACAGATCATTGCTGAGGGTGCAAACGGACCTACAACTCCTAAAGCGGATCAAATTCTAATCAATCGTAATCGTTTAGTCATTCCTGTTAGTATAAAATTGATGTTGTGTATTGCATATATTTTACCTAGAATCACGTTCATAAATGTCTTACCTGGGTCTTTTAGGATTTATATGCCAACGCTGGTGGTGTAACTGTGTCATATTTTGAATGGCTAAAGAATCTTAATCATGTTAGTTTTGGCCGTTTAACGTTTAAATATGAAGAGGACAGTAACTACCTATTACTTGGTGAGTAGTTAGTAGTAGCGCTGCCCTTAAACCTATTAAAATTACTCACAAGATGCTTATTGTCCATCTCCTATATAGGAAGTGTACAAAAAAGCTTAGAGAGAACGTTTACTGAAAATGGACGCAATATCCTCCCTATCCTTCCTTCAGAAGAATTTAAGGAACGAATTGCGGTATGTAAATTGATGATATTTGCTCCATCTATATTTTACTTGTGTTGCCTTGTAAGTAATGGTAACAGATTTTAGCTGCAAACAACTATTTCTAAAATGCTTTTGTCCTATTTTTAGGGTGCTTCTGAAAAAGATATTGTACACTCTGGTTTGGCATACACAATGCGTCGTTCTGCCAAGGTGAATTACATACATAGGCTGTATAGTAAAAATAGTAGTATTTTACGTTAATGGTTTCTACTACGTCGGTATAAGACGATCAAGGAAGTTTACCGTAGTGACACACCAGGATAATGTATTAGATAACTGAATTCTTAAAATGTACTTCAACGCTTTTCCTTTAGAATATCATCAATACCGCCGAAGCCTTCGATCTTGGCTTAGACTTCCGTACTGCTGCATTTATTCATTCCATTGGAAAGATATATACTACGTACAAAGAAGCTGGTGGAGCATATAGCTCATCCCATCTTGGTTAACTTAATAGATATTTTGAAGTACTGGACATTGCAAGTGCATGATATGTTCTATTCTTATGTTATTCGAGTCAATGTTACAGTCAAGAATTGCAGTAACTCTGTAATATTAGATGATTAATAACGTCCGTTAGTAGTTATGCTGTTAGCTCATCGTAATTTATTTTTTTGTGAGTTACCGCAAGAGTCTGAGATATCTCTTTATGTTTTTTAGATTTTTTAAATGTGTTGATATACATAAAGCTTAATAATATGGATTGTAGAACCTTTCAATTGGAGGTACTGCAATATTGTGCTTTGGCGCTGTGTTGGTATATCTTGTGAAAGCGTTTAATGAATTGGTTTTTAGATATAACTTTCTAACTATGAATGTGAAGTTCTGCATTCGCCTTACGTCAACGACGAGGCTGTATGATATACGTCATATTGCATTGCTAATAAGCGTCAGAGATGAGTTAATCATGACATTAGAGTATATTTGAAAGCATGCAACTGATTTTGCCCCGACTAAAGAGGCTTCCGATAAGTATTCCAGTATAGAAATATTTGTTGGACTTCGTAAGCATGCAGGTGTACGTATAGGCCCAATATCAGCTGGATCTCCTGAAGGCAGATATCGGATACCATTTTCGATTACTCGTTCAACTACAGTAATAGGGGTGGAAGTACTTAGTCGGCATATACATTGGTTTTGACACTCGTAGTATTTAGTATTTATTTTGGAGTACTGTGGTACCAATGATTTCAAAGCCTGTATTACGTATCAATTCTACTACTGTTATTTCTGTTCACCCTCCATTTACTTCTAGTACTGTATCATCAAGTCTGCATAACTCGGTCACTGAGTACAGCACAGATGCCCTTACTATCTATTAAGTTTGTAGAGATATAATACGAGTATCTCTACGACTGTAATTCGATACCGTACTACAGTATCAGGAGAATGATTTCTGACCTGCGCGACCGCCTGCTTCCATAGTATATACTGTACTGTATTGTACACTACTGATTTTTGGGTCATCATCAAACTACTACCTTGCAGGATAACTATACTAAATGCTATATTTGAAAAAATCATGCATGGCATACAGTACAGTACAGTATACTGTAGTACTATACTGTACTGTAGCAAGGAAAGGATGCTGACTCTACAGTACTGTACTGTAGTGTCCAGTACAGTACATACTGTAACTTCCATACAAAGTACTGTACTAAGATGATCGGGTTTTCCTTTGTCATGTTTTCTTTTCATCTATTGTCCGAGTCTTGTTTTGTTCTTTGTCCGTCACTTGGAGACCGACAACAGCTTAGATAGCGACCATCACCTGACCAAAATGGGCAAGATTGCTTACAATTGATGTAGTAAGTTACTAATGTCTGCGTAGATTATGCAAAGTTGGGAAATGGTCCATACTGGTGACAGTAGAGTCCTGTTGACCACCAGCCACACCATCTAGACAGTATAAAGGGGCTGGCAAGAAGAAGTATTTCACGAGTTCGAAGGCAGACTCTAGTTATCTTGTCTCGTTGCTATTGATAGTCTACTACGCCATCATCATGTCGTTGTACTTTGGAGATATCTCACCAGCGCCGCCAGATCCAGTCTTTAATATCACAACACGCTATAATAATGATAAGAATAGCTATAAAGTGAATCTTGGTGTTGGAGGTAAGTTGCATTGCTGTTGGCATGCAAAACTTGTTGAAACTCGGGCGATGTTGTATCAATGTCAATATGCGATGATTGTAGGGATGATTAGTTAGGTTTGTTATCGTTGATTTCTACACGAGTTGGTGATTATCGACTTGGACAGTACTCTGCTGTATCGGATCGACAAACCACTGCTAAAACCTCAATTGATCTTCCATCGGCATCGTGGACAGCGATACTTTGCGATGCATGTTTGCAACGAATGCGATCGTTCCATGATTTTATTTTTTTTCTTTCTCCCTGTGGGTTGGAAGGATCTTGTTAGTTATAAATAACCGATCATGATGCCTTACTACTACGAGCTTATGAGGAATAAAATAAGAGGATGACAGCAACGATTCCTTTCCAGTCATGGATAGGACTCAAATCAATGTGGAATAATCGTCGTGCGTACGTATGTCATAGGATGTCTACTAACATGCAAGATCTGGATGAGATGGACTGCTCCAGTGGGTATTGATTTCACGATCAGCTTGATTGAAACTAAAACCGTGTTATCAAGTCCCGCTGGAATAATACATGTAGATAATCTCCATTGATTAATCATTCCTACAATCACGTACAAGATGAAGATACCAGAGTAGATGCAGTCTAGCATATCGATCATCAAGGTAAAAAATCTTATGATCCCATTCCTATTTGAACCTATGAATTAATCCAATGACCTCCATCACGTCCGAAGCACGAGCCTTTTCTAAATCGGGAGATGCCATCTCCACCCATATCCATATGTGGGCATTGTTTGCATATACTGTACATTGCATGGTAATAACAATCAAATTAATCAAGGTGCAATATTCAATATCAATATTAATGTTGGTAGAAGGCATTGTATTGTAGCCATGATGGAAACCGTTTCACCTAGTATTTTGCAGTGTAGAATTGAGATGGTCCATCATTGACATACATGAGCTGTTTAGACCCTCACCATGACATACGATTGCAAAGAAGGTTCACATTGGATAGCGACGATGAATCATAGCAACTAGGAGTCAAAAATTGGAAAGTAGATAGCGGCGATAAATCTTAGCAACTAGGGGTAAAGAAATTGAAAAGGAGATACATTTATCGTGGTACTGTACAGTATACAGTACTGTACATCAATCAGTTGAAATCGTAATGACTTCTCCAAGTTTTCAATGGTAACATAATAGTTCAATATATACTTTAAAAAGATCATCATTCTCCTTTGCGTCATTCTTAAATAGTCAGGTGATCGTTAAACTGGATTGGTCGATTACAATTATTCATTTACCTACTCAACTTGCTATATTAATTAATTAATTGATTACTGCAACCGTATCTGCTAGCTTACAAACTGTTAAACTTCAAAATTTATCACCAACACGACATGACGTGGGCATTAATTCATGACTGTATACCTAAAATAGATTGAATCAGTCCTAAGATAAATTATCAATTCTTCAACTGCATCCTGCTTTAGAATAGCTGCAGTTATTGTCGATATTGTATGCTAAATTATCCTCATTATAGCCAGGAGAGTTTGGCTTTGTTCAAATGCCTCGACTATAGTAGAACGGGCATGCTTGCAGGTGGGGCTTCTACTGTGTATTTCGAACTGAATAGACAATGATTACAATGACGATGAAATGATATTCATAAGTTCAAGATTGCTATTCTAGCATGCTCATAGACTACGTACTCATGCTATATCCACGCGGCATTGATTGGTTTACTACGCTTTTTTCGATCTTGCACGAAACAATCTTTCCCATAACTCATTGGCAAACTGATTATACTATGACAACTTCTCCTATCCTTTTCATTATTTATTGGTTTACGAGACAAATCGGAAACAATAATGCCAACACGAACATCATTATTCGACACTTTACCCTCAAGGATGCAGGGTTGCGATGAAGGAAAAGGGTAGTGGCGAGTGCATGCATTTCATAAAAATCAACTGACAAACGGACTCATTCCAATAAGCATGGCCAAGATTGAATTAGTAAGATACGTATGTACAGTAAAACTGCTTGCAAGCTGCCTCACTTAACAGACGTTTTTATTCATAGAATATTACAGTAGTGTACCCATCTGTTTTTATATACGTATTTATATAGTACTATAGATTACATATAAGTGTTAATACCGTAATAGCATAATACATCATTCCAAATTATTTATAATACCCGTGCTGTATCATGTTGATAGATGTTATGCTAGAAAATTACTAAGCAGATTTCCTCAATCTAATGTTTAATCGAGTCCCTGTATGATTATGATAGTAACCGGCTCGAACTATTTACAATTGCAGTGCGATAGAAATGATTGAACATACGTACATGCTAGCCTTTTTTGGAGTCCACGGTACATTACACTATTTCAATCAAACTACTTTCGTTCAATTCTATCATCAAATACTGTACTGTAAGCAGCAATACTGTATGTTGGGGTTCCATGCGCTCATACTGTATTTTTTATTATATAAACAACAGAGAAATTAAAACTTTCAAGGCTATATCAACGCCGTTGCCCTATTTTAATTCATCAGACATCTACAATGAAACGTCTCACATAGTTTAAATAATATCAACCTTGATTTAATGCTAATTCATCAAGTTATTTTTACTCAGAAAAACGCTAGATATGCAAACTAATAGCAAATATTATACACTAATTTATAATGCATTCGTATATACAGCTTATCGTGATGAGAATGGTCAACCATGGGTCTTACCAGTAGTTCGTGAAATTGAAGAAATGATGAGCCAAGATCATTCTTTAAATCACGAATACTTACCTATTGAAGGTTTGCAATCATTTCGTGAGAGTGCCACTCGCCTAATGCTTGGCAATGAATGCAGAGCCATCGTAGAAGATAGGGTAAGTTAAGTTAAATTAAAGAAAATCGATTGCACTTCAATTTAGAAATGGAACCATTTGCTAGATCTCAAGCATTATTCGTTATTTTACAATGTGTACAGCAAGATGTAACATAGTAAAATTTATTCCAAATAGGTTCGCTCTATTCAATGTCTATCTGGTACTGGTTCTATTCGTCTTGGAGCTGCTTTCTTAAAACGATTCCATCCTGATTCAGCAATTTATGTTGCAAAACCAACGTGGGGTAAGCTATCTTAACGCAAAGTTTTATTTAAATTTTGTTGGCAATGCTAGCGTAACAAAATCGTCAATCCAATTTTATCTTTAGGTAACCATCGCAATATATTCAAGAATGAATTTTTTCCAGAAAGCATGATAAAAGAATATCCGTATTTCGATTCAGCAACGCGCGGCTTAAATTTGGAAGGAATGATCAATGCATTGAAAGTAATGTCTAAATGAGTTATTTTATCTTCAATAATAAGTATTTCTGCGATGGTACATAATATAATTGACCAATGAAATGACTCAATTTTTAGGAAGCACCTGAAAGATCTATTATTGTCTTACACGCTTGTGCTCATAATCCAACTGGAGTAGACCCAAATAGAGAGCAGTGGGAAGCTATAGCTGATGTCATCAAGGTGTGTAATAATTTATTTTAACAATACCTTTGTGGTATTACTCAAACAAGGTATCTAATATTACAAATTAATAAAGTCTGGCTTATTTTGCTATTTGGAAATAAATAAAATTTGTATATCTTTATTCGCATAGGAGAGAAATTTAATGCCATTATTCGACTCCGCATATCAAGGTTTTGCATCTGGAGATCTAAATGAAGATGCATGGAGTGTTCGCTATTTTGTCAGTCTAGGCATGGAAATGCTGATTGCTCAATCCTTTGCAAAAAATTTTGGTTTATACAGTAAGTTCTGTCTATCTGTCTTGTATTCTAGTTTTTAACATTCATGGCAGTGATTCAACCCTACTCTTGATAGTGCTGTACATAAATTAAAATCATTATAATTCGATTTCTAAAACATAAATCTGCATTCTATCATCCATAGATGAAAGAGCTGGAAATTTAATTGTTGTTGCAAAAAATAGCAGTGATGCAGCTGCCGTGCTAAGTCACTTGAAAGCATTAGCTAGACCAATGTGGTCAAATCCACCAAATCATGGAGCTCGTATAGTGGCGACAGCATTAAATAATGAAGACCTTCGTGCGCATTGGTAAGAATTTTATTCGACACTCGCTTTTAAAGCTTCATTCATCGTTTTAAACATTTACTCAGACTGTATTTATTCGTTAAGGTTCCGAAACTTGCAAAAGATGGCAAATAGAATTAGAGCAATGCGGGAATTGCTATTGGAGAAATTAAGAGCTTTAGGAACGCCAGGCACATGGACCCACATCGTGAATCAAATTGGAATGTTCTCCTTTACTGGACTAACTGGTAATGCATAAATTTGCAGTACTAATTGTGTTAAATCGTATGTAAAGTCGATTGATACAGTATATACTGTATAATGAGTTCAATAGGGGTATCAATTTAATTGGATACAAATCTACCCAGTATTAATACCATTTTTCAATCTTTTCAATTTCAGTTCGCCAATGTGAAGTGATGACTAGCAATCATAGTATTTATCTTCTTCCTAATGGTCGAATTAATATTTGCGGTTTAAATCATGATAACATTGATCATGTTGCAAAGGCTATTGATGATGTCGTTCGCAATATAGAAGATTAGTAAATTAGACGTTATTAATATTTTTTGGCACTGCAGTACTGATGCCAAGAAATTAAAAAGAGTTTAAATTTGCTTGTTTCGTATTCTTTATACCGTAATAACATTGATTCGTTGTTTACGGATAGATTGAAAGTTTTGATTATTCTTTCTTTCTGTTTATTTGTAATGCTAAAATGAATGGTATATTCCGATATTATATAACTGATCATAATGTTGCACTGTTGCCATGTTATGCGACATCTTTAATACATACACAGCTCATATGATAGGCATTATCGATCAAAACACCATAATGTTTGAAATTCATTATCATACCGTATAGTAACGCCTTAATTTTTTATTTGAGTAGACCAATGCAAATAACGTAGTCACAATTCCCATAGTCACCGCAATCATTTTTAATAATAAGAACTCATACTAAAGGCAAGTAGTCAGCAGCAGGACAGTTTGTCCTAATGTAATAAATCAATTCCGAGAGTACACAATGTTTTGATAAAGAATATGTGATAACGATAAAATATCATGTTGTTAATTAAGCAAATTAAACAAAAATGCAATTTATGGCGTATATTAACAGATGCTTAAGAATATTGGTTCAAATCTTTTCGAGCTAGTCATACGTCTTTGAGATTTATTCGTTAAAAAAAGAAATACGAAAACTATCAATATTATAGTCCACGGTACATTAAATCAATTTAGCCAGTTTTTTCAAGTTGTGAAGATACATAATCAACTGCCAATTGTTTTACATGTTCAACACTTTCTTCGTTACCATATTTACTTTCAAATTCCATATACCTCTTGAAGAGAAATTTAATCTTTTTCGACGAAAGGTTAATTTTCACTACCTTTTCAAATAGTTTTCTGTTCAGGAAATGCAAAGTTAAATTCAAAATAATTAATATTAGTAACTTGGCTCTTGATCAACCATGGTCTAAGCTTTACATACATAAACTTAACAGTAAACTTATGTTACCATTTGCTTGTAGTTTACATAACACAACCGCTATATTGCAGAACTCCTTATTACCTGACTTGCTCGATATCACCAACTTTGATTACCATATCAATATAAACAGACCATAAGTCAGTTCGTTTAGGGTAATTAGATAAAACACTTTCGAAAATAGTAGCTCCTCGAGCATGATCTCCATATTTAAATTCAAACTGAGCAAATTTAACAATTGTATCCAAATCTATAAAATGGTTAAATAAAAACGATCAATGTAGACTTGCGACATTCGACACTACTTCTTATAATTACAACACCATAATGTATCACAATATCTAAACATACGTTTTCTTTTTGGCAAGCTTTTCAAACTCCTCTGTAAAATTTTACGCGCTCCCTCAAATTTCTTAATCTCGAACAAAAACTGTCCATACCGAATCCAAACTTTCTTGCTGGTGTTGAATCGCTTGATCATGTTTTGAAAAAGCTTATCTGCTAACTGAAAAGATTACATACATTAGAACTAATTACAGATATCAACAGCACACATTAAACACTTGCCACACAGCATGCTTAAATAACTATTAAGTTATGCAATACATGGTAATCGTTATTACACAACGGCCGAGGACCCACTACGTGCGCTACTATATGCGTAAACGTTCTTTCGTGATATTTAATTGAAAGCTAATTTTCAAAATTGTTTGTTACTTCAACGATTGGTACTACAAGCAAGATGGCAAAGCCATTATTGAGACATTATGTCAAAGAGTACAATTTAAATAACAAGGTAAGATTAGGGTTAGGGTAAAGGTTAGCTTACCTCGTGCTTATCTGATCTAATATAAATTCTTGATAAGTGAAAAAATACATCTTTAGGATCATTACGCTGTACCGCTCGCTCGAAAACTTTTGTCAATGTTTCTTGCGTTCCATATAAATTTTCTAAATTCATCATCGCAATCCATATATTAAGGAGATGCTGAGATTCTCTAATAATAATGCAAGGCAATTCTTTATTTAGTAAAAAATTCATTTATGAATTTAAGCTAATAACTAACACCGAAGTTTGATACCTAAACGATATAGTTTTTAAAGCACGTTCAGCTACGTCTCTACTTTTATCAATTTCTGCGGTTTGTAGATAATATGCCATGTACTGTAACCATCCTGACGAATTATTTGGCTCACTTATCACTAATCGATCAAAATCATCTGGAGTTTCCAGTGCATTTCCGTTATTTACCAAAGCTAGTTCGGTCTAAACACATATTGTATAATTATGTACAATAAGTGAATTAGGGTAATTTAATTACAGAAACATACTAAATAGACCTGAAAGTTATATGTTAATATTTATCCATCCGTGATGTGATAATAAGGTGGAATACAATGTAATAACCTGATATACTTCCGCTTCCTCAGCTTTATCTTTTGCTCGCTTTCTTCTTTTTTTTTGATTTTTAGATAACTATATTCGGTAATAAATCCGAAGACACCAAAGTAATATCAATTTTTAGTACTCTGCAATAGGTCAAAATATTATAACCCGGGCAAACGTACCCCTTCAACATTATCGTCCGAATCGCTTTGACTTTCATCAGTAGAATCTGAATTATTAAGGTTACCATTACCACTAGCGTCCCCTTCAGAAGACCATTGAAAGGCAGAAGATAACTAGTGTAATTAAAATTTAATCCAAGTTACCTTAATTTGCAGCATTATCGTTCCAAATAGCACAGAAAAATGACATACCGTTAATCTAGATTCGTCAGGAATTGAACGTTTTCTCTTTACTCCACTTTCTTCTTCTGAAGGTATCGATTCGGCATCTGATTCATCATTTACCGATTCTCCATGAGCCTCTACACTTATATCTATATTTTTATCAATAAAATTAATACAGATAATATCTCTTCATTCGTATATCACTGATTTGCAATTCACAATTCATTTAATCACGTATTGATTTCTTACTTTTTGCGGAGGCTCCTTTTATTACCGACTCTTTCAAAGACAACTCAACATGTTGGGTTTGTAGATCAACACTGTTGTAAGCAGAACTGTATGAGCTATGATCACATATCCTTATGGACTCAAAGATTAATCATACCTTATAACTTTAGCAGTAACTAGCATGCCTTCCTTAAACTTGGGCATCCAATCTTCGATGTACTTGTCACTAAGATTTTTAATTTTTATCCTACCAGAGATAGCACTCGACAACCTTAATAAAAAATTAAGTGTGTATATTGCTCTTTAATAAACATAAAATCTGAATAATCTTTCATAAGCTTTCAAAATAAACTAGATCTTACTACTTACACAACAAAGACTCCTTTCTTAGAAACGCCTTTTATATAACCCCTAATAATTTGTCCGCTAGCAATGTCATTGATGCTTTCAATGTCTTTATCCACAACTAGTCATAAAGGTGAATATATGTATTATTTTACTAATTTAATAGCAATTCAAGGCCACTTGCCACTATCATTTAATTATTTACCTTCACTATTTAGTTCACTATTCGTCCTATAGTGAAAAAAAAAAGGTCAAAGTATTAGTTGTAAGCTATCCTATTAGTAAAACTACGAAGGAAATCATACCGGGAAGGTCTCAAAGATACATCAATTTTCTTATAATCAGGCGAAAGTTTTAATGTATAGCACCTATGAAAGTATAGACACAAATCAAAAATTTATTTTAAGTCTAAAGCCAATTATATTAATGATCTTATATAATATAAAAGATCAAAAATCCTTCAATTACGGCACAGACAATGCAATAGACCATTAGTCAATCAAAAGCTTTAAAGATATTACGTACAGAGAAATGTCATCACAAACTATATCCTTAACAGGATTGACCAGAAAGTATGTCTTACCTAACAATTTGCTTTGCACTTAACGTAGATGTTATGTCTTCTTGATATTTATCACTTATGTTAGTTAATGAGGCAACACCACATTTTCTTAAAGGCAATTGCACGACTGCACCGAGTTTACTGACTAAATTTATAATTCTACCAGGAATGATAGAGCCAGAATCAAATTTGTAATCATGCGGATCTAACAAGAATAACAAAAAGTCATGCATGGCAATTCAGTAATATTTTCATTACTATTAAAATTCACTGTTTAAATATATCATGAATATAGTAACTTACAAGCAATCGATAAGTCAACACCTTCGTCACTGTTGCTAAGAACTGAGCAGTTGTAACCTTGACAGACTTTAAAATGATTTGACAGATCACGCAATACCTGCAAATGTGATACATTAGAATCATAAACTGTCCATCGCGAAATAAAAAGCGGTGACCATTTATGGCATAGCATCCATCAATGATACATATTATATAAAATAAATTTTCTATTCAAGGATCGTAGCATATTACGCTTACGTTCTCATCTTTTGAAGCGTGTAGACCGAATACTTTGCCTTTAACATTGCGCGATATGAAGACATGGATACAGAAACTACGAATCTAATCATTAAATACACAAATAATTAAATTCCGCATCTATAAGAACTACTAATTCAGTAAATTATCAAATAATTACCGAGTGAATATAAGCAACGAGCTTATCGCCTGGCTTATAACTTTCCAAAATGAGTTTCTTACGATCCTCATCCGTTTCTTTCGCTTTAGCTTCCAATGCATCAGTACTTAATGAGAATATGCTAAAGTACAGACCATTACTATGAGATAGTGTTGCCATAATACAAAAGAGTAACACCTACTATCTAGGTAATATAACGGATTACAGCTTAGGAATTAGAAGGTTTACTACCTTGGTTTTGCGCTGCATTCAATTTTGATACTCTGCTTTCTATATAGCACAAAGGTGGATCGGCGTTATAAGAAAATTACTTGAACTTAAAAGAAAAAATTTTGAAAAACTGGCTCTTCGATACTCACGTCTTAGATCTATGCTTTTTAACATTAATGACGCGAACTTTCAAAGAACATCCAATTGATAAAGAATCGAGTGGAGAACATCCGTCCTATTGACAATATTTACACGGTAAAACTATGTAGCACATTTCAATTACTAGTAACTCTAACATTTCACTTTGTAAAAAAAACTGAATCACACTATAGTGTAGCTTTGCTGAATAATTATAATCATATCTACGTTAATTTATTCAATCACCTCTATTTCATCAACTATTTCGGTGATATGAACCGTACCAAAGAAAGAACCAAATTTTACCATGACGTAAAATTGCCGTATAGCTTCCACCCTAACATACGTGTATGAGACAATAGTTATCTAGTACAATTTTTAGGTGAAAAAGATTTAATTATGAAATGTAATACAACCAGAAATAATTATTACTTTGCATCGAAAATCTGACCAATAGAGACTCGCAAAGTCTCATCATCAAGAATATCTTTTACCAAGGATACTACTATCTTTGTCATAGTTACTCTAAATAAATTAGAATTGTTGTCAGCAAAAGCGGTTTAGTTGTTAGTTTATTCTACGAGTATACGTATAAGCTATATTATGAAACCATAACGGACAAAATATTCATATAACAATTAACTACTAATTACCGCTCTACGTGCGCCGTAAATCGATTACCAATTGAATATCTTCGGTGTGCACTTTTTACATTATTCCAGTACTACAAAATTCCAAAATAGTCAATTGAAATAAGATTTTCGCATGATAAGGTAAATAATACTGTCTAACCTGACTTGAAGGAGCAACAGCGAGGATGTTCCTATAATTAGGCAGCCTGCAAACTATGTGATCGCAAGTAACCAATTCGATAATTGCTTCCGTGTTGGTTTGGACTTTAATCTATAAATAGAAAATATTTTGAACATCACCTTAACATTTCCCATCCTATCCTCAAAGCTTCGGAAAAAGTATCCACCCTGAAGTCCTTATTAATTTATAATACTTAAAAATAAGTACCTGCTTTTGCATTTTGTGAAACTGCTTGGTACTATAACTGACCATATCAGGGTGCAATGATACGACAACTGTTCTTGTTTCCAAATCAAAGTCGATAACTCGTGCAGAAACTGAACTGTTTTCTTTCAAATCGGCGTTATCTGTAAAAAAATATCCGTAGTCAAATATTACTGAATATGTTGAAAAATTATAATCATGATGTTACTACGATAAACTTACCGAAACTGATTGTAGAAACCGCTTTCTGTCCTTTCTTTAAAAGCAACGTAACACGATTTCCATCAATGGCTTCAATCTGTATCAAAGAGACAGTATGATTTAAAAATTTTCGATATAATAATGATAGCTGTATGTAAAGTGCCTACCATGCCCGTCACGAGTTCTCCAATAAGTATTCCAGTAGGTGGAAATTCTTGATTGATTATTCAAAATATAAATGAGTGCTGAATAATTACTACAGATATTCTAAACAGTTTTTCAATAGTTCAACTTAAATTATAATTTTAGTTATTTACAAGTCCATTAATTATACATACCGTATACACACTTCATAGCTTCAATAATAGTATTCCTTTCATTTAAATATTGATCGAATATCCTTAAAGTGTTCATCTTAGCATCATCTTTTCCAACGCTTTTTAGATAATCTGAGAGTCGTAAACTGACCAAAAATCGCTTGCGCTCATGTTCAATATCTGTCACCTTTTCATGGAGAATAAAGAACGAGTGCTTTTAATAACATGCAGTATCGAAAGTTGGTATAAAATTATTGTATTTAAAAATTTTTTTACTTTGGCTATAACAGAGTCTCCAACTGAATAATATGAAGAGATATCGTCGACAAAACCATCTGAAAGTAGCTGGTATTGAAAGGATTAGCAAATTAATAAACATCCTCCACCAAAACATTTTACATTTTAAATTAATTTCTGTAGCATTACCCCAATTGGAGCTAAGCCTACAAGGCCATTAGGGAATTCAACGAAACACCCATAATCCATGGTTAATTTAATGAATCCATTCATAATTAGACCAACCTGTTTAATTTACTAAGATCAGTATCTAGCGAATTTAGAAACATGAAGAAAGAACATTCCCGGTACTTGGACTTGTCAACTCGTATTTAAAAATACTGTAGAGTACAGTCGACGTATTACAGCCTACCAACCTTTAACTGGTCAAAGTTTTGCAATACACCTTTATTTTGAACAGCATCAACAAGTGACTGTTTTCTGGATGCAATCTATTGCATTCAATACGATAACAATAGTTAAAATTCAGTCCAATAACTACATTATCGATCGTTACTTTCGCCATTTGATACAGAGTAATTTATCTAATCAGCGTCACATTCGTGCGTATCATACTTATCGCTTAATTAAAGCTAACGATAGCGGTTGTAAACTTATACTTACAACAGAACTCTTCGTTTTCCCAACGGTCACTAGCTGCTTTAGAAACTTAGTATTTACATCCTTATTTACACTTTGCTGAGACGTAAAATAATTAACAAGAGCTCGGGAATTTGAATGAAAATCTGATAAGTGATGTACAGGTACACTGGCTGCCAAACCGGATGGCTGCATTAGTACGTCCAGTCCTTCAGCGGTAGCCCGAAACAGATCGACATCTACAACCTAAATTACGAAAATAACGCTATATTACTATTATAAATGTACAAGCAGTAAATCAAACTTGCATTATCGTAATCATCGAAATTCAGGTACCTTGGACTGGTTAAATTTTAAGTTTGATGAAGTACTGGTAGTCAGGGCTGGCGGCTAACATAAACATGACAAAATTACGTTATATAATATTATAAGTTATGAATATGGTACATAAATTCATCAGCTGTACCTTAAGTGACAGACTAAGTTTCTTATTGACAGCATCAACGGATACAATGTAAGTTAGAACTACTTGGCCAACAAAGAAAACCGTTTCTGGATTTTCTATATATTGAGTGCTAAATATGAAAGACAGAAATTACAAGTATGAAATGTGGAATAAGCCATGAAACTGGAGGTCCAGTTGTGCTAAAGCTAGCGCTAACTACGACGACAGAATGATCCATCCATAGAATAACAACCTTAAGTATTTTTTATGGACAAATCCACGAACGTTATTGTAAAATGTGATAAAGCACCCATTACTTCTGACAGAGCTTATAAAGCCGTGAGCAGTAACATTTTCTTGAGCCTCTTCGTATGACGTAATAACAACATGTGAGGAATGAACCATCGACTTTTTGTGCGTCAGGATAAGTCTTCTTCTTCTGGCATCTACCGTTAGTACCTAAAAAGTCGAATGAAATAAAATAATAGTTACTGCTGATAAATTATAGTAAGTCGAAATCGAGGATGAAAAGTTAATATCCATCACGTACTCTACACTTGATTTTATTTCCCTCCTTAAATTTTTTTTCAGGATGTTTTAAAGTTATATCAGACATATGTAATCTAGGACATAGTGCTTTAATATGGTCTGTAACTTGTACCAAAATACCAAAATCTTCTAACGAGATAATTTTACCCTGCCGTAATAAATAGAGTATGTGTGTTTGTGCTGTGTTTACATATACCTCGATTGCATTTTTTATAAGTTAATCAAATTTATTCATTATAATACTGTACCATAACTAGTGTACCCGGCTTGATATCTTTGTAACTTATAAATTGCTGCTCCAAAACGGATCTTGAAAAAATGACAAATAAATTAATATCGATGGCGAATAACTGGAAATAGCCGCAGTTTACCAAAGAAATGCTTACTGTTGCATTGTAATAATTGCTAATTCATCGATTAAACTATTTGCTATAACGCGACACCTAGGAGCAAAGTTAAGAACATTACGAATGCAAAGGATAACATCTGCATGAAAGCAAGCTAATTTAACTAGTTAATTGTGAATGAACCTATGTTTCGATCCTGCTCTGTGTTGTTTTCCAAACTTATCAATATGCTTATCGGAAGCGCGCGATATCTACAATGAAAATGAAGAAAGCATGAATCCTATGCATTTGTATGCGTATGCAATACAAATGCTAGATTTAAACATACATGAACATATCCTTTCAAGTTATCACCCAGTTGAAGGAGTAAACCAACGCCTTTGTCAACGCGAAGAACAACTGCGTCTTCAATTATTTGGCCAATTTCTACCTGAGAAATATCCATTTGCCCATTGACAGTAATGTTTAGTAAAGATAAAGCTATTTTCTTTGATTTGCGATCCACATATATAATTCTTGCAACCACCTTATTTAATGTATAAAAGCAATTATTTTAGTTTAAATTTTTAATTTTAATACGCAGATACCTATGTTAACTGAAAATTAGCTCACTTTCGATCGCTCTTGCAGAGATTGATTTTGATTTAGGTGGTCAGCAGTTACGCTTCCGCGAAAACCACCCAAAAAGGAAAGTTGTGCTCCTTTGGTACTAATCTAATATTTTGATAAACAAAACAGATTACATTGCGATCCAATTTGAACTATCCATCTATGACATGTCAACACTTTGAATATACCTTTGCAATAGTCCCATTTACGTATAATCCGGCTTGTAAGGTATCATAGCTAAATCTCATCCCTTCATGAGCCTTCATTTATTACAGTTTTTGATATCAATATCGATACGTACATGACTGATTCAATAATCCTGACATTACATAAATATTTATATTAGTTACACAGCATTAACCTTGGCTTTCAGAACTTTGCTGCTAGACACGCCAACGGTAACCATTCGTCCTTGATCTTTCACCTTTTGAATAACGCAATTCACTGGTAGCCCCACCGGTAGATCCTCTGCAATGGTACGTAGACAATAGGCATTTCATGTATCGTGTTGGTTTGAAAACTAGTTGCACGTTAACAAGCCTACTGCATACCTAACTCTCTTGATTTTGCATAGTCCAGACCTTCTTGTTGTGATAGGAACCCGACTAGGTTCTCAATTTCAAAAGATACAATATACCCATGATCTTCAACACTTTCAATATATCCGGATAAAGTCTGTTATCATCCGAGATAATTTAAGGCTCAATATGGATTATAATCTAAGGCATGGCGTGATTATTACTTTCAAAAGTGACTTACCATTCCTGTTTGAATTCTGTTGGCTTTGAATTTAGCATTGAGTATCTTAGGATCTATTGCTAGTTTGATACGTTTATGCTTACTCTTGGTCAATTCGACTTCATCAACCACGCAACGAAGCATGTCTCCAATTCGAAAGAAAGAATTCAAGTCCAATTGTGTTACACCATCCTATCAATGCAATCGAAACGTGTACTATAAGATCATTTTCAGACTACACATATTTATGATAACATTATACAGCGGTTAAGAAAACTTCTATTATCAGCCTATTGCTTAAGGTACTTAAAAATTGCTAGCATGTGTACAAGTATCGTAAGAGAGAAATCCCAATCTCAAATTGTCGTCAAAATAAAAGACATGAATATCCGAAAGTTGCTTATCTTGTATATGAGTAAACCCACCTCTCCATCTAATTCAGTAGATTTTAGCTGCCTTGTTAATAATTGCGTCATTTGACTTGACATTTGTGTTATGTGGATGTAGCCGGTTAATAAGCCAGGAAGGGAGACTGTAATGTCAACTGGATTAATTTCTTTGACAATGCCAAGGACAGACACCCCCTTTTTGTACATCTAAAAAAAGGTATTACCTAATACATCAATCTTGTACATCAATTCAAAAGCTGCTACGATGATTTACAATCTAAAATGTCAATAAGCTGACGAGTTATAATAAAAGTATATCCATTCTAACTGGATAGAGACATATATTTTTTAACATACCGATATGGTGATAGCATCTACGCTGACTTCATCTTTATCAGTACTAGGTATGTCTTTGCCTTTCGCTGTAGCTGGAGTATTGGATTTTATCTTTTTCGCTTTCTTCAGCGGCGTACTAGGAGTAGTCTGTAGTAGATATCATAACATTAAACATTAGTTGCATGAAGAAACTGTTGCAAATTCTGATCTACTTTTTATCTTATATCAGCTATTGTCCTGCGAATTGACTTGCAGTTGTTGAAAGTATCAACGGTAGAGAAATGATAAGCTTGCACTATCATGGCTGATGCAACATTCTTGCATTGAACCTAGTCGAGCTCAACAATTTGACTTCACTGCGCCTTCTGATCAGCTGTCTGATACTACCAAATTCAATTGACTAATCCTATTCCATTCATTATGGTATCTGAGATACGTGTATTGCAAGTATAAGCACATGCATGAACTCGATGTAAGTATTTTGGTTGGTAGTCTGAGCTCGACAGGGCAATTCGTTCTATGTTATCCACAGCTTTTCTACTGAAGTATTCCGTCTCTATCGATATCACTATGATGCTGCTATTGAATTTATACCTTAAATAGGGCATCATCTTCAGCTTTACGTTTGGCATTTTGTACCTCCAACGGGGACAAAACGTTCGACCCTCCACGAGGAAAATCTACTTGTGCCATTTGGATCACTTACTTCATCGATTGCTTGTGACGTGCACAATCTTGTCGATAATATAGTAATTAGCAGGGAATTGGACAACAGGTAGCAACAGCAAAAGAATAAATGTCGGATTTTAACCCAGTACCGCTATAAATTGAATGGAAGTCTTTAAATCACGTTGAGAAATCAGTATTGAATCGCTGAAATGAGCTGATATTCCAATGCAAATCTGCAATGGATTCTACTGCAGGCTGAATCACGAAATAGGTCCAATCCACCAGCTCGCTGGGTGATAACAGATAGCTCACACGTGTACTGTCTAAAACTATCTCTACGAGTACAGGATTAAAAATACTGTTGTGCTATTGCAGCTTAGACAACTTCGTCCCAACAAGTCAATGACGAATAGCAAGTAGAATGGCAATGGATAGAATCGCTTGAATTACCTTGGAAACGCTGCAGGCCTCTACCTTAAAGGTGAAATGGAAGATTGATCAGTTAACGCGTGGACAGTGTCAACTTGACTGTTGTATTGTACATATTAAGTGGCCTATAGTAAAGCAACACTGCAACGTTACCAACCGTATCGTACCAAGATTTCGAGTGTGTCCAGTACTACCCAAATCAATACAGTCCATCATGCGCATTGGACTTGCGTAGACTACTACGCTGTCTTCTAGTACAGTACTGTACTGTACGTAAATACGCAATACTTACAATAGTACATGTATTTGTAGCATGGACTTATAGAAATGGATTCCAGTATTTATTTCTACAAGTCCATGCCCATAGGGACTACCAAAACGGAAGACAGGAATATTATCTTAGTAAAATACGAAGTACGGCTATTTTGGTGGTCATTTCCATTAAATCGTATCTCTGTAACGGTACACACTACTAAACACGATCACCCTAAAGCGGAGCCAGGTTTGGTTTTAATGCAGTACACTGGTATACAGGTACAGTATACACTCATTGTAGTTAGCTAGTATACAGTACACTAGTACAGTACTGTATAACCATACAGCATAGTGAGCATAGTGAGCATTGTCCAAGTTTACAGACAGACAACTGTATAGACTTCGAATCATATACAGTACTGTTCAGTTTTCACTACAGTAAGATAAATACTGTACTGTACTGTGCTCAGTTAGTACTGTACTGTACAAGTAGTCCTTGACTGCATTCCGTGTAGTATACAGTGTAAAGTAACCGTACAGCATACAGTACTGAGCAAGTGAGCATACTAGCATACTAAGCATGCTACAGTATGTAGAGCATAGTTTATGCTTACGGACAGATAACGGTATACTGTAGACTATGTACAGTACTGTACTGTACTGTACAGTGTACAGTACAGTAATACTGTTCTCACTTACTGTCTTGTACTGTAGGTAGTCAAATGATTCGGCATCGTCATTTCTATCAGACTCAAGAATAAATTTTCCCATCTCTCTTTTTCTTTCCCTAGCTTTTTGTGCTATAGTCCCTGTTGTCAAGCTCCGATAAAATCGTTATGTACAATCCTCGAAGCCCAAATTAATGTTGACCGGCAATAAAGGAGTGTTCGAGCGATACCTTAAATCATACTGACCAGCATGAAGGAATGGGTTGCAGCGAGCACCATCATTCAGTACAGAATGGATGCATTTCATTCATTTCGTTCGCACTAATAGGCTCGATTAGAATGCCTCTCATGCTGATGTTCAAGATGAAATTCATATCGTTCGAAGCAGCATATGCAGATGTTGATAAGTTGTGTTTTCAACTCTACGTCTCGATTACCCTTGGCCGCAAAAGGGGCATAGCATTGAAATACGATTTCACCATTATCCCACTTTGAGCTTTTATTATGGCCGATCCCCTATCTATCCGCAATTGATACTTTCAAAAGCAGTCTACAACCCTATTGTTCACTGCTTTCTGTATCCATGACGGTTCTGTATTAAGGCTTAACAGCATCTTTAATAGCGTACAAGTAAATCAACTTCTCATCAGTGTACGGGATGTGTAGAATCTAGAGCGATACTGAGTGAATATGGTATGGTTTGCGGTGAGCGTTGGCAATCCTGAGTTAGGAAATAGAGTAGTTAATGCCTGAGTCCGTACATACTGCGAATACCAATTATTAAAATGGCAGCAAAGTATAATCTCACTTTGCATTCACTAATATCCATTTTTTATACAATCCTGATCAATACATGGCATAGGTTGCAGTCTATTTCTTGCAGCCAGCACAATCGAGAGGAAGAAATGACAGTAGATTAAATTAGTGAATCGGATTAATTCGACTCCAACTCAGTCTGTGAATAACTAGATCAAATCTTCACTGATGGCAGACTCACAAGTAATATTGTACACCTGTTTTAGGTATAGTAGATGGTCTAGCTAGCTATTCATGACTAGTCATGCCATTGACTACCGACTGTGCTAGCGACAAGTCTACGACAGTTTTGATCGTTTCCAAAATACATAACATACTGTATTATAGCAAGTTCAATACGTCATTTGCACTGAAAAGTGGAAATACTTGCCATAATGTACTGCCGGATAGAGAGGTTTCCTTGTGTAAAGATAAATTAAAATTAAGGTACTGTAGTCTTAAACATAATCTACAGTATACGTATGTACGATAAGTTGAGAACAGGATCGTTAAAGCCACCAATGGCCTATTCAAGAGGTTACAGAACCACTATATTATTTTTAGAGAATGATCTTGCAGTTCTTCCTCATGACTTAAAATCCTTACTCAATGCTATCAATAGAATTTAAAAATGATTGCCTACATTGAACTACGGTAAATCAATTTTATAGATGTTAATGCAATAAAAAATAAAAATAATAAAGATAGCTTGACTACGACTTCAATACTTCTTTCTACCCTACTATAAAGTTAAGTGTCATATATTCTAACAATATTTAAATTATGCCTAATACTCAAATAAAATGTTCGTATTAAACCGGTCATGCCACATGAAGTAAGAAAACAGGAATCAAATGGATGAAAGCAATGGATATCGATCAAGATGGCAATGATAAACTCGTCCTCATATCATCGATAGAATAAGAAATGAAATTGATCACCCTTTCATTAAGCCGACGGTAGCTATATTCAGTGACATGATAAATTATAATTATTAGATAGGGACTTTTCCTTTTTCATGATTAACCCTTTTTTCATTATCTACGGCACATTACGTATACTACTACTGCAGAAGTGCAATGAGACAATAATTAAAATAGTTCTACGATACAAGCCATTATCTGCTTCTTTTAGTTATTTGCTTTGGTTCATCTCCGCAAGCGGAAGTCGGCAGGTAATTATAAGATCTTTATTTACTAGAAGGAGCTCAGAGCTTGATTATTATATTATTGTTTCCTTGTTTTTTTGTATTCTTGCACTTTGACAACATTAATTAAAGTTTTACACATCTATTGAAACTAACTGGAATCCACATGATGTGGTTCATTTCTCTATTGCATGCTGTAACAGCATAGATCAATCAAGCGAATCTAAACCTGCAAGGATAACTAATCTTGATAGTCATCGCTACAAAGGAGGGTATCTACTCTTCGCCTTTGCACTAACCCGATTGTTTGCGATAAGCCACCCCAAGAATAAAATATCATGTATCCACTCTAATCTAGTTATAATAGACTAAGACTAGCGATTGAAAAGATAGGTTGATTTAATCAATACTGCTATAGACAATTGAAATCGCTACGTCAACATCCACAAGGCCATGAAGAACAATGCAGACTTTCAAGCAGCCAATCCAATCAGTTTCTTTACTCATCAATATTCAAGGCTAAAACTATTTTATTTATTAATTAGCAACATTAACCGTGGTAGTTTTAACGGATTAATTCTACGTAAAATTCATGCTAATAGCAGCAATCATCAAACTATTAAGATTGGCCTAGAATAACGAATGGGCTACAAGCTATGCGTCGTACTATTGTCTATTAAATGATGCCAATTTTACAATGTAGAACTCTAGTAGCTAAAGTCTAAAATCTTCTATAAAACCTTATTTGTTAAATCAAATCAAAATGGCTTCATGATCGATGAGTCATCGAGACACCATATTTTACAATTAGCATTAACTTTTAAGACTTGAATATGAACGCTTCTTGTATTATTGATTTGAATCGACTTTCAATCCATGATAACCAAAATCATATCCAAGAGCCAACACAAGATGATCCATTTGCATCATCTCATTCTAATGAAGTAGAGCGGCCACAATCCTCACAACAAGATGAAAATACGACTATACCATTATGGCCAAAAGAGCCAAAATGTAACCAAGATGAAGATAGAAAGATCCATCCCAGTCTAGCTCAGGAAATTGATGATCTCGTCATGAAAGCTAATCAATACGAGGAACAAGAATTATACGATCAATGTCTCTGTTACTATAACAAAGTTTTATCACTTAGTATCAAACGCTATGGGCGTTCTCATCGACGTGTTCTTGATATTTACTGTGCTATTGGAAAATTGCAATTAATACTAGGTTTAATTGAAGAATCGCTTTGGTCTCACTATCAGGTACTAAAAGTATGCACAGAGCATTATAACAACGATAACCTCCTTATGGCGATGGCATACTACCTAGTAGGAGAATCCGTTGCGTCTATGGATCGTTGTGAATCGTTATTATTCTTTAAGGAATCTTTAGAAATTTTATTGAATTATAGTCAAGAAGTGGATGATGATAATGAATTTGCCATAAGTTTGATTCATGGGGCCGTAATGGCGAGTAGAAAGTGTTCTAGCCAAATTGCTAGCGAATATGGCTATTTTATATTAACCTTGTTATCATCTATTAATCATTCTTGTATAGAAATAGCTACAACAGGTAAGATTGCTAATATGAAAAGAATGAAATGGTTCATAAGCCAAACATTTAATCTGCATTATTCAAAAAAATTGCAAAGAAGAAACAAAATTGATTTTCTCAGTCAATACAGAGTAGCTCTTGCTTCAAATACAATGGAAAATTAAATTGTTTTTTATGAACATTATATAATATTCATCCAGTGCTATTCTTCTTATGAATCAGTATAATGTAGCGATTATGACGCTAAATTCATTGCCTGTGCAAAGATCCTAAACTTTCTATTCCTGCTCTATGTACCCACAGAAATTGAACTAGATCTCTAAGTATAACATTAGTACTCATTAAAATACCCAAACATTAACTAGTAAGACTCTGTCAAGTCGACTTTGTTGATATCACTGAAATGATTCTTATTGAACTAGTAGCCGATACATCAAGTTATACTTTGAATATACTTTAGGCGAAAACATTAACGTTAGAGATTACCTCTATTCCGTGCATCAAGTTATACTTTAAATATAGTTTAAGCGACAGTGTTAACCTTAGAGATTATCTTTCATTCCATAAATCTAGTTATACTTTAATCTAGTTTAGGTGAAGGCGTTAACGTTAGCGATTATCTCCTATTTCATAATCAAACTATACTTTAAGTATACTGTAAGCGGTAGAGATTACCTTCGATTCCTAACTCGCTTAGTACAGTAGTCATACTTGTAGAAAATCTGAATAAGATATTTATTTCAAAACATTCATTTCTACCCTTTTTATAGAGGTTGATATCCATTTCCTGACCTGTGAAGTCTTTCATCTGAAATTGGTAAATTTAACTTCTTACCATAGTTATGAATACAAAATTTCGAACGAAAAATAATTTCAGTTTTATTCCTTTCTTGTGACATTTATCACGTTAGGAATCATTGGATTTATTGGCACTATCAGAGGCAATTATATCTAGTAGCAACAACGTATTAGAGGTATAGATTAATCAACTTTGAATTGTACCGAAATGTCTTAAGTTGAGCCCAGTTACTTGATACTTTATTACGATATTCCCTTATATTATTTGGTGATGGTAGGAGCTGAAATGGGTTACGATAATTTTTATATATTCTCTTATTTAAGGCTGACGATCATTTATCCGATGAAATAGGATTTAACATCTACGATGGCAATAATTGGGTTAGTATGATGCATGATAATGAATTGATGCTAGTAAAAGATATAAAGAAACATCAGTGAATGACAGAAAAGGGCAACACTATAATATACTCTACAAATATTTAACGAGATTGAGAGAAATTATAAACTACCGTATTTCTACTGTTTTGAAAATATTTCATAGGTCTAATTTACAAATTTTTAGGATTTTTTAGAGGAAAGCAAACGTTTGGAACATTTAAATCAATGGCAACGACAAGCATTAATCTCAACCGCTGCTAGCCATTATGATCGTGCATTGCAACTTTATTACATGATTATTGGTGCTGTTCAATGTTCATCATGGAGTAGCAGTCATTTAGAACTGTATATAACAAGTCAAATTGCAGCGCTACATTACTGGTTGGCAAAAGAGGACAATTTAGACTCAATTCAACATTTAGAATTAAGCCATAAAATGTATCAAGCAGCCGGAAAGCTTTCCGTGTCAATTTATCCTCAATCTTATGTTATGCATCAAACAATTCATTCAGGCATTGAAAAGTGTGCTTCATTAATGGAAATGAAGTCAGAAATGACTAGGAAATCGGTGAATCCTATCCCTACTCCTATTGCCAATCATGGATAGCTTTGGAAACTTTCAGAGGAATCCTTATTGAAATGAGAATACGAATAGGTTCTGAAAATTCATTTCGTCACCACTTCCACTATTTCATTGCATAAGCTTAACTCTAAGCTGCAATGGTTAATTGTTTATAAGCTATGTAAGGAATAATCCTGCTAAAGTTGGAAATTTATTTCGGCCATGCATCACCTGTGAAATGTACTGTAGTATTTGTTGTTGCCATGACTAGAGTAACTCAAGCTATTTACTGAATGATCAAGACTATCCATTACAGCAGGTTAAAGACCCTCTTTCAGGATATTTCTGATCTTCAGATTACAGCTACCTCATTATAATCGATCAGTTGTGACGAACTTTCCCAATTTTCTTGTCAGTTTATTATGCAAGCAGGCTATAACGCCTCCTATAGGGTGTTGCTGGCCTTTATATTACAAATACTTATTACAGTACGCGTATATAATTAATTAATTCTAGGTGAGCTGTTTCGAACCTTTCTATTGTATTTATCGTTGTAAATTATAATTCAAGCAGGTAAAGATCTGCTTAAAGGTGTAGTTGAACTTTGTGTCTTTTCTCTATAATATTGTACTGTAACATTATAAAAAATGATCTGTGTATTTGAAATTTTTCTATTTTCCTTGTAAATAAATTATATAATCGAAGCTGGTAAAGACCTGCTCCGTTTTTTCTAAAATATTGCACTTTATGATACTGTAGATGAACTGTTTGGAGCTCTTCTATTTTTCTTGTCGGTACGTTACTAGTTACATATGGATTACTCTACTATTTTTTAAATATTCTAAATATTGATTGCAAAAGCGTAAAACTTTTATTATTTCATCACCTGGCACCATGTGTTATCATAGTCATCACTGAGTGACGGCAAGTTGTAAACTAATTTTCATATTATGAAACTGCAAAATTTGTAATTGTAGACATCTTGTCGCTGCCAATTTTCTCCTTAACATGCCATAATCTATTTTGTCAATTTGTTAAAGTATTTCTCATGACGTGATGATAAAAAACAAATTGTAAAGTTAGGGCTAAAACATCATTTCACTTTTCTCGTCAAGTATTGACCCTTTTCCGCCGCATTTTAATTGAACCGATTTCGATGGCTAACATGTATTCTACCGATGAGTGTCTACCTCATCAAGTGATTTCAGTATTGGTGGGTAGTACAGGTAGTGGGTAGTGGGTACTGTACAGTACAGCGATTACACTCATTTCCGGTTAGAAAATCAACAATTTGATCGGGTTCGGGTTGCGTTTTTACTCCATTTATAAAGACTCTCTCTCCATTCACATGCGAAGACTTGAGCAGAGAACCGCCGCAGAGACCACCGCAAAGTACCTCGAAGATCTTTGCATAACTGCTGCAATTAAGGAACGCTTGGGCTAAAAACTTGTCCGTGGCCAAAATAGAAATTCTTTTATACCATTATGTGGAAACATCCTTGCTTACAGTACTACTTCACTGTATAATATGGAGTGTACAAAAAGTAAAGTTCAGCTCTCTCGCTACATAATGTTATAAAGTATAGCAATTTTACGTTAGTTTCAGCAATACTTTTCCCCTTTTCTGAGTCTGAAAAGAAAATAAACTCATCAAGGTGTTTGGAAAGTCATTTGATATTCTAATTATACAAAATTAGACCTCAATTTTCCATACATTTATTATGACATTGTATTAACCAAGCTACGAAAGGTATGCATGCGTAATATCCAAGTAATTTCATAAGCAGGAGGCACAAAATCGAACATTTAAGAAGGGCTACTTGACCATCCTTCATCATTTGCACACAGATAAAGTCTGTATTCGTTACATTTTCGCGTGCATTTCTTTATTTCAGACACTGTCACTACGTTATCAAGCTTTAAGCCTGCAGTCCTATTTTTACAGGTATTTGATCAAGTTTTCGGTTTACATGAAAGAAAATACAATAGATCACCCATGCACTCAAGAAAATCTTATCTTAACTATCAAAGCCCATAACTTTGGAATTAAGCTTAAGTTCAACTCTGTTATGCGGAATTTAATCATGTCATATATCGTCTCTTTGCGATGTTCAATATAGCGGAAAGCCATCGTCTTGATTTTAGCTATCCCAAAACCGATTTCTAATATCAAATGACTTTCCAACCACCTTGTACAGTACTGTACAAGGTGGTTGCTCAACTGGTCCCTAGCCGGTCACCAAATCACTTCCATCCGCTCGTCCAAGGATGACTTCGAGCGTACTTTGACGGTCTCCAGTATGTCAAAATCATGCATTTAGTCGTCCATGTCAAGACTTGAGTAAGAAGGTACATTCGTATTATAAACTCTTTCCATAAGCTACTTCTACACTACACTGTCCCTTTTCCACATTTTCTCATTCTTAATTAATGGACATAAACGACAAGTTAGACACGTTTTTCTGTTAACTGTTACAGTAAAAGGAAAATCACTGTAGAAAGTTGATGCGCAGAAGGCGTCAACATGAAAATAAGCAAACAGTATCAGTTACGGCCTATGCTTTCCGTAGCATCACCATGCTCACACCTGTAAGCCATGCAACTCTTTCTACCACCTACAGTATAATCATCATTAATTATTGTTCAATTTAGCACTGGCCGCCACCTCTTGCATTCATTGGTTTGTCACCGGGTACGAGAAGGAGGCTTTCCACTGAGGCCGCTTGCGGCTCCTTGCCCAATCATTTGACAGTTGATTTTCTAGTCCAGAAATTGGCTTTAACTGGATGAAATCGAGGCAGTAAGACTCAGTTAGCATACACCACAACCCACGGATGATGACAACGATGAGGTAAAATGATATTGAATGTGCGATTATTTTGGATTGCAAATGGAAACAGTTTTTGACAGCCTTACTCTCAGTCGATGAATGAATGAGTTCTTGTCCAGGCTGGATTTCGATAGTATGGATGGCGATAATAGTAGGTTTAGTAATCACCATTAGGCTCTTTCTTTCTTTTAGGCAGTAGTCCATGGATCGTCCAAGTCAAGTGATGATCGAAATTGATGTTATTTTTCTATTGGGTCCATCTACTGCATTCGTTGTTCGCTTGCCGTCATTGAGTTAACATGGCGGTCAAAGTAACCCTTCAATTAATCCTCAAGTGGAAATATTTACGCTATCTTGCCGTTGTTTTTATTTTTTTCGCCATCGTCAGTTGGTTATTATTAATAAGTCCGTCACATCATCCATCACTAGCGCCACAATTCGATCGTCCTGGTCATCGATTCCAGCCACGCCGTCAACATGGCAAAAATGATCATTACGGCATGGTCATTGATGCCGGTAGTAGTGGCTCACGATTATACATTTATCGATGGCCACCGCATTCTGGTCGCCGTGGTGAATTACTCCAAATCCAACCGGCAACCAATGATCGAAAAGTAATCTTGGTAAAAAGAATTTCACCAGGTAAGTCACACAACAAAATAAAATGCAAAATTGAACTTAAAAAATTAGGCCAGGATTTATTTTCCAAAGTGGAGTAAACATGTTTCTCCGATGGTATAACAAACTCGGTATGAACAATCGGAACTGCTTGTAAAATGACATTGATCATGAGGGCTCTTAAAATTGAGCAAAATGGCCGATTTGACTGGCGGATTTGCAGTAGCCATTCCACCCTAAACGACGAGAGAAAACGCATCAACTTGGACATCTAATCGGCCATTGCTCATAGTTGAATTCTAACCTTAAGTCAACATCGAATATAGATTTTACTCACCCATTCTACATGTAGTGCAACAAGGCAGCTAGCGCAACCTCCAAGATCAATTCTCCTTTGTACGTTACTTTCTACGAAACATCGACATGCTCGCCATCTGCAAAGATCATGAATCCCCTACTCAAAATGAATTATTGATCATCTTCGTATGTTGTTTGCTTTGAAATTAGGATGCCAATATAATATTTAATAAGACAGTACGAATGGCACCGTACTTGCATTTCCCAATATACTGTACTGTACTGTATAGTACGTCCTTACTATCATTATCAACTTTATTGAAATGAAATTGCAAAATTTCATACAAGAAAATTGATTTTACCACCATTACTAATTCATAAGCCAACGGACGAGCCTCAATTTTATCATGATAAATAAAAATAATAATTAATTCAAATCTCTTCCCCCTACCCATCACTAAATTGACATAGGATAACCCTTTCCAGACAAAATTACTCTTATGTAGTAGTGTAATACTATACTATGGCCTTTCTGCGGGATACCCATAGTGAGACAATCTAACTCAGCAAATACAAATTGTCTATTCTATTATCAATCTGTCTTGACAAACGGTTTTCATATCGAGGCTAGCGCCGATTGTATAATGTACGCTGTCAATCCAACTGCGTACTGTAATTAGCCAATACAAATTGTCTATCTATTTTAATTGATCAATCTGTATTGCCTGATGGTCATTGCCATAGTGTACACTGTCAATAGAAGTTAGCAAATATGGATTGTCTATTCATCTTAAATGATGAATCTGCATTGGCAAATGATTTCCATAGAGCATTGTACCTTGTCCATAGTGTACACTACGAATGCAAAGGGTCTACACAACCCATTTAAGTAAAAGTTTCTCACAATAAGCACATTGAAGCTTGCCAGAATCACTATAGAATTTTCTTCTTACTTATATGATTTTCCCTTGCAATACGAAAGATGAATTTGCATTACTGTAGCAAGTGGTTTCCATATCCAGCCTCCGGCAGACTGCACACTGTTATGAATACATACAATACTGTACAATAGATTTTGTCAGTCATCTCCTATCCAAGGATGAAGTTAAAGAAAATATACCAAAAATCTCCTTTTTCAAATGACGATGTAATCGTCTTGTCGATCAATCTTGTTATGTGTACAACATCCATTGACACTAGTTGTTTTCTCCTTTTGCTGAACTGAATTCGTTCCCGGTTTGTGTTATAATATCCTGATGAATATAACAAAACTTTAATGATGTTATGTACTGTAACTAATGTCTTCGCTATCAACAAAACTTGTGCCAATATCCAACGCTTTTACTATTCATCATGCAACTCTTGTCAACGTGTCCATTTTAAGAGTAATGGACAATTTCATTTCCAGACAGTACATTGAGATTGATTGAAACATCTTAACTTATTATGCTTTAGTTAAAATATAACATTTTTTTTTTTGATAGATTTATAATTTTCTATTTTATTTGCAGCACGATACTTCATCTAGCAGCTTGATCGAAATTAACCTAGGATGTGATGCTCACGATACTTCACATCAATATTTTGTTTTTGTTTCAACCTTTCTTAAACATGGTACCAATATGGTACGTCAACGCTACGTTTCCAGACTTATTATGCAATTAAAGAAAGAAAATAAATCTTTATCGTGGTAGGTTACTCTAGTTTAATCATGAAGTATGCAAAGTAAATAATTTGATGAAGTAAAATAATAATATTAACTGACTACTAATAGAACTCAGTAAATACACAGCAATCGATTAAATTGTATTGAAAATATTATGCTGAAATCACCATTTAATTTCAGGATTCGCGATCCTTGCCTACCTTTTAGAGCCTCGGAAGTGATAACGCATGGCCAAAAAGATATCAAAGTGACCGGGTCCGGCAATTTTGAATACTGTCGTTCTTCTGTTTTACCACTCCTCAATATGACATCCTATTGTCGCACTAAATTATGCACCATCAATGGTATCGCATTACCAGAGTATGCATTTTGGTAAGATAACACAAATCACATTTTATTGCATGTACGTAATAATATCTCTTCATCAAACTGTACACATGTGAATGATATCTTAAATATTATTGTAATAAATGAACTTAGGGCAAATGAATTCTGGGGATTATCTGCTTATTATTACACACTTGAAAGAACACTAAAAATTGAGAATAATTATAGTTTCGAAAAACTAAAGGCTCGGGCAGCAACTTTCTGTAGTAGGCCCTGGCAATCGATAGCGAAAGATCATGCAATTGGAAGATATGGCAATGTCAATCAAAATATTTTAAAGTAATGAAGCTAATTTATCGATCCATATTTGTACAAATTATTTACAACTAAATAGCTACAGTAAAACACGGCCATAATATGCAAATTTATGTCTTTAGACACCAATGTTTCAAAGCTGCCTGGATATCTGCTGTCCTACATGACGGGCATCACTTTCCAAAGAAAGATTTCAATTTTAAATTTTCCAATTTAATCAAGGGTAGAGTAGTACAGTGGACACTGGGAGCTCTTTTACACCGTGCCAGATTTCTTCCACTTAGGTAAATACTAATTAGGAATTAAAAACTTAAACCAAGTATATTCTGACTCAAGTATATGGGTTTATCTATACATTGCTATAATAGGGATATGCAGCAGCATTCCATTTCTAAATCTTTCTCCAGATTACAAAATAAATGGAAAGCTTTCATCGTATTTCGGGAATGGGAAGCGAAAATTGTATTTGTTATATGCTTACTAGCTGTTGTGTTAACAGTGATAATTTACGGCCGTTCACTTCAGAAAGTAAAGAAAAATTGGATTTTATTTTAAAACTATAATACTACTACAAATAAAATATTAGGCAGAGTAAGGTGACGGATCCTAATCCAACAGCTTTAAATACATGATAGAGAAAAACCTGCTTCTTTCATATATTTTTCTCCTAGAAACAATGAAGGGAATTTCTAACTCTTTCAAAGCAAACTCAAATTTACAAAACTTTGAAAATCTTATACTGTATATTATTATATAATATTCATGAAGCCAAACTATCGCATGCAGTGTAATTTATTTTTTATTTGTGTTATTCTGGCCTACTTGTAACCGTGCTTTTGAATGCATTGCCACAAATTACAGAAATATTAAGTGGTAAGATTTACTCTATGAAAGTGTATCGCAGAGAACTTAACGTACATGAATCTAATTTAAATACGATTTTAAGCCACTGGAATGAAATGATTGCATCATGTTTTATTTGATATCGAAAATGACCGACTTCATTGTCTTCTATATGTGAAAGAATGTAAACCATTTGAATTCATAAAGTGCAAAGATATTGTTATTTTATAAAAATTATTGACACTACCTATGTAACAAAGAGAGCTATTTGCTAGTTAATAAATCAATCAAGCATACCTTCCAATTTCCTTTATTATCCAGCTGTGCTTGTCAGTTGAAAAACTTAGATATTGTGTCCTATCACCAAATGTAAGGATGATGTAGAATATACGAATTTCCTGCCAGTTGGCAGTAATTAGTATAAAATTTCGATTTGCGTAGGTAATTGTAAAACATGGAAGAAAGTAATATTTTAATTTTTCTCGTGATTTACATGTCAAGACAGGAAAAAATCTGTATGTTATTTGAAAGAGATATCTGAATACAGTCTTTCTACATATAGAAGGGCTAAGTTTGCTCTTATTTACCTATTATTTAATTTAATCTTTCTACTTTCGTTGTTCTAGATTGTCTTTCACCAATTTTCTGAACTCCAAAAATACTCGTAGAATTTAAATTGTTTAGAATACTCTTTCTACGCTAGCAGCACGTGACCGCCAATCTACACATAAAGTATTTTTGTCAGTTATCTGAATATAGTTCACATATTCCTTTATAACCATTCCTAAATTAAAAGTAACTGTAGAACGGTGTCACATTCACTCTTTCAATTTTTTATTACCAGAATATTCCATGTAGTCTTTCAATCTATACATTTCATAATATCCCACATGCGCTTTAATTTTTTAATTTTGCCAAAAATGTAATGAATTGTTCAACTCTTTATTCGTTTAAAAATATAAATATTATCCCCATAGTACATAGAAAGGATATCATAACTATATCTTCCTGGCTGAAAAATTTAAATCACTAATTGGCACGCATGTACTAAAATAGCTCGTCCAAGCCATGAAATAGGCTCGGTCTTCTTTTTATTTCTTTTTCTATAATAATGATAACAATAATAATATAATTTATATTCTATTAGCCCGCGTAGGCCCATTTCCTTTCCATCTAGAGCATGCTTTGTATCGCGTCCAACATAGTTTATATTTTAAGCTTCTTTATCATAGAATTGGATATTTTGTAATTTTCAACCATAGGTTTAATAATCGAACTTTTATTCTCGATAAATTCTATAAATGGTTCAGTATTTTTTATTCTCACTGCAAGTAAAATTTATTTAAGTCAAAATTTATAATATAATTAAAAGCCAAGATTAAAAAGCAAGTTAAAACATCAGGGAGAGCAAGCTACCTTTTATTCTGATCATATAGTTACTGTACTTCAATATTAATCATTCAATCTTTCAATTTTACATGGATACTTTCCAATTATAATTTGACAGCCTATGAAAGGTTATTTCTTTTCCTATTTATTTGATTTACTTTAAAAGCTATTACATCAAGATATTGATTGGCATAAAATTATTTGTAAAAAGGATAACATGATTACTTTATCCTGAAGTTAAAATAATGTATGTCATTTCTAATCGATATAAAACAATCCAAAGTATATCTCTTAGATCGGTACACTGTCAAGCGAATGGGTATTTATTAGATTTTATAATATGATAGTACAATCTAGGATAAGACGTTTAAGCAAATTATATAACTTAATGAAATTTGTTAATTACTCATAGTATTATCTTATCCGGATTTTTTCTATACTACTGTAAGTTAATCTATTTTAAATATACAATAGAGTCATTTCTCGGTAAAGATATACCATAAATGACATTAAAATAAATTAGCTATCACATATTTACGAAGGAAATACAGTAACAGGTGAAAAAATTGAAAATCTAGATAGCAGTATTATTAAAACTAATCAAATGACTACGTGACTACAATGTTTCTTATCTATCTGATACACTACAATACTTGTTGCCATAGATATCTTTTTAATTAAAATACTATAACTTGCTGACCGTAAGATTATATAATAATTGTTATTGTTATTAGTCGTTATTAAATGATTCAGTAGAGTAACAACATAAGAGAGAATATGCTTGATTTATGGCATCTATATATTTCTATTCTACTAAACTACTAGAACTACTGTATAGCTAAAACTTAATATACGATAATCAAGTCTTACAATAAAATAGCCAGGTTATAATATTTTGTTTATGAGATAAGCAAAGATACAGTTATAAATAAATATAATAACGGTCATCATCTTCAACAAAAATTGGCGAAAGCTGCAAATTTAATTTGCCAAGCTCACTCTTTTTCGGATTTAATTTGAACTACTTGTCTAAGGATTTCTCTAACATAATCGGACGAACGACCAGCTACGTTCGAGATAGGATCTAAAGAGGGTATAAAATATTGGGTTAAAGATTAGAAAATTTGAATTTCCAATCTTAACCTAAATTATTTAGCTTACGGGATTAAACTCCTACTTACTGCAAGATTGCTCAATATCTGTTATTATCTTATTCCACGTAAGGTTGCTTGCTAAGGGGGGATTCATTTGATAGTTTAATAGTTCACTTTTAAGCGTTCTTAAGATATTACTAATATTATCTGAAAAAAATACACACAAATGTACAGGTAGATACTGTCAATTTCTTTGTATAGCTGAATAATATTTTCACTATTAAATAATTACGCTGTTTATTACAATCAGAATGGATTTACTACATAAGATCGGCCCATTAAAAAGTTTTGATACCGCTAATTATTTAATAATCATAAGAATTTTTACCATGTTCTTTCTCTAATCCATGCAGCTTGATCTTATTTGATTCATAAGCTTGCTTCTTCTTCAATCTACATATTCTATGATAAGGATAAATGGAAAAATATGCTATCATATCATATTAACACTTTATCATCGTTTAATTAGGTTGTAAAGTTATTCAGAAAATTATCGCCATTGTACTATTTTTGTCTTTGGTGTAACAAATGCAACTCCTAGTTATAATGTTAAAATTCTCTCAAGCTAGGATTATCTATCTCGAAAGTTAAAATAAAATCTATTTTATCTTATGCATTAATTGGCAATCGGCTTTATTGACTTGGGTGCAATTTCAAATAAAATCGGTACTATCTTAATGTTACATATTGATTGGTAATATACGTTATTGATCTGGATATAACAAAAAATCTACACTATCTTAATGTTCTGTATTGATTGGAAATATACTTTATACACCTGAGTACAATTTTAAAATAAAATCTACACTATCCAAATGTTATCTATTAATTGGTAATAGACTTTATTGACCTGGATGCAATTTTGTTCTTCTCTCGACGAATTTGAGATTGAAATCCAGGATTCATAACATCTTTCTGTGTTAAATTATTCATTATGGACAATAATTTATTTAAATCTTGTCCAGCTTTGATTAATTTTTGTGGATTAGGTGTCCAATCATTGTGTCGTGATGGACGTAATAAAAGATCGACATTTTTCGACTGATATGATGAACAGGAAGTAAAATTGTTTTTTTGGAAATCATTGCCGTTATCGACTTCGTTTTCGCATTGATAGTTGGAATGGTGACTTTCTTGATGGCTATTTTCGTCAGATTTTGAATGACTATAGCCTAGATGATGACTAATATCGTGGCTTATATCCAAATTATAAATAATATCGTTCACGATTTCGTTCCTATCTGTGGACAGTCCCATATTAATTGGACCATCAACATTTGATGCTGTAGGATCATGTTCTATTCCGGTCTCGTAAATGATATCCATGGAATGACGACCAGAGTTTTCATCTCGATTAGATTGCAATAAGTAAATATTTTGAACGTTATCATCCGGGATAGTTGTTGCGGCAGGCTCGTTGATATCCCAATTGTTATCTATAGAGAAGTTGCTATAATCAGAATAAGATTCTTCTGTATATGCGACCAAATTTTGTAATGGATTATTGATTTCATTCTGTAATTGCAGTGGATTCTTATGCGATGTAGCAATAGAATGCAATCGATGATGTACAATGTTATCAATTTCATCCAGCCCATCGGTCCAATCGATTAATGTTTGAGCTGGATCATAAAATTGCTCAAAGTGAATTCCACTATCCTGTATGATTGATTTTAGATCACACAATTCTTTATCAATAGCATCATCATCATCATCACTATCATGATATAGAGCGTCAAGAAAATTTTCATTGCTATTATTGATGGAGTCCATTTCTTTTACTTCCATCAAGTGATGATCGCGATTGGATAACTCCAATTTTGATAGTCGATTGAAGTCATCAAAGAAGAATTTCTATGTATGCAGTTATAGAAAGATCATGTATAAACTAGCTAGCATTAACAATATATAAGCTGTACCAGTCTATTTTTTTTTAATTTCAATTGAACAATCCTAAAATCTAGGAAAAAGAATAATAATATCATTATACTATAAGAAATACATTAACACTTATAGAATATTATAGCTATAGTATCTCGTGGTTGAAAAATCAAAGAAAAACTTTAACATCTTACTTAAACAATTTAAATGGAAAATACTGCATACTATTATATCCGACCAAAATGACTATAAACAAGGGTACATTAGAAGTTTGGACATACTACAACTTGTCGATTAATAGTAAAAGGAGGATATAGATGATCAGAACGAAGCATATGCTTGAATAAAATAAAAATAATCGTTATGCTATGATATACGGTATCCGAATACCATTAACATGGGCTAAATTGAAGGCGATTGTTTGAATCAAACTTTAGGAAAAGGAAATACTTTATAGCATTTAAGCAAATGACATGGGCAATAGCTATCCTGCTTTAATTAATTTTGCAGCTATTATTATAGCCTAGAACATAGTATTTGAAATCGATGATTGTTTCTCTTGCTAAATAGAATAACAATTCTTCCTTCGAATTGTAAGTAAAGCTTTATTGAATAGTGGTAATGCAGTTTATGTTCAAGGAAGGAAATCACGTAGTAGTAGACTAGTTTTAATAGTAGTAATCAAAATAGCTGATTTTATAGACTAGTTAAAAAACCTTTGGCGTATAAAATCAACTATTTCTATCTGCCTACAATAAAGCTGTATATTCTACTTCAGTAAGGGAAAAAATCGCGTTCACTTTATGAAGAAGATGACATAATTAGTAAAGTGTCCAAATTCCGTTTACAACTTAAACAAATTCTATTAGCCTCTAGATAGTTGGAAAAGTCTATTTTAGCCTGAAAAGAAATCGATATAGGCAAAAGAGAAAACTGTAAAATCATAAAATCATCTAGAAAGCTAATTAAAAGTTAACAAATTCTACTTGTCTGCTATAGGCAATAGACATTATATCGGAGCTCAAAAAAGTTGCTGAATTAAGAAGTTATTGATCAGTTTAATTTTTTAAAATCAGTCATCAGTTAGTGAGAAATTATTCATTGAAAGATTGTCTGCACTGGTTGTTTTTTGTACATTGTTAACCATTAAAGATAGGAGCATAATTTGACTATGCATGCAGATTACTAAAGCGGGACTGACCAATTGTATCACTTTTTATTGCTGGCGAGAGATACTCTTTCAGTGTTCAAAGAAATAGATGTTCATAATTAGCTTGGATCAATTCATTTTTAATACACTATTTACTATCACCGCCATTATAAAGTTGCTAAGGAAAAAATTCTGCTCTAACGATTTCAATTAGCTTAATCATCCCATTATTGTTCTCATGTGAATCAAAGAAGTAGGGAAATAAAAATTTTGATGGCCTTGAAGTCTCTAATTTAGAGGTATCAAGAATTACTGGAGATGAAAACATTAAAAATCAAAAAAATAATTTACAAAATGCTAAAACTCGATTTTTTAAAGTATTATAAGCATTATCAGCATTTAATTCTATTTTTATCTACTCTAATTAATTGTATTTAAAAGTCATTGATGAGACATTTAAGCTTATTTATTTTAGTAATTAATTATAGCCTGTATTAACTCTATTATCAAGCCAGATACGGAAAGACTTTTTGGTCAACTTTAAGATAAGATTATGAATGTAAATAAATGGATCGAGAGTAATTCAGAAATCCTAATTTAATTTTTAAACTACTACAAATAGTCAATTCTATTTTATCTACTACTATCAGCTGTGTTCAAAAATAACTGATCAATTTTACTAAAGCATCCTTTTATTCAGTAAATTTAATATGTATTAACTATGAGCACCTATTATCATGTCGTTAACGGAAGAGATTTTTGTTCAAATTAGTTCTCAACTTTGCTGATATAATTATCTATTGGAAGTGTAATTTAGAAAGTACTTTTAACTCATTCCTTTCAAGCATCACAAGTATTTAAGAATGTTTTATCTATTACTATCGACAGTATTCACGAGTAACTTATAAACATTTTTAGGTATCATTACTTTGATAATTTTAGCTTGTCTTAACTACAGTATATCATTAAGCAGTTATGGAAGAGATATATTGCCAATCGAGTAATTCAATATAGTTGATGCGATTTATTATTTCAAGAGCAAATCACAAAATGCTTCGTTTATTCCTTTTAAAGTGTTAAAATTACTCTAATATATTTTATCTACTATTATCAGCTGTGTTCCAAAGTAATAAATCAATTTTGAAGGTTAATTTATTTAATAGATGCAGCAAGGATTAACTGCACTAATAAGGAAATCACTGAAGAAATTTCGAAGCCAATTTAGTGTTCAGCATGATTGCTACGATTAATTAATTATCAAAAGAGTAATTTAGAAAAATACCTAATTCATTCTTTTTAAAGTATTACAACACAGTACTCGAGAATACTTTATCTGCTGCTATCAGCTGCGTTCAAAAGTAAAAACTGATAAATCTTTGAGCACTCATTATTTAAGTATATTTGGCAGGTGTTAACTATAATGTCAAGGCAGTAACAGAATGACTTTTTGATTAACAGTGCTTCATGTTGTCAATACGATGAAGTATTTAAAGAGTAATTTCGAAAACGCTTTTACTTATTCTTTTTAAAGTATCACAAAATTTTAAGAATAGTTTATCTACTACTATTAACTGTATTCAAGAGTAATTGATAAACTTTAAGCAAAACTTATAGTTTAAGGATGTATTAAGTACAGTATATTATCATGATAGATACAGAAGAGATTTTGGCAAACTTAGATCAGGTATAGATTGATCGCTGATTATATATTATAAAACGATGATGATTTCAGTTCGGGAATAACGATTTGTGTTGCCACTACTGTTATCCGATCGATATTATCAAAAATGTCAAATATAAAATTTTAGAATTTCTCCTTAAAATTATAATTTTACTGGTATTGCGTTAAATATTCGCTCAATAGTTATATTCCATAGACGTAAAGCATAATGTAATACTATGACTCAAAACTAAAACGAAGTGTTGAAAGAAAATTTTAATTTACAGGAAATAACGATCACTTTTGCCCGTATAGTCAAGCCATGTTGGCAAGAAAAAAAGAAAATGAATATTATTATTAATAGTTTTTTATATAACCTCCTAAAGTAAGAGGATACGGAAACAAATTGTCCAATGTCATCTTCAATAAATAATAACAATGCAAATTTTTTCTAGTAAGTAAAGTAGTCTTGTTACGCAATTCTCTTTGGAGTTTGAATATTGTGGATTGTGAGGATATAGAAGATAAACTATGATGATCAGCTCTAATTTCTATGTCGGGAAAAATCATTCAATTGGATTGACTCATTATTGATGAATGTTATATTTCAAACAAATAGAAAATGGGACAATACATTACCATAGATGAGATATATCAAGACCAGAATAACAAATAAATGAAAAAATGTTTTTCCATGATCAAAGTGTAATTGTTTTTTTTTGATAGAATTATGATCAATAAACTAAAATAAAAATTGAACGATTTTGAATTTAGTAAAGCTGTTACAAAGATTATTAATTAACGATTACAAGGCAACAAATATTATATTTACCTGAGCAATGCTATCTTAGCAATATGTTACTTACCCTACTTTTACCGAAATTAATGAACAAAACTTGGCTACTTCCAACTAATTACTATGATCTGCCTGATTTATCTAAGCAGTTGAAATGATCTTGTCAAACTAAGTTATAATGATAATATTCAAGGAAAAAAATGATCGTTATAGTTTTATTTTCAACTTACGTAAAAATCCATCATTTTGCAAAGGTAAGAATGATTTGGGTGTTGCATACAGGCGAGTCTTGGTGAAGTTGTCTCCTAACGCTTGATAATCCTATTAGCAAGATAATATATTTGCATACGGAAAGGACCAATCCGATAGTAAAAATAACCTAGCTGTTAAGATGAAAAATCGATCAACAGTATTTCCGTTAGGAATAAGTAGCCTAGAAAGGTAGAAATTAAATGATAATTTAAGGAATCATGACTTAATAATGATACTAATTGGACGGAATCGATTTTTTTTAAGCTGTATGTGTAAAAATTCAGTACTGTATCCAGTTAATTTTGGTTTTTAGACTATTCCAAGATGCTTTTGACACTTTAGCAGGAAGGAAAGGGAGAAATGGCAGTGATGATATGCAGCTGCAAGGTATTTATAGTCATATTACTATGGGTTTGTAAACTTCTATTTTATTCTAGAAATTAATACCATAGACTATCGCACCAGATTAAGGCTATCAGCATTTGGCCATTCTAAGTTGACGTCATTTTTGTTGCTTTTCATTAAAACAATATTGAAATTGCATTCACTTTTCTATAGGATTCTTTCATTTGAAGTTCCAATCGGTTTTAAGCGTACAATACCTGCTTCTGTTTTTCTTGTGTTATGCTATGTTGTCTTCCATTTCTATGAGAAATGGATATGCTATTCTATTGTAAAACAAAAGTTGTTCCAGATTTGCAGACATTTCGACGCCAGCTCTGTTCTTATTAAGAAAGCAATTTTTGACATTTCCTACCATTATAAAATTGGAATGGCAGTAATTTCGATAATCATTCGATTTTAATGGGTGTTGAAATAGAAAATGAGTGCCAATAAAGCGTTTCAGCACATTCTATTGTAGAATACGCTGAGACCAAAGGATCAGTAACGATATGTCATTGGATACAGCTTAGAACAAGACGTTTGCCAAGAGATATTCTAGGCCTATCGATCGTCATACAGACCAGGAAAGCCCTTGTAACAATCTTTGTATCTATTATTAGTTGTAATTGCCAGTTTCAAACAACTGAAGC